TGTGTGTGTGTGTGTGTGTGTGTGCGTGTGTGTGTGTGTGAGTGTCTGTCAGTGTGTGCAGAAATATCCTCGTGTGAGACTCGAAGGTGGTGATGGCAGACAATCACGGCAGCATACACACACAGATACACACACACACACACACACACACACACACACACACACACACACACACACTCAGGTGGCAGTCTCTCTCTCTCTCTCTCTCTCTCTCCCTCTCTCTCTCTCTCTCTCTCGGTCTCTCTCTCTCTCCCTCTCTCTCTCTCTCTCTCAGTCTCTCTCTCTCTCTCTCTCTCTCTCTCTCTCTCTCTCTCTCTCTCTCTCTCTCTCTCTCTCTCTCTCTCTCTCTCTCTCTCTCTCTCTCTCTCTCTCTCTCTCTCAGTCTCTCTCCTTCTCTCTCTCTTAGTCCCTCTCTCTCTCTCTCTCTCTCTCTCTCTCTCTCTCTCTCTCTCTCTCTCCTCCCTCTCTCTCTCTCTCTCTCTCTCTCTCTCTCTCTCTCTCTCTCTCTCTCTCTCTCTCTCTCTCTCTCTCTCTCTCTCTCTCTCTCTCTCTCTCTCTCTCTCTCTCTCTCTCTCTCTCTCTCTCTCTCTCTCTCTCTCTCTCTCTCTCTCTCTCTCCCTCTCTCTCCCTCTCTCTCTCTCTCTCTCTCTCTCTCTCTCTCTCTCTCTCTCTCTCTCTCTCTCTCTCTCTCTCTCTCTCTCTCTCTCTCTCTCTCTCCCTCTCTCTCTCTCTCTCTCTCTGTGCTGACATGACCGTCTCAATCTGTCTCTCTGCCCTCAGGCCTCCATCGCAGAGCTGATTCAATTTGCCTCCATCAAAATGCAATTTCTCTGCTCCGCCATCACCGCTCACCTCTCCTCCTCCTCCTCCTCCTCCTCCTCCTCCTCCTCCTCCTCCTCTCCCTCCATGAACCCCCTTTTTATCCTCTTATCTGACACCTCTCCTGTCTCTCGCTCCTCTTCGGGTGTCGTTCACTCCTCGCTCTCATTTTTTGCCCCGTCTCTGTTTCATCTCGTTTTTTTCTCTGGTACAGGTTGGATCATGATATTTCCCTGGGGTTTCTCGACAGCCTGTCTTGTGCTGTTTCTACCTGATCAGACTGCAGTGGAGGAGACAGGCGGCGGCGGCGGTGGCAACTTTATCCCCCTACCGCCGGGAGATGCTCTCACATAGCAGAGGTCAGAGATGATGGATTTAAGGAGATGTGGATGTCATTAGAGTTTCATGGCCTGAGCTCTGCTCCCGCCCGCTGACAGCTTCATCAAAGGTGATGGTGTGCATGTTAAACGGTTAGAAACGGGGCCGTTTAGAGGCGGACCGCACAGAATTTCATCAGACAGAGACGTCAAAGAAAGAGAGCGGTGGGATCAGAACACTTTATCAGAGGTAAAGGGAGATTCAGGCGTAGAATTAATTCAGGGTCAAACCCACCGTAACACCGAGTTAGACCCCCCTCCAGAGATGAATGTTGTCGACCGCTTACTTCTCAAGTTATACCAACTTTAGTAACGACCACAGGATAGAAATACAGAGAGCCACGTCCCCAACCAAAACGCCACTCTATAGCCACAGATAATGCTCAGAACAGCACCCTTTAAGTCGACCTAAAATACAGTCCATCACAGGACAATGAAACTGGATATTCATTAAGAGAAATAAACCTCTAATTTGTCCTCATGTCAGGTCAGGACAGCTGACTCTGAAATAAATCATCTGTAATCTTTTTGTGCTGCGGCTCCTCAGACAAGCGTTAAACATATAAATGATCTGAAACCAGCAAAAGAGGTCAGAAACTTTTTAAAAACAATTATTATTATCACATAACTGGAAATTTTTGCTCTATAGCAGCACCTTCATTTTAAGAGTGAGTGTCTGAGATTTACTTCAGTTTGTTATAACACACGGTCTAAACTTAGATCTACATTCAGAGCATCGATATTGTAAGAGTTAAACTAGTTAGGACACTACTTTAATTCACAGTGTTTCATGAACAGTAACAGCTGTTATCTGGGTTAGATGTTTTCTAACTCCTTTACTGATGTTTTAGTTACTTTGGTGAAATCTCAGTATTCTACCTCACAAACACACTTTCTCTCTGTCGGCTAACCTAACAAGACGGTAACAGCGAGTCAACGAAGTGGGAACTCTAGGCTAACGCCTCCCGCTGCGCTAACACGGCTAACGAACGACCAAACAATTAACGCCCAGCCTTTCGCCTTATTGGAGTTGAAGTGTTCGCCACACTTCGCTTTCTGCTCCACTCACCGCCGTCTCACTCTGTCTTTATTTCTTTCTCTCTTTCTCTTTCTTTTCTCCCGATAAGTCGCTCCACTTCACGGCTGATTTCGACGTCACTTTGATTGACACTTCAGTAAAGGTGGACGTGGGTCACGTAGCAACGACAGGGATGACATGGGGCCCCTTTAGGGGGGATCCCTCTAAGATGTCATTGCAATTTGACCTCTGGTTGTTTTTAATGGGGTTGCAATATTTTAGGACATTTTAGTGGAGTACACACACACACACACACACACACACACAAACACACCTGCCTCCTCTCTCCTCCTGTCTGTGTTGAATGATGGTTCTGACAGGGTCGTCTTAGATTTTCCAGGTTTAGAGTCTTTTTCTTCCAGGTTTGCTGAATGTGAGCCGCCTTCATTATAACTATATTAGTGAATCGTTTGTCTCTTAAAGGACGCTCAGAGGTTTAAATGTTATTGCTCTTAGACCAACACCCTCCTCAGCAGCTGCTCCCTCTGGAGCAACAAAGAGCTGCAGCGTGACGAGGAAGGAGGGTATTAAGGACTATTTATACCTGCGGTTAGCAATAAGCTGTCCTGGCACAATATTTGGACTCTTTCTCCACAAAACATGTTACTGTGACAAGAGGGTGGGGAGTATTTCCAGAGATCACAGCTGCGGAGAAAGCTTCATTTAACATGTGACAAGAATTCATAACGCAGAGAGAATAAAATAAATCAAGGGTGTAGAAAATCGGTGTGTGAACTTCATTTCCCTCCGTGATCGGTCTTTAAATCCACAAAGAGTCTGTGAGCGCAGACAGAAGCAGACGTAAACAGAAAAGATTTCTTCTGTCCCAGGAGAGTAAATACCCTCCATCCCAAAAATATTCGTCTGACAGACGTCCCAGAGGACGGTGTGAATGACAGTTTGAATCATCTCCACAAGCTGCAAGTGATAATGAGTCTCCACAAACAGACCGAGATTCTCCGCCGTTCATGTCTTCTTCTTCTCTCTTATTTCTTTCTGTTGAACATTTTGTTCGGAGGTGAGGAGGACACAGATTCTGGAGACCCGATCTGAACCTTCATCAGAACTTCAGCGTCATGGACTGGACTGAACGTGGACTCAGACTTCATGAGTCTACAGAGATCTGATTGGACACAGTGAGTTAAAAAAATCAGTTAATTACATTTAATCTGATTTAAACAGGACGTTAACATGTGAACACATCAGGGTTCTGCGGCTCGCATGTCAGACTCTGACCTGGAAGTCGAAGCGTGGAAGTTAACGTGTCGCTCAGAAAGAGGGGAGTAAACAAAATCTACGAAAAGGAACGGAGATGAAATGACGACTTTCTTCGCTTTTGCTTCCTGCTAATGTGTTTGTTGATTGTTTTGGTCAGTGACGTAATGAGTTGAGCTGGAGACGGCTGAAAAGTAGGGGGCTAAAAGGGGAAAATACCGTATTTTTCACACTATAAGGCGCATTTAAAATCCTTTTGGCTTCTACCGTAGCCTCATGGAGTTATCGACTGTTTTGTTTGGCTTAATGTGCTTTATAATCCGGTACGCCTTATAGTGCGAAAAATATGGTACTGCCACCTAGTGGAGGCTGACATGCTTCAGTTTATTATGCTTTTTCATCCACTATAGTTTTTGATTCGACACTTTCTCACAGTTTTAAGAAAGCTGACGGTTTTGTTAACCGGATAATTCTGAGCCTGTGGAGCTCGTCATACTGGCACCGTGTCGCCCCCTAGTGGACCTTTGATGTAATGTGTGTATTTAAGTTTCATTTCTTCCTGGTCGTTGGTCGTCAGTTTAACAAGGGCTATTTTTATGTGAATGTAAACTAGTGGATTCTTAGGCAGTGATTCTCCAATGTTCAACATTTAATACAAACCAATCTTCCAGTACATCACAAACATACTTTTACTTTGAAAGGCTAACTACCAACCTTTATGCTTTTATTCTGAAATGTCACGGTCAAAACTCCCAGTACACAGTGAATACGGATACCAACGCTCTGCTTCATGATAAACAAAATTTAAAAAGCTCAACCAAGAAACTTCAGGTACAGCTTTGACATGCTTTTATTTTGAAAGGTCAGATACCAACCCTTCAGTGTTTCAGGGGTTATTTAAGTTCAGACTGGTTGTCAGAGAGATGCTGCAGATCGGAGCAGACTTTAGGTCAGGAGGATGTAGAGATCTAACTCAACTGGACGCCGTTATCGGGTTTATTTCACACGTCTTCGCCATCTTCGCCGTCCTCCTGATCTCCTGTCTTCTCTTGAATCTCTACATAAATCAGCTCCGCCCACTTTTCACTCCTCACTCCGTCTCGTGGAAATACGAGGTTTTTTGGACAGGACTGAGCCTTTTCATGTAATTAGGAGGGGGGCTCCACTTTTCAGAGGATGGCGACCAAAAACTGGACTCGAGAAAATACTGTCCCAAACCGAAAACGCTGGAAGACCAAACGCAGGACGCTCATTAGCAGAAGGTTCTGGTCAGGAGCCACGTTGGAGTTCTTGGGTTGAGGTCTTCCTCTAATTTCTCAGCAGGTGTTTGGGATTGGACGGCTAATTGGAAACAGCTGCTGTCATGATCCTGAAGTACAGCGGCGATGAATCTGCTGCCATGCTCGATTCAGAGTTAATTTACTCCTTAATGAGGATTCTGCTGTTTGGATCGGGTGTTTCGTGTCGGTGCATTTATGCGTGAAGATCAATTTAGACGCCTGAGAGTCTTGATGACCGACCGCTCGATAGTGGCCGGTCCAGGAGCCGAGGCTCAGCAGGTTTCGATGCTCCTGTCAGCTCTGATCAGTGTGATGGAGCAGAACTCAGGCGAACAGGGCGACGGCGGGCCACCAGGGTTACTGCAGGATCAGAAAAACCAATATCTGTCCTCGCCAAGCTCTCGATTATCTCCCAGGACACCCTTTAGCTTCAGTTCGGTTGATCTTGAAGTAATCCTGAGAGTTAAACTCCACGAACCCTCGCACAATCTCAGACTCTGACTCAGTTTTTATTAAAGCTGATTTGATGAATACGATCTTTAACATCCGTGTTAAACATGCAGTTCAGAGTCAGACAGTCTTCTTTAATTATTCATCCTGGTATGTGTTACATTTCTCTTTGCACCTCAGTGTTTCGTAGTCTGACGGCATGTGCCAAACCTCCCTGGAGGAGAATCTGACTCCTGGTCTGAGACTGCAGGATTCACAAGATCACAGAGTTCAAGATCAGGCAGGATGACTGAGAAATAAAAAAGAGCAAAAGGAAAAAGTCTGAAACAGACGACTGTAACTGTCCTTCACTTAAATCCATGATTTATGTACCAGAGCTGCTGTAGAGGCTTCTGAACGAAACACAAAAACTTAAACTCATTATTATATTAAATTTAGGGTCAGATTTCACTAACACTGGATATGAAGTCTCTATTATCGATCATATTTTAACAGGCTGCAGATCAGATCAATCATTTGGTCTTTTAAAGGTTTTCTAAAACATCCTTCAGTCTCATATTTGATTATAACTCAGAACGACGTCCCTCAGTCCAACAGAAGAGGATCAGGGCTGCTGGAATAAAAAAAGGTTAAATACAATTTTTTTATTTCTATTCTGGAAAAAAATCTGAATTTCAACTTTTTTTCATAATAAAAATAAATATATATATTTTGGACCTTTTTCCCCCAGTGGCCCTGATCCTCTTCTGTTCACTTTAAAGTCCAGCAGTCGTTAGAAATCATGAACACTCTCGGTTATTATCGTCTCTCTCCTGTTCTCTCCTGTCTGTCCCTCGGCTTTTCAGACGCTCTTTGATACTCCTCCTCCTCCTTCCTCCTCCTCCTCCTCCTCCTCCTGCTCCTCTATCGTGTCTTACTGTTTACTTCACCACCATGACAGCAGCTGTTCCTCTCCACTCTTCTCGTCACCTCAGACGACCCATCACGGTGAAGGGGGTGAATCTTTGCCGCAGGGCGGAGTCGGACTTGATCTCAGTTGTCACTTCCTGTCGGCAGAGAGTTTGATTTACAAGAATGTGTCTCTCTTCAGCTCTCCTCTCTCTCCTCCTAAACAGCAAGTTTTAAGTCCCGTCTCGTATCTGTGGCAGTAAAAATGACTGAATGAGCAGTGCATCACCGTGACGACCAAAACATACACAAGAGTCAGCAAAGGCCAGATTATTGGACAGTCCTGCAGATTATCTAATCAGATTATCCTGTGGTTTGAGGAGTATTCAGAGTGATTTTTCCTCCCACTGATCTGTGTGGACGATCGAAGCATCTACAGTTTGGAATCGTAACCACGTTACGATTGGAAAGCTTAATGTGTGCGTGAGACGGCAGCCTATCATATGGAACTGTGATATATTGTGATATATTATCGTGGATGTGCCTCGTGGGCACCCATAGCAGTTGCACTTAACGGCACGGTCGCAAAGCTAAGGCTCGCTCTATCATATGGTCATGTGCCGGTCTGTATGTTGGTGGCTCTGCTGAATGCTACATAAAATGAACTGAGTTTTAAGAAGTCGTTAAGCCTCGTCAATATCTTACATGGTGTCAGAAGAAGTTCGGGTGAAGTGAGTCGGTATGGCGCAGTTTCAACCAAGGCAATCTTGCTGAGAACTGGAAGTGTTGGAGTCAGCGCTTTGAACTGTTCAGCGTCGCTAGTGGAGTCTCGGAAAAGTCCGAAAAAGTACAGTGTGCAACTTTTCTTCACGTCGCGGGAGAGGAGGCGATTAAGGTGTGCAACACATTCGTCTTCGCCGACGCGGAGAAGGACAAGATAGCTGTGCTGGAGAGGAAATTTAAGGAGTACTGTGAGCCGCGGAAGAACTTAACGTACATACGGCACGTATTCTTTACCCGAGCACAGAAGCAGTCGGAGCCCATTGATTCATATGTGACGGATCTAAAGAGCAAGGCAAAGGACTGCGAGTTTGGAGATCTGCACGATTCCCTGGTACGTGACCGCATTGTGTGTGGAATAACTAACGACCAAGTGAGAGGCAGACTGTTGAGAGAGGCTGATTTGACACTGAAAAAGGCCGTTGATATTTGCAGGGCGAGCGAGCTACCAAATACTCAAGTCAAAGCACTGACAGAAGAGGTTGAAATGAACGCTGTTAAAACTGTCAAAAAGAAAGACTTTCGAGTGAAAGCAAATGCAGAACAGCAGACCGAGGCGAGCTGCAATAGATGTGGCTTTAAACATGGAGCTAATGCATGTCCTGCACTTGGCCAAATATGCAAAAAGTGTCAAAAGAAAAATCACTTTGCTAAAATGTGCAGATCACAGAGTCAGTCAGGCTCATGGAAGAAGCAGCAGCAATACAGAAGGAGAATGCATGCTGTAGTGCAGAGTGAAGAAGAGGATGACATGTTCATTGGCACACTTAGTGTGGAGCAAGACAAATACATCAGTATAATGGAGTCTGCTGAGACCGAAACTGAGAAAGAAAAATGGACAGAAAGCCTGAGAATTAATAACAATGTGGTGACCTTTAAGTTGGACAACTCAAAAGCCAATCAGGAAGTGAGCTGACCGAAGCAGAAGCGCAACAAATGCAACCATGGCAACGACACGTAAACAGAGACGGACGTCTGAACACAAAAAATCACCACATCTGAAAGAACGAGGGGATAAACACAAATATGAAACTATTCTTCAAACTCCGACTTCTTATAAAGCGTGATCAGTTTCCTACATCCAATCAGGAGCCAGGGGAGCGTTGTTAGCCGTGCGTGAGACCAGCTTCATAAACACCGAGAGCTAAACCGGCTCTGAAAAACACGAAGATGAAACTTCTCCTCAAACTCCCAACAGGAGTTCCTGAAACTGCTGAACAAAGTCCTGGCATTACCTTCAGGGAGGACGAGTTTACTCTGCTGAGCCTGTATTTACTGGAAAATGATCACAGTCAACACGGTTCTGTTTGTCGGTCCAAGTCGAGCTCATGCTCATAAAATCATGTCGCCGTTTTCCCGCCGCTGCCAACATACCAGGAGGAGCGTTTAGCAGAAGTTTACCTAATCTGCAGAGTTGTTTGTGTGCGCTCTCCTGGCAGAGTGAAGCGGCGCTCTGTGAGGATGAGGATGATCACTCTTTGTCTCTGCGTATTCACATGGTAACATATCAGCCAGCCAATCAGAGAGCCCCTGGAGAGCAGAGGCGCCCTGTCTTCACCGAGTAACCGCACACACTCGCACGCTCCTCTGACCTTGAGAGACGTGTGATTTTTCCCTCTTCCCTCCTGAGCTCCTGTGACGATTCAGACTCAGAGGAAGACGGCGTGGAGATTTGATTCTGTCTGAAACCGATCCTGACATTATCTCCACGGGGGTCACAGAGACACACAGCAGAGTGTAAATGTAATCACTGCTGGATCAGGACTCTGGATTTCAGTCAGCGGGGGGGCTGAATCTGTCTCTAAACATGGCAGGTCTGTGGAGGATGGGGTCGTTTTAAAGGAGTGTTGGTGTTTTTGAAGAGGGTGGGGCGAATGTCCCACAGAGGCTGCAGTCGGCTCCGCCTCTTTGTCCAGAAACAGGCTGGAGACCCAAATGGAGGCGGGGTCAGCTTCACCACATCGTTAATCAGCTTTCAGGAACGCCAGTGTTACTCTAAGTGTTCATAAGACGAGTGACCGATGTTCCCGATGTTCCACTGCAGTCTTTATACTGACAGTTTTTACTCACTAAAGTCTCTTCAGGATGTATCTGAGGTTTGGTATTTTACCTTTCAAAATAAAACTGTGTTTATTTTTCTGATATAAACTGATATTTCGGTCTTTAAATTAAAGAGTGACCTTCATTTGGCCTTTCAAAATAAAAGTGGGCTTAATCAAATGGGATGTAAGACTGTAATACCAAAATAAAAGCACAACAAAAGCAGCTGCTCTTCAAAGCTGTAAAATAATTTCTTTCTTCTGTTTCATCCTGTAACAGATTCTGATGAATTTAATTTTAACCTCAAAGACTCAAAGACCTGACGTTTATAGAGACTGTTTCCTGCTTTTACAGCTCGTTTGTTGGCTGTATGATGAGTTTTACACGTCCTGTATATCCTTCCTTAAGTGTTATATGTTAAAGTGTTTGAGCCTCCTCCTCCTCCTCCTCCTCCTCCTGCTCCTCCTGCTCCTCTGTGGAGGACAAACTCTCCTCATTACCTCCATCTGAGACTCTGCTGCAGAGACGGCCTCACCTCAGCCTCATAATGAGCTGTACTCTCCTTTACAGCCGCACTTTGCATCCAAAAACAAAAGATGAATCGAGAGTACGCACACACAGACACACACTCAGACACACACACACACTCAGACACACACACACACTCAGACACACACACACACACACACACACTCAGGCTTACACAAAGGAGAAGACAAAAACAACCACAGGAGTCGAATTAGAAGAAAAAGGAGAGCGAGCGTCTCCGACATCAAACAGCTGCTGGGTTCAGCTCTCACTGGATGAACCCTCTCCGACCTTATTATCACATCATTGGACAAGGACACGGATTAGACAAGGACACACACTCTCATTTGTTCCTCATACAGCAGCTGTGTTGGACGGATTTCAATCGAGCCGAGCTTTTGTTTGCTTCAGCTCAGAAATGCAAAGAGGATGAAATATTTACGGCTGGATTTCAGATTTAAGACTCGAGACATCCTAAAATCCAGACCTGAGACTTTGGATCAACAAGTTTTTAGGCTTTCCTGACAGTTTAGGATCTCCAGTCTGGATCAAGTCCCCGGTCCTCAGTGTGTAGTCCAGTTTGAGTCTGAGTTGAGTCCCCGTCATCTCGCTGTGTAACCTTCAGGATGTGCAAAAACCACATTCCCCCCTGAACCCATACTGGGAGATCTCTAAACCTAAAGAGCCGTGTGTCCAACTCAGATGAGAGACCATGTCCATGAGAGACGCCCTCAGTTTCTGCTGAGGTGGCGTCTCTGCAGGTCTCTAATGAGATCTAGATCGATCAGCTGCAGCACTTCCTGTTCTCTTGAATTTCAACGAGCCAAAAGTTTTACCAACAAGTTTTCTTTAGTGCCATTGACAGATTTTGACGGATTTTAACGTTTCCTTGTTTTCCTCCAGAGGGCGCTCTTCTTCAACATGGGACTAACTTTGTTGTTGTTCTGAACGCAGAAAAGCCGACAAATACGTCATGACCACGTTACAATTACAAAAAAAAGTACCCTCCAGTGAGAAGTTTGCCATCAAGTGTGCCAGTTCGCCGAGTTGTGGAGAGTTTTTTCCTTTTGAGGAGAGTCGGAAAATGCCGAAGTCATTAGCCAAGAGCTAACGGTCTCAACGCATCGGATCCCGTGGGTGTGGTGCTACCGTCTCAGGATCCAGTGGAGATCCTGGTACTGGACCTTCACATCGTCAGCAGACAATCAAAGAAACAATTTTCCGGCGTGTCGTTGTGCCGCCGGTGTTAGTACTGGTGAGAGAGACTGAGCTGGAATACAGCGACAATCTCGGCGAGGAGGATTGTCCGTGTGGTTTACGCCACGCCGTCAGGTTCTTGAGAGCCGATACGGCTCCCAGCCGTCACAAAGTGACCTATCACAATAGGATCTGGAGAGTGATGAGGATTAGTAACCGAGGAGGGAGGACTTTGATGCCACCGGTAAAATAGTTTGAAGTGAAATGAAAAAGACGATCCGAGTTCGGCTTGAAAGTCTCTCCTTCGTAAAAATGAGTTTTTCCAGATCGGCAAAGATGACACGACCACGCTGCATTTAGCAGACAATAACTAAACACAGGAGTGGGTCAGAGACTAACTTTATTTTCTGGTGAAAGGAGAGAATCACTTCTTTCTTTTGAGATATTGGACTTAAATCTAGTCCAAGAACAAGATAATCTGAGGGTCCTGAAAGATAAGGAAATTTCTATTATGGTCAATGGTGGCACTGGGTGAAAACTGCATAAATGAACCTGGAACTGAAAGAGTTAGAAGACCTGGTCTAGACCCGACAAAGACCTGACATTATCGCAGTTGTGACGTGTGATCAGGACCAGACAAGACCACGGGGGGGAATTAATCCAGATTATCATGGTCTTGGACTGGAGACCAAAAACTTTGACTGAACCAGGCGGTTAACGAGTTAAAGCTGAGTGTGTGTGTGTGTGTGTGTGTGTGTGTGTGTGTGTGGTTTCTGGTGTGTCTGCAGGCTGCCTCAAGTGGACACTTGAAGAACTGCAGTTTTTAATAATAATAATAATAATTCATTTTATTTGTACAGCGCTTTTAAAAACACTCAAAGACGCTTTACATGGTACGTAAAATTCAAGATAATAAGACAAAGACATAAAAACAGTAAGAAGGACGAAACAGTTAAATATTAAAAGCAATTTTAAATAAGTGAGTTTTTAAAAGGGATTTAAAAGTAGTGGGGTCAGGGCAGTGTCTGATGGAGGGGGGTAGCGAGTTCCAAAGGGTAGGGGCAGCTGTGGAGAATGCCCGATCCCCCCAAGTTCGGTGCTTTGGTCGTGACAGTGGGGTGAGAAGATGGGCAGAGGAGGAACGGAGGTTACGGGGGGGTACATGAGGCTGGAGTAGGTCGGTGAGATAAGAAGGGGCTTGATGATGAAGGGCTTTGTGGGTGAGAAGGAGGATCTTGAACATGATGCGTTGCTTGATGGGGAGCCAGTGTTTTAGCGCGTCGTCCTCATTTCTCAGGACCAGAGTCTGCAGCTCGTGGACCACCGACTCTGTACTCAGAGTCTGTCAGGTGGCAGAGTCAGATTTTACAGCTCACTGTTACATTTCTTTGCATCATCTGTGGATATGATGAAGACGCTCTGAGCTGCTGCAGGTCGGTCGGCCTCTAAAGCTCATGCAGACTTTGGACGATGATCAGACGTGGTCCACAGAGTCAACATGATCTGAGAGTCTGTATTGTTCTCCACAGACCTTCATAAATGAGAGTAACAGGAACCCTCAGAGTGTTTAGTTTCACTTTAGATTTCAAATTAAGATGAAGCAGAATCAGCTGCAGTTAATTGGGGCATTAACGAGCGAGTTTCTGCGATTGTTTGTGTGTGCGCCCCGGAGCAGAGATCTAATGTTTGATTAAAAAACGTTTCCACAGATAAAATACGACGGAGCAGAAGCTGATTGGTTCCAGGAGATCCCAGATTTCCTCTGACTCTCAGTTACAGATCAGAGCGTGAGCCCGTCTCCCTCCTCTGCCTTTCTTTTACATTGTGTGTTCAGATTGGAGATAGGAGTGTTAGGACAGCGATATATGCCATATATCAGCATAATCCGGAGCCTGCTGCAGGCGGGTCTTCTCGCTCCTCTGAGTCCAATTATAGAGCCTGTGTTGTGTAAGCAGACAGGCCGTGTTTCAGATCCAGCAGCAGCAGCCACCTCCCCTTACTTGACACCCACACACACTTGCATTATGTACCCGCCTATATGCACACACACACACACACACTAAGACAGCGTATGATTTTTGCCGAGGCGTGCTGTGGTTTCTGCTCTGTTGTTTACTCTCACATATGTACAGTTAACAAGGCAGAATTTATTTATTTAATGGTGCCAGCAGAGAGAAAAACCCGCTCGTCTTCACACTCGCTCTCTTCCACGTCTGCATCATCCCTGCCTCTGCAGAATATATTTATAGACGACTAATTTGATCTGCCAAATGCTGCCTGGGTTACATCCAGAGCGGCAGATCATGAGTCAATAAATTCTCCAAAATGTGGAGATAAACCCCCCGAGAACATCCCGTGATATCAACATTTCCTGAACCGACGCCCTGATCCGACCGATGCCAGTGTTTGTCTTCCAGAACTTTTACTCATCGCTGTGAAACCGAGACTTGGAGGAGCGATCAGAGGAGAGTTCTGGTTCTGAGACGACGTTTGGCTCGGACTGGTCAGACTGAAACCAAACCAGTGAGCCCAGTAGAGGCGGTCCCGGTCTGTTTCCAGTTGAACCCTGGAGTGGTTTACCAATTTACTCATCACACAGATGGTCGGAGGCTGGTGGTTTCAGACGCAGTAAAACAGCTGATCGTTAGCGTGATGCTAACCGTCATTGACCGTCAGAGCAGAGTCAGCTTTAGTTATACCTGTTGGCATAAAGGGGCGTTCAGACCGAGCACGAATAAAACCATCTACTCGCTTCATTCGCACGAACGATTTGCTCTATTCGCGACGATCATTTAGTCCATTCTCGTGTCAGCAGAGTGCTTAAAAGCCGTGGATAGCCGCTCGCCAATTCAACCGACGGGATCAAGTTGAAAGAAAACAGTTTTTCATAATTTACCCGATAATCCGACCTCCTCACTCACCTTCCTCCAGACAGCTAGCCGTGGATACGAGAGAGGGGCGGAGTCTCTACCAAGCATGGTCAGAGTGAACCACGTTCAGCGGATCGCTGCTCTGACAACCGTTGGAGATGTAGGCGTCGCCGTGTCTGGGTCTCATCCGATAGATGTGCCTGGATGGCGGCCGTTCCCAGCAGTATTTTCGGGTTACCTGAACCTAATTTGACGACCTGTTGGTGAGGGGCGGTGCCAGGATGTCCCTCAGGGATACCGATTGAAGGCGCTCTATCCCAGCTGCAGAGCGCCTGTCCATCAGCCGACTGTGAGTAACAGGATTTATGTTTATATTTTCACACCAGTCAACATCCTCTGATCTGTTTTCATACGTCACCCCGGAATATTCAAACTCATGGGTTATCGCGGCGTGAATACTCACTTGAGTTGAGATATTTTCAACTCTCACAAATTTGCGTCCGCCTGATTTGTGCAAATAACTTGCCCAGTTCGTCTCATTCGCTCCGCCAGAGCAGTACGAGCGTCTAATGGCGTCTTTGCATTGATTTATTGATTTTACATGTACTGTCATTCATTTACTCAAGCTTGTTCACAACAAGTGCGAGTCACAACTGACTCACTGAAACTTAAACTTAGGTTTGAAAGTGTTTAAGTCACATGACCTGAACCATGCTAGCTCGCACTGTTCTGGCCAATAGACGAGCCTCTTCCTCTTCCTCTTCCTCTTCCTCTCCATCTTCTCCTTCCTCACTGTTTGTTCAGGACCTCCACAATTAGTCAGTCTGACCGCAGTGTGAAACTAAGCCACATAAAGTGAACCGAAGCGGCTCTTTCAGGCCCGGTCCGACCCAATCCCCCGGACCGTCGACCTAAATCACTGAGTGTGCCTTTAATAATCCTCCCAGAGCTGATTCACTTTGGACTCTTTCTCCTCTGAAGGTTAAAACAGTAAAAGTTTGAAATAGTTCAGATATATGGAATCAAAGTTCCTCCTTGTGCTTTAAAGCCGGCTCATCTTTATTCATGAGCGCCGCCTCGCCGCCCTCAGTGAACTGTTAACAGCCTCAAATGTGGGAGCGCTGAAGGTTGGAGGTTCTCGGCTCATGGGCAGCCGTGAAAGAAAACAAAGATGATGTTTTTCATACTTGTGTCATTATTGTTGTGAGCGTGCCCGCTGCAGCGGTATGTGGCCCCGCGGAGTCTTTAAAGCCGCTGACTGGAGGCCGTGTGTCAGTAATGACACCCGCTGGGAGAGGGATATTGCTCATCCTTCCTCTCTGAACACATCTGCTCCTCCTGCCGCCTCGCTCTGATATATCTTTAACATAAACCGACACGCTGTCCTTCACCTGATATCTCACACAGCTTCTCTTTCAGGCTCCCGTCCCGTCATCTCTGACAGCTCAGAGAAGAAGAAAATAAACCTCCCTGCAGATTTACAGAAAAACACCACAGCCTGTTTCTGTTTTCAGACACTCAATAATCCTGATAATCCTGTCTTTTAAGTCCTGGTTGACGATCTGAGAAGCAGATCGGAAAAGAGCGCCCCGCCCTCCCCACGACAAACCCCCTCTATCAGAGCAAGAAGCCGGCCGGCAGAAGATCCTTCGCTAGCTTCAAATAGGATCCACCGTGTCGGATTGTTAGTGACTAGCGGCGGTAAACGCCAGCTCTGCTAGCGAGCGCCGTCTGCAGCGACCGTGTTGACATGTCAGAGACTAATCAGAGTTATTTATGTAACATGAGCCACGATAAGAGGAGATAAAAATGACCTGTTCAACTAAAACTCTGCTGACTCAGCGTCTGTTTATGACCCGATGGTTATTCACGTTAGATTCCTCGCTTGGTCACATGTCCTCTTCGACTCCACCCTTTCTTCTGTTGGCGTTTTCTTCCCACTTTTGGCGGTGTGGCGAGCAGAAGTGGGTTTTTTTGCGTCCTTCTCCATCACAGCTCCTGTAGCTAAGCTGCTACGCTACTTTTAGCCGCTCAGAGCTCCGAGGAGGGCCGGGAGAGAGGGAGGGGACGAGTCGGAACTATGGGAAGGCCCCGCCCTCCTTTGCCTCTGATTGGCTAGAAGTGCTGGGATCCGATTGGTTATTCCTAATGGCTGTGAAACGTCATCGTTTGTCGGGTTAGGAGATTCAAAACTGCGATAATATTCTGTTCGATGTTCAGAGCCGACAGCTTGCGTTTGTCTTGAGCGTCTGATGACGTTTCCAGCTTTTCTAGCCAATCAGAGGCGAAGGAGGCGGGACCTTCCCCTATCATCCAATGAAAAAAAAAATCGCCTATGGGAGAGGGGTGTGTCGAATACAGCAAGGTGATTGGATGGAGAGGCGGAGCAGGAGATTGACCAATGGGAGCTGTCTGTGACGGATGGCTCCCACTGGTCGATGTTTTTGCAGTCCTGCACCTGATAGGATGAACAGATTTTTTCTCTTCACTTTGTGGAGATCGCACTATAGGACCATGATCGCCATAGAAACGAGGTTCATAATAATTACCGACCTCTACAACCGTCAACCATGACTTTAAAGATGAAGTCGCAGGTTTTACTGACGTCTGTGAGTTTCTTATTTTCTCTAAAACTCTTCAGAGTTGATCTGAAGTTTCTGGCGTTTCTGCAGGAACCAGATCTTCTCACAGAGCTGAGACCCTCCCTGACAGATCACGTGACACAGATCCAGGTCCAGGCTCTCACTCCTCACACACTGTGACCTGTTTGTGTCTCGGTCCAGAGTTTTTCTGTCCTCTTAAACCTGAATCACCTCCACCACAGAGCCTCCTCTTCCTCTCTCTCTCTCTCTCTCCCCTCATCTCTGTCTCCTCCATCCGTCATGTTCCCACCCGACACCTTCTCTCTGCTCACAACAACACTCCCTCAGACTTCATGGCACCCATCCTCCTCCTCCGTCAGCTCTTCTGTTTCTTCATACCTCAATTCAGCCATCCATCGATGCAGCCAGCAGAGCGTGCTTCTCTTCGGCCCCCCTGAGGCACCAATCCCATTCACACCCTGGAAACACCTCTGAGGAGTGTGCAAGTGTGTACGTGTGTGTGTGTGTGTTTGTGTGTGTGTGTGAGTACAAAAGGGTGTGAAACGATAAATGTTGGATACACAATGAGAGAAAGAGGTGAGGAGGCATCACGGAAAACAGATCAGGGTTTTTATTTAACTTGAGTTCGTGCAGCAGGAACGTGGAAGTGGTTCAGAGGAAAGAGTTTAAAGAAAGAGAGTTTTTTAAGACAAGTGGGGGGAAAATAAGAAACATGTTTGTTCAAAAGACGGAAAAAAATAAAGGTTTTGAAAAGTAAAGACAAAAAAATCAAGGTATTAAGAAGTAAAGACAGAAAAAAATAAAGGTTTCAAGAAGTAAAGACAGAAAAATCAAGGTTTTAGGAGGTAAAGACAAAAAAAAATCAAACTTTTAGAAAATAAAGACAGAAAAAAATAAAGGTTTCAAGAAGTAAAGACAGAAAAATCAAGGTTTTAGGAGGTAAAGACAGAAAAAAATCAAACTTTTAGAAAATAAAGACAGAAAAAAATCAAGGTTTCAAGAAGTAAAAGCTGAAAAATTCCAGGTATTAAGAAATAAAAACAGAAAAAAAATCAAACTTTCAGGAAATAAAGACAGAAAAAAATTTCAAGGTTTCAGGAATTAAAACGATGATATAAAAAAAAAATCAAGGATATAGGAAGTAAAAAGAGAACAAAATCAAGGTTTTAGGAGGTAAAGACAAAAAAAAATCAAACTTTTTAGGAAATAAAGACAGAAAAAATAAAGGTTTCAAGAAGTAAAAGCTGAAAAATTCCAGGTATTAAGAAGTAAAAACAGAAAAATCAAGGTTTCAAGAAATAAAACCAGAAAAAAAATCAAACTTTCAGGAAATAAAGACAGAAAAGAAATTTCAAGGTTTCAGGAATTAAAACGATATAAAAAAAAAATCAAGGATATAGGAAGTAAAAAGAACAAAATAAAGGTTTGAGGAAGTAAAGACAGAAAACCAGCTGAGAGAAAGTGTTCAGTAGTTTTAACAGCTCGTGTTATTTCTCATCCCTCCACAGACATTTAAAGGAGCGTTATGAATTAAGGAGACCGTCGACCGTTTCTCTTTGTCCGTCACTTTCTCTCTGTTCGCCTCTCCGGCTCTGCTCAGGTGATAAAACGGAGAATACAGAGCAGAGAGCAGAGCGGTTTTCCTCCAGGGCTTTCAGTCAGGAAGTCAGCTGCAGAGAACAGCAGAGGAAACTCGCTCACTGCTGGAGGTTGTTCGTGGTCAGTCCAAGAATAGGTGTGCAGGGTGTGGAGTGGGAGGTGTAGCGTTCCCCTGTAGCATCTCAGTGTACCGTACCGTTAGTTTTGAGTCTGTTCTGAAAAGATTTTTGAAAACGCTGCTTAGTTTTTTTCTACATTTGCAGTAAAATAAAAGTTAGACTAAAGCCGACTAAAGCCTTCCCTTTTAACGCCCCTCCTCCTCATCATCATCATCTTTAACCGAACACAGTCATCATCAGCGTGAGCGTTCAATTAATCTGACATCCATCTAGATTTATGCTGCATGTTTTTTTTTTCCATCCCCCTCCACATGTCTCACCTTCTGATTGGCTATCGAGTTGTAAAAACCTCGACAGACATAAAAGACCAACTTTATCCTGCAAAAAACTGAAAGTTCCTCAATGAAGCTTTAACTGCATGGAAATACTCGTAACCCCCAATCTCCACCGCATCCGGAACGCTGCGATATTCGCCATTTGCCAATTCTTACAGGATCCGTTTGTGAGGCGAATTTCATGGCAGATCACAGACAGCAGGAACTGCGAGAACTGTCAACAACTCGCAGATTCAAGTGCAATCGCACAATAACAAGATGTCTCTATAAAGACAGACAAATAGGCTACGTTCACATTACAACAACGAGTGTGACATCTAATATGAACGGAACGCATCCGTGAAGTGACCCGCATTCGCACAAAACACAAATTGCTTTCCGCGCCTGTATGTGTCGTTGAACGATGGTGACGTTTGTCGCATATTGACGATGGAAAGAAGTCGGTGTAAATTGACACGTTAACTTGAATGGTTACGATCAGCTATGATTGGCGGATACGGCCTTTTAGTAGACGTTCAGGATGAAGGTGGAGATTTGGGATGATATCACTCTTCTGTGATCTGTCCTGAGGTCTGATGGATCAAAATCTAACACTCTATTGGAAAGAACAACTGGACTTAGTTGAGACGTTTCCCCTAAGGCGAAACGTCTCAACTATGTCCAGTTGTTCTTTCAACGAAGATTCAGAAATCATAGATGGTGAATCCAGTAGAGGGTTTGAGGTCAGTATTCAGAGGCTGTTTCTTTCCGCTGTTGTGATTACAGTCTGATGTGATTTCTGACCCTCTTAGGGAAATTTGTCCCGACGTTAAAACTAAAATCTGTTCAGACTCGGCTGTAGACCTGTGACAGTACGACTCACGGGTTAATCTGTGCTGAATTTATCCGCCATGCTCTGGCATCCGGAAAAAATAGAATAGAAAAAAGAAGTCGGTGTAAATTGACACGTTAACTTGAATGGTTACGATCAGCTACGATCGGAGGATACGACCTTTTAGTCGACGATCAGGATGAAGGTGGAAATTGTAGGTAATGCTCCAGAGTTGTTTTGCACCACTCAGATAACTCAAATAAGTTAGCAAAATAAGAGACAGTTTGAAGTTAGTGAAGAACCAACATGAGCTCCTTCTTACTGCAGGAGTCTCAGGATCAGGTTTATGGTGCAGGTGTCTGAGACGACAGCGTCAGGTAGTTGAAAAAGAAACTTCTGTCTGCTGTCCACCAGAAACAAGCTGTCCTATTAGTGCTCAGACATGATCTGTGTGTGTGTGTGTGTGTGTGTGTGTGTGTGTGTGTGTGTGTGTCTTTGCTCTGTTTGGTATACCATCCACCTTCACCGACGCATCCTCCCCTCTTTGCTGTTAACGTGCTGTTGCTAAGATACCAGCCGCTCATCTTTACTCCTCCACACACACACAACCAGCCTGAACGTGTGTGTGTGTGTGTGTGTGTGTGTGTGTGTGTGTGTGATCTTTACCTGCAGACTATCTTAGAGATCCACACACACACACACACACTCTGTATTAATCATAGCTCCACACCCGTTCGTCACCTTAAAGGTCGCTGTTTTTTTGGGGAAAAAAAAGGTGTTTTTTTCTTTCGCCTCCCACTCTCCCACAGACTCGGCCCCGCCCCTTAAAACCTGGAGACAAATTAAACAAGAGACTCAGACTGACCCGAGATCAGCCGAGACACTTTGAACAACAACAACATCAACATCTCTCAGCTCTTTGAATAAATGTCATGACGCACTAATGGAAAGATGTTTCTGCTGCGTCTGTGTTTGTCTCCTGACACTCCGGCTCTCAGCGGAAATCAGCGCCTGAAGGTCCAGCTCCCATGAGGCCGTTCAGGGAGGAGGACTCCAGAGAGACGGAGCTGAGCTGCTGAATATGAATGAACTGAGACCTGTCCTACAGAGCGAGGCGAACACAGAGAGGGTTATTAGTCTGACCTGATTACATGATATCACCGTCTTCAAGATACCGGTGAGTTAAAATGATGCACTTTATTTATAGGTGCCTTTCAAAGTCGAGGAGGTTAGAAGAAGACAAATAAATGAGTCAACAAAACATGATTAATATAACAGATGTGTGGAGGGAGGGAGCTCCAGAGTCGGGGAGCAGAGCGACGGGTGGGACAGTGAGGTGGAGAGAGCTCTCAACCCGAGGGGAAGAACTGTCGGGTTTGGTAAAAGTGGATTCAGTGCCAATAAGAAGATCTTTGGTTTTATCACCGTTGAGTTTTAGGAAGTTTTGAAAGAACCAGGATGTTACGGCCGCCTTAAGGCCTTTGCTGCCTCTCTTTTTTTTTGTTATTGCCAATTTTACTTTTGTTAATAAATAACTTGATTTGATCATTTAACATCTGGTCGGTTTTATGTTGCTTCCCTTCTCCCCTAACGAGCTGGTCGTAACACATGATTTGATTTCTTTGATTGACAGAGGAAGGAGCTGGACTTGATGAAAAGGTAGAGCAGGGAGTCATCGGCGTAACAGAAGATATGACCAAGAGGAAGAACGTAATTAATCAGGGTGTAACGATTCGATTCTTATCATGAACGAATCATGATAGAAATCGATTCATTTCACAACGATTCAATTCGATGATTCGTTCATGACGGTTTTGGTTCATTTAAAACAAAACAGTCTGAAACGATTCAGTAACTTTTTATTAAAAAATTCAGTCAGTGTGACTGTGAAATAAAAACATGGATACTGGACAGAGCAGGTGACATTCTTAGATTCCTGTTGTTTCTTGTAATCAGGTATCAGTTAGTTATGTTTATAAACAAAGAAGTAAACAACAGTTAAAAGCAAATGTATTTACATTTTATTTAAATAAAGTCTAACAGGAGATCAACCTTTTCTGTTCTTAGTTTAAATATTCAATAAATTTTTAATGAAAGTGCGGTTAGTGAATTCAACATTTCTGTTTTTCACCATTGAAATCATACAAACACGACAAACACTGGACCTCAATGGCGGCTTGATCATTTCTCGCTCGCCGACTTCACCTCCGCCACCCGCCATGCTATGTTTTGTTGTCTGCTGGCGCGTGGCGATGACGTCACAGACAGGTAGACTGAATCGAGTAACACTTTATTTATGTCTTTATTGTTATTAAACCTGTTGAGTTATTTCTTAGTATCAATACAAACGATTAATTACATTTTAAAAATGACATTAGATCGATATATGTCGAGCACAGATCGATAGAGTTGGATCATAGGAATATAAATCGATACATGGATGTCGTAGATGAATCGTTACACACCTAGTTATTAAAGAAGAGACGGGGCCCAGAGAGGAACTCTGGGGAACACCAGAGGAGATCCAGGAGGATGTGATGAGAAACGGTGAGTTATTATCATCTTTAAATGAGTTTTTCTTTTCTACTCACTGATTCAAACCGTCTGACACAGAGCTAACATCAGAATTATATAAACTGTACATCAGTCAGTTAGCATTAACTTTGCTGCCAACAGATTCTTCTACAGCGAGGCTGAAAGGAAATGTCATCCGGGATGAATCATCTCAAAGTTACTGATGATCCTCGTGAAGAAAAACTCCCCAGAAAATCATCGATCACGTGAGCCGAGAAGTCATGTAAGATCCACTACAAACCAGATTCCTCTCTCTCTCTCTCTCTCTCTCACACACACACACACATCAGTCGAACCGTAGGGACTACCTGTGTTTGTTTGTCTGTACACATTTGTACCCATATGTGAGCGCGAGGCCGCCTGCAGCACATCAGATGAGAGGGATGCCTTTCAAAATAAAGCTCTCTGTGGAGAGACGCTTCATGCCGCCTCTTAAAATCTCACCTAATTTTAGTTTTTGCCCGGGAAAACGATGAGAGCGAGCCGAGCTGGGGAGACGGGTCCAAGCGCTGCCGAGTGATGAGTCACTTCAGATGGAGCGAGAGAGAGAAATGGATCTGTTTATGTGGTCGGCCCGTACAGTTGATGTCTGCGACCAGCTGGATGATGAAGTTGGAAGATTTTCAGCTCTCCAAGAAATTTCAGGGAAAGAGAGAAACCCACTTTCCAGGATTTGGTCCAAAAGCAGAGGCTCTTTGTTCATCCCCTGCAGGTCTGCTGCCTCAGTTCACTCCGTCTGTGTTCTGGTCCAGCCTGGTTTTACACGGGCCAAGGACACAGTCATGTTGTCTATACTGCCTTTCTGTAACGTTCTCCCACGGACCCGAGCTATTCCAGGTGGAAGCAGAAAAACAACAGAGCAATCAATACCTCACACACGCAGGAAGGGAAAGAAAAATGATAATAATATATAAATAAATAAAAATAAAAAACAGAGGGTAAGTTTTACCCTGGATTTCCACCGCATCCGGAACAGCAGCAATTTTTGTCTTACGCCAATTCCTACCAGATCCGTTTGTGAAGTGAATTTCGTGGCGGGCTGCGGACAGCAGGAATCGTGAGAACTCACAAGAACCCGTGGATTCACGTGCAATCGTGCGAGAACAAGTTGTCTTTAGCCACAGAGGCTAACCATATAAGCAGTAGACTGTGTCCTTCCAGAGGAGGAAATCTACTTCTAGACTTCTAGAATCAGCATCTCCTCATCCATGGTGTCATCGGGGTGAAATGACGTCTAAAAACCTTTCACTTGTTCGTCTCCAAGGTTGTTCGTCTGTGCCCGACTTCCTTTCCAGCACGGGTTAATCTGTGCTGAATTTATCCGCCATGCTCCGGCGTCCAGAAAAAATAGAACTCTTGTGATCAGCTGAGGAGTCCGGCGATCCGCAGAGGAACGGAAAGAAGTCGGTGTAAATTGACACGTTAACTTGAATGGTTACGATCAGCTACGATCGGAGGATACGACCTTTTAGTAGCCGTCCCAGACACAAAGGAAATTGGAGGTACTGCTCCAGAGTTGTTATGCTAAAACTCAGATAACCGAGATAGACTCTGTCATAAAGGTTAGCAAAATACGAGACAGTTTGAAGTTTCTGAAAAACCAACATGAGCTCCTTTTTACTGCAGAAGTCTCAGGATCAGTGGAAATTGGAGGTTACATGAAGCACAGGTGATGTCCAATAAAATCAGATCTGATTGGTTTCATATACTCCGTCCTTTTGGTCCAGATCTCATCTCATAAACAATTTCAATCTATCCGTCAACGGTGGGAGGTTCCACTCTTAACTGTTTCCTGTTCTTATCATGGTTTTGCACAAAGGTAGCGACCATTAGGAGGTTGGACTCTTGTTGGACTCGTTTGAGTTTGGACTTGAAGTGACCTTCGTTTATCCCTCACAGCAGCTTTAGACACTTTCACTCTTCAGCCAATCAGAGTTGAGTATTCAGTTCAGGTATAAATCTGAGTAACTCTCCAGACCTGTCCAGCAGACCCCCTGCTGACAGGCCCGTATCATCAGTCTTGAGCGTGTAACCTCTGCGGCTCTCGTCCTTCCTCTCACTGTGTGCTTATGTTCAGCCATCTGTTCTTTCCCCTCATTTCTGCTCTCTGCTGGGTTTGGACCTCCTGTCTGCTCAGACTCTCTGCACTCATCTGTCTGTTTGGACCGTCTTTTACAGCCGGGAAGTCGGACCATTCAAATTCTGATTTGGGTCCTCGGTCCTGTTACATCTGTGATATTTCTCTTTAGGATTTTGGAAATGAAATAAAACAATCAGAGTTTCTTTCTGTTTGAAAACCAGAAACAGGATCATTGTTTTCCCTTTTTACCGTGAAGTGATGTCGAGTAAACTTAAGATAACAAAAACGGTCTTAAACGCAGCTGATGTGGATTTTCCTGATTATTATTTTTTCCTGATATGAAGCATAATTTTCTTATCATCTGCACTTTTATTCTGAAAATTCCCACAAGTTAAATCTGCTTGTTTTCTCATCAGATAATTCGATTCATTTGTGAACCAGAAACAAAAGAATAATGATTTTCTTTTTCGTTCCAAAACCAGAAACAGGATAAGTGTTTCAGAGTCTAAATTAGATATCAAAATAAAGCACCTTGGTTTGTTTCCTGTCCTGTTTTTCTGTTTATCGTCTATGAAGACAAATGGCCGATGTGTTTTAATGTTCTCAAAATTATTAGAATTAGAATTATTAGAAATAGCACATAGATAAAAATAATATAAGAGTTCAGTCTAAAGCGTTTTCATGCTGGATAAATGGTTTTGTATCCGGGTAGAGAAACCTCTGTCTCTAATGAAAACTGCCTGAAATAGACAGAGCTGACTCGGTGGTGTGAAAGTGTGACGCCGGTTCGTCACAGTCCTGTTTAACCTGCAGGTGGAGGTGTGAGGAGGTGTGATGCTGGAATCAAACCTGCTGTTGGAGCAGGAGGAACATGTGACTGAAATGCATTTACTCAAGAGCTGGATTCAGCCAATCAGCTCGACTGTTTTTGTTCAACCACCACATGTTTTTAACATTTGATTTATAAAGTGCTGAACACTGTAGGAGATCCAACACTTGGTTCTTGAATCTGGGTGAGATCAAAACCTTCATCTCCCACAAGTCTGTTAAATTTTTGCCTGAGCACACAGGTCAACTCTGAGTGGTCCACTTACAGTGAAAGAGTGAGGTTAAAGGTACAGCTCTGTGTGGTTGTATACGGTCCTCTGAAGTGTAGGGGTTGTTGGTCGGCTCTGCCCCTTTGTTAGGAAACTAACTGGAGTACCGGCACCAAAGCCGAGCTATTAACCCCTGCTGGACCAGATCAACTTCTACTCTGCATCTGACAAATCTGGAGAAAGTCTGACCCACATGCTGAGTATTTGCTCCATTTAGAGTTTTTCCAAAAGTGAGTCCATGTCCAGGAGTTTAGAGAGCCCACAAACCAATCATGAGTTGAACTCAGCGAGAACAGGACTGAGTCAGACGAGACCAGCGGCTCATGTAAGGCTTCATCCAGAGTCACTCTCCATCCCGAGTCCCTCGTCTCACTGAGCTCTGTAGTTTGACCACAGCTCCTTAAAGGTGGAGTGGACAGGATTTCATTCAAGAAGCATCTTTTTATTTTCTGGTGTATTTACAAAAAATCAATTAGTTATTGATGACATTTGGTAATATATCGATATCTCTGTGTTCTCTTATGTCTGTGTCGTCAACATTTGAACATTTTTGAGCGGTCCGCTCTTTCTGACTGTAAACAAAGCCGTTCTCCACCTCCTCTAACCTGATTGGTTGTGAGGCAGACGCTGCTCCCCCGTGTCGTTCAGGAGCCCAAACAAAGTTAGCGTGCTACAATATCGGACAGTAGAAACCAACCAGAAAGTTCGGAAAATTGTCTGAATCCTCCTTTGGCCACGACTGCCGACACAAGCAAGAAAACAAAGTAAATACCGGAGACTCTGGAGGAATAACGGGCGCTTAAAACGGAGGTAGACCGGACAAGAGCTAAAAAGCCGGGTCAACATAAACCATGGGGGACGCTTGGGGATCTTGGTGACCCTGTAACCTTTCTGCTGGACAGGTAAACCGCTTTAACAAAGTAAGACAAGTGTCTGTAACAGAAGTGTTTCTTGTCAAACGGACCTGCTGTAGCGTGTTGTAGCGCCATCGCTAAACTGTCCTCCCTCGGGTCCTGGACTATGTCACTTTATCCTCGTTGTAGAAGTCCTGCAAACATTGTGTTTGCTGGTAGTCTGTTGGCATCTACAGTAGCACCAATGCTTTTGACTTTCACCTTGACTGGGCCCCATTTGTAATGATCTGAAGTATTTATCTGCATTATATCTGAATTTAATTGGAACGATACGAGCGAGCAGGAGCGTCTGTTTGTGGGCGGGGCTTAAGAGAGGGAGGGGAGGAGCTGAGGGGAAAACTGGTTCGGAGGGGTCGAGTTTACATTCAAGATTTCTCCTAAAAACTGGAACTTCCTCAGATCCGGACTACAACACCTTAAAGTCTCATCTGACACCTGCCCCCTTTCAGAGTCTCAGTCTGAGAAGTACCCCATAGAAATGAACAGTTCTTGTTTCTGGTGCTCATATTAGCTTTGAGGGTCCCAAAGAGGAACCCACCAGTTTAAACTCCTCCCAGTAGCTTCATGGAGGCCATGCCAGTGTGAGAGGTAACATGTGCTGAACATCCCAGTTACATTGGTAGAGTTATACTGTCACCTTTTGGTAAAGAAGTACAATCACACTTTTGTTGATTAATTGATTTTTTTTTATTTTCATTTTTAAATAATAGTTCCACATCATGGCAGTAATGGATACAAAGACATGGTGTTAAAAATATACATGTACTAAAGGAAAGAAGAGATAAATAAGGAAGAATTAAACTTCAGTGGGCTCCTGACAAAGAAAAACCTGGAGTTTATGACTTCATGTTTTAACAGGTTTAAGTTCTACAATACTATTGAATTAAAAGCTGTTTGATTTTGTAGGTAAAAACCACTCAGTTAAATTACAAAGAATCCATAAAGTTAAAGTTTAAAATCAGATAAAGATCCTAGAGAGAGATTTAAGTCGAATAACAAGCGTTAAAATACGAGAAACTTAGTGACAGAGAGTTTGTGAATATTTACTCGAAGCATCGGTAAAGCTTGTTGACTCGGTCGATATCGTTTTGGCTCATCCTTGGGGCGCGTCCAAACTCAAGGTTGGGGTTCTTTTTTGCCACGATGGTTGGCCGACCGTTTTTGGAGAAAGCGTAACTGGGGGAAGAAACAAACAACAGTTTTAGTCCCAGTGTTAACTCTGACTTTGACTTTGGGATGTCAGTCGATGGACATGAACACAAACACTTACTTGCTGTAATGCATGACAGAGTTGAAGTCGTACGGAGTTCCCAGGTTCTTCGTCTGCTCCTTCCTGAAGTTTGATTCTGTACCTGCAAGAAGAGAAAGCAGAAAAACATCTTCAACTGGATTATCCTTCATCACAGACTTACTCTGAGGCTTCGGCTGATTTACGCCAACGATCCAGCCAATGAGAAACCACCGCTGATGACCCCACCTGGCTGGATGTTCTGGGTGAGGATAGTGACGTGCTCATCTCTGTCTGAGCGGACTTGCTCGTGGTGGAAACCCAGAGCGTGGAGGACCTCGTGCTGAACTGTGTCCAAGTACAAACATCCCCTTTGACTGAGGGAGATCGGCTGTCCACGGTTCTGACGGCCCACGTAGGAGAAACACCTGAAACACACACAGTGACACCATGCTTCAAAAAACGCTGCTGCACTTCTTCAGGTGGATATTTCATCATTGAACCACAAAATACAGAAGAAGAAGGTGAGTTGGTTCGTTGGTTCGTTGGTGTGTTGGTGAGTTGGTGAGTTGGTGTGTTGGTGTGTTGGTTTGTTGGTGTGTTGGTGAGTTGGTGAGTTGGTGTGTTGGTGAGTTGGTCAGTTGGTGTGTTGGTGAGTTGGTGTGTTGGTGTGTTGGTGAGTTGGTGTGTTGGTGTGTTGGTGTGTTGGTGAGTTGGTGTGTTGGTGTGTTGGTGAGTTGGTGTGTTGGTGTGTTGGTGAGTTGGTGTGTTGGTGAGTTGGTGAGTTGGTGTGTTGGTGAGTTGGTGTGTTGGTGTGTTGGTGTGTTGGTGAGTTGGTGTGTTGGTGTGTTGGTGAGTTGGTGAGTTGGTGTGTTGGTGTGTTGGTATGTTGGTGTGTTGGTGAGTTGGTGTGTTGGTGTGTTGGTGAGTTGGTGTGTTGGTGTGTTGGTGAGTTGGTGTGTTGGTGAGTTGGTGTGTTGGTGAGTTGGTGAGTTGGTGAGTTGGTGAGTTGGTTCGTTGATGAGTTGGTGTGTTGGTTTGTTGGTGTGTTGGTGTGTTGGTTCGTTGGTGTGTTGGTTCGTTGGTGTGTTGGTGTGTTTGTGTGTTGGTGTGTTGGTGAGTTGGTGAGTTGGTTCGTTGGTGTGTTGGTGTGTTGGTGTGTTGGTGTGTTTGTGTGTTGGTGAGTTGGTGTGTTGGTGTGTTGGTGAGTTGGTGAGTTGGTGAGTTGGTGAGTTGGTTCGTTGGTGTGTTGGTGTGTTGGTGTGTTTGTGTGTTGGTGTGTGTGCTCGTACCCGTTATCAGAATAGAAGTAGATGTAGTTACGATGTTGGCGGCGTCTCCAGACGAAGCGGATGCAGGTGCTTCTGTGGAAGCTCACCAGGCTGTTGATGATGATGTTCTTCTCTTCGTTGTCTGCCGCAGACACACAGGAAGGAGACAGAGGAGACGTTTTCACTCTGAAGGTAACTCTTCTTTCCGCAAATCAATCAATCAATCAACTGATATCAATCTTAATCTAAATCTCAACTTTATGGATTCTTTATAATCAAATTTTTTACACTTGCATCCACATATTTTACAATTTACAGATTTTTTTTTGGATCATTATTCAGAAAATTAAACTTCATCCTGAATTTCTATTTATGTTTCTAACATAAATTTGCTTCAAACTGTCTTTAAAGTTTAATTTATCCCATTATTCATGCTATTACAACTTTTATTAGCTGTCAATCAATTAACAAACCTATGTCTCCGCTTCTTGATGTATTATTAAGGGTCAAAGGTCGCTCAGACTTACTGTATTGGCGTGAGATATCGACAGGTACGTAGACGTATTTTCCACTTTTAGGCCACAGGCAGGCGCCGTCTGTGCAGCGGTCTGCATTCCTGCCCAGACTTGGTAAGATGTCGCCATGGATCAGTTTGGTCTCTACAGAGAAACCGATACCCAACACACTTTTATGAATCTATAGTAACAACATAACAACATCCATAAATCTTTGGTGTGATTCACCAGGCCCTGCTTTGCTCAGTTTTTATCTTACTTGTGCCTGCGTTTGCTTTTTCGATGGTCTGGGAGACATCTGAGGAAACCTCTACAATAAACAAGAAAAAAAAGGAAAAAAGTCAGAAATGTAATATATTTGGACAGAAAAGATGCTTTAATTCTGATTTTGGACTTAAAGGGTGTCACACCATGAGTGTAATAGGAGATCCCTGTAACACTCATCACAGACACAGAATCAACACTTTTAATACATCAGTCCCTGATTGGACGCTCACCTGCAAACATGACATCTCTGCTGAACTTAAACTCTGGACATGACTAAACTCACTCCACTGACTTTCTAATGCTTCAAGTTACACACGTTTTCTCTGAATTTGGAAAATGTGCTTTTAGCTATGACGCTCCAAAAATGTGTAGTTATTATTTAAGTTATTCTAAGTCTCAAAATTGACATTTGGAGATGTTAATGACAGACCATTATCCTGTTGTTTCAAACTGTGTTAAATTATTACTTTTTTTTTCAACTTAAGATAATATACTCCTTTATTAGTCCCAGAAGGGGAAATTCCACATTTACAGTTCATCCCTTCCACGCCTGTTTAATGTCAAATCTGTATCTTGACATCATAGTAAATGAGGAAAACTTCAATGATTTTGGAGGGCTAAATTAAGGTTAAAAATAATCATAAAAACTCACCATTCAGAAGTTCATTATCATCAGCTGCCCACTGCAATACAAAGGTACAAAAATACACATTAAAAAACATGTTTTTTTTTCTTGTTTCCCATCTTTATCAGTGACACAGTTTCTTTTTTAATTAATTCTAGTTACAGAATCGCTGAGATTGTGGCGGTTCTGCTTCTTAAAGGCTTATTAAACTCATTAAAATAAACATCTAAATGCATTATGACCGACTTAAAGACAGTTTTGAGCTGCTGTAGCATGTTAAAGGAAATATTTTAACCAGCACAACAAAGTTTAGTGTGCAACTTAAACCAGTGCAACTAAAAATAAGACCGTAATGCACAGGAGCAGAGTCAGACTTACTGATGGGACGGCGCTCAGAGAGACGAAGAAGAGGAGGATGAAGAAGACTGGAGTCATGTTGAAGGTCTTCTCTGGTCGAGTTCCTGATGCTGGATGCTGCAGGTGTTCAGCTCCTCGCTCTTTATAGACGGCGGCTCTCAGGGTGTGTCTGAACCTTCACCAACATCCCTGTCATCACTCAAACACCTTGCTTATGTCCAGTTGCTTAACAGAAATTTTTGCGCTGAGGGATATTTTCCAGGAAGGTGACTTCACAGTGACATGCATTTTTAAGGGGTTATTCCACCTAAAGGCAGAAATATCACCCATTGTTCAGAAAAACTGCATCACAGAATGATGACAGAGGTGAAGATGAATTTATTACCTTATTCCCATACCCTATAGGACTGTTGTCTGAATATAATCTTAGTTTACAGCTCCTAAATTAATGTTATATAACAAATAAAAATAGAGACAGTAGAGACAATCTGTAATTAAAAAAAGAGACAGATAGATGACAGTATACAGCCAATTACCTTTAAAGTATTAATGTGAAACAAGTCTGTAATAGTGGGATTGAATAAGAAAAACAAAGAAATACAGTAATCTTAGATTAACCATAATATATATTTCAGAATGTTTGTTGATGCTTTTGTTGGAGGCAGAGACATTTGTTGTGGGATGTGTCTGTGATAACTGGATTTGGTGGGTACAGACGTCACAAAGTGGGTGAAATTTAAGAGTAAAGGAAGTATCAGGACTCTGAAAAGACTGAGTAGAAAACTGAGACGTGTTGTTTCCTCCTTCAAAACAGCAAAATGAGGCTTGACGAAATTATTTTCTTCTCATATCATGATAACATAATTTTGGAACTTTATTCTCTTAAAGTTTTTTATGACAGTTTTTTAGAAAACAATTCTTCCACAACTTTTTTCACAATTTGCCAAAATTCAAAAATCTTTAAAGTTGCGCTAAAGTTTCATTGAATACTTTACAACTGTCATAAATGTTTGTGTACTGTTTCACTAAAGTATATGTATTTACAACATCTTTGGACTCAATCATTGCTAGTTTATGTGTTTTTATCAGTTAGAGAGCAGGATTTGGTTTGCAATTTCAGACGTAGTTAAAAATGTGACATATATATATATTGCGATATTAAAAAATAGAGGAATTTTCTCCAGATGACCTGAATCTGAGTTTCTGCTGAAATCTTGAGGACAGTTAACCTGCTCTGATCTTCCCTCTTTTTTGTGAATGTTAGTAGAATGGCTTCTGTCTGTCTTAGAGATCTTTTTAGCTTTTATTGTGGAAACAGAAGTAAGGCACTGCCGACACAGAACAGGTGTTTGGTGACGTCATCCTTCTCGTAACCGAAATTATTCCAGATAAGTGACGTTGCTGTTCTTTTTGTCAACAAGCATTGATCTTCAAAGGTAAGTGACGTTGCTTTTCTTTCTACCAACAAGTATCCATCTTCGGTGGTTTTCTCCATTCTTTCTCATTTTGTTATCGTTGTTGTTGTTATCGATGTTGTGCTGAGAAACACATGCCCATCGAGGATTGCATGCACCTGGCAAAACGCGCACCGCTTATAGAAAAGCGGTCCACGGAAATGTACTATTTCAAACCCATACAGTTCTTAATTTTGGGGATAAACAGCGATGAGTAATGTTCCTAACGTAATTCTCGGCGGACACGCGTTTCTCGGAACAACACGGTAGCGACTCACTCCATGTGCCGGCCATGTGCAGGGGCGTGGTTTCCTCCTCTCTGATTTTGATTGACGGCTGGCAGGATAGTCTGATTGGCAACTGAGTAAAGAACGAATGTGATTGGTGGATCGCTGCACAGCACATGCAGAGTCACATGCAGTGTATCTCAGTCGGCTACCGTTGAAATTAGACCAGTTAATTCAATGTGACTATCGCGCACACATACATCGCGATGACGATGCTCAAACGATATATCGTGCAAACCTACACCTTCATTAATGAGTTTCACCTGTGTCTGTCTGCCTCACCTGTTGCTCATTTCCCAGAGTGTATACAGTCTCCGTCCTGGTTCGTTCATTGTGTGGGTTTGTTGGTCTGTGTGTGCCGGTGTATGTTTGGATCCCCATTTAGTCTCCCCAGTGCCTTTTTGTTTGTTCAGATTTTGCTCCTCGTGTTCTTTCCTTTGGATCTGTCAGTTGGACATTTTGAGAGTAAGTTTTATTTGGACTTTTACTTTTTTTACTTTTGCTGAAATAAATCCTTAGTTCTGCATTTAGGTCCTTTTTTCTTTGTTTAACCCCTGCCCCGTGAAAACACCCCTTTAAGTGAGATATGAAGTGTGAGGCATCCAGCTCGGTAGGAAATCGGGACCGGGCTGGAGTGATTTAAAACAAAATCACAAAAAAGGAGAAAAAAAAAGTAAAGTACAGTAAAATTTTCCACTGTTTGGGAGGAAATCTTTGCAGGAGAAGCTGAGAGTCAAACAGCATCAGGACACCAAAGTTACACTTTTTGTAATGATGCTAACACTTTGAGACAGGGACGTCACATCACACACATACCTGTTTAAATACCCTTCAGTCTTTTTAGAGGCGATATCTTTCCTTTTAGTCATACCCTGAACTGAAAGTATAAAATGGGATTAAAAGGGATTATGGATGTAGGATTTTTAATCTGATGAATGCAGTTGAAGTTCAGTGTGATCACTCAGAGGGTTTCACAAACCTGCTCCTCTCCTCCTCTCGGGGTCAAGGCTATTTTTACCCAAAGTGAAAATCTTTCTGTCTTCGCAGACACCTGTCATCAGTCAGCTCTGGGTCTGTCTGCACACAGAAGAACAAAAGGTGAGTGAGTGAGTCATTTTTAAGTGACAAGACTCATTGTTCACTCAGGGACAAAAAGGGATTAAGTGGACACCAGGAAACTCTCATTTCTGAGTAAAGTGTCGGTTAAAGCTTCTGTGAGGAGGTTGTGAAACAGCCTGAAGAGAGAGGCGAAGACTGGTCATGACCCACGACAGAAAACAGGAGCGTCAGACTAAAAGGTCAAGGTATTTCTACAGAGTCGACTTTAAACCTGAAACTGCCCCGCCTTTCTTTAATCTGCATTTTTAAAGGTGAACATTATTTAAAGGGGAAACTGTAGGAGTGAGCCAGAGGGATCAAATCATCTCCAGGAAAATAAAAGAATAAATACAGACTCTGTAAACATGAAATAGTATAAAGGGGAACAATCTGGTCCTGTTCCTGGTTCCTGGAGCGAATTCCACATATGCGAGACATCGAGGGTAAAACAGTTTTTTTCTTTACTCTGAGTGAAACTTGGTCCTCAGAAAATATATGAGATCTGTTCAAATGTCTCAGCAGACAAACGATGACCGAGCTGTTCTCCAGAAACACAAACAGTCATGATTTACAGTGAAGAGAGGTTTTTTTTTAAAGCTATTCAGAAACACTTGATGTGAGAGCAAAGGACAAAAACAACAACAAACAAACATTACAAAGAAAAAGGAAAAAAAAACAAAAACAAAAACAAATAAATAGATAATAGGGACATTATGATATTGCAAAATTGGGCGAATAAACAAATGCATTACAGATGTTCAAATACTGTTCCTCTAAAAAATTAAAAAAAATTAAAAAAAAAAGTTCTTTGTACATTTTTTTTTCTGTGAGTTTCTTTAAAGGTTTTTAATTTTTGTCTTACATTAAATTAAAAAAAAGGAGTGCATTTTTTCATTTAATGGATTTGAACATTTTTAACTATAATTATTAAACTTACAGTGAATTCTTAATTATATTTGACATGATTGGATTTTATAACAACAATTTTACATTATATTTAGTTTTACAAAACAGTGGTCAACACAACGGTCATGTAGCGTTGTTCTTAACTGACCGGGGTATGATTTACGTCTGTGTACCAGAAACCATCTACGACACAATTACAGCTGACTGACAGTTACACTGCAAACTACTGTCCAAGGCAGTACACAGTATTTACTGCAAACTGCATTTGACAGTAAAATGCTGTAGATGGTCTCAAATACAGCCAGTGTTAAAAATATGGGCCATAAAATGAAAAGGCATTCATGTTAAACTTAATTAGAAAATAAAAGAACTTTAAAAACAAATTTGAAAGAAGCAGATGACCAAAAAAGAGGTTTGACAGTCAAAGACTAAAATCCTCCAAAGTTTAAGTTTTGTGTTTTTAAACCTATGAGATCGAGCTGCGGTTTGTTTTGACTGAGTTAGTTTTATTGTTGTTGTTGTTTTTATCCATTTTAACCCATATTAAAATTAACATCACACTTTAAGGACTGTCTTACATTAATAAACTCTCACATTAACCATCCCTGTACCCCTTACTCTAAACCTGGAGTTTTGTCTTCTTCTGTTAAACTAGTCCACGTAACTTTGGGTTACATAAGTCTCCATTCATGATCTCACTCTCTGTCTGTAACAATCCTAAAACAACAATCCTAAAGAGCTACTGTTCAGATTTTGTCATCAGTTAAGTCAGTGTAAGTCCGAACGCTGAAGACGCTCACCTCGGATGAACAAACTCACTTAGCAGGAAACTCGTTCTTCTAACTCTTACATAAGTCCAGCAGACAGACGTTCAGGTGAGTTTCTGTGTCAGAAATATGCAGCTGTGGACTGTTTCTTCACTCATGTTGTTATTGTTATTACCTCAAGGTCTCTGAGTGTGTTGAAATGAGGATAAAATGAGACTGAAGAGGCTCAGCAGCTCTGCAGACGTCAGAGCGGAGGACTTAAAACTGACATTTGGAGCTCATGATTCATAAGAGTTCAGGTACACAGAGGAAGTATCTCACCTTAAACTAGGTCACTGTACAGGTCTTAGTTTGGTAGATAAAGACCATTTAGTGAGTGGATATTCTTAACTGCAAAAAGCTGTGATTTGACTGTATTGTGTGATGTGATTCATGCTCGTTATAATCTGTTTTAGTCTTAGTAGATTTTGTGTCTGAACAACATTAAAAAAGTGGAGTCCCTCAGGGTTTGAACCTCGGACCACTGTTGATCTTCAAAATGCCAGTAAAGGTTCCCATCAGTAGTTGGTCACTCTTCAGTGTATCACACTTGTACTCCTAATGACTGAGGCAGGCTAAAGAGACACAGTGACCATCAGGTGTTCTGTGAAATTCTGCCGATATGTAGATAAAATGCTCCAGATTCTTATTACTCTTACCCCAAATTTCTACTGCATGTGGAACCGCACCGCTGCGGAATGGCGGTGATTTTTTGCCGTCAACTAAGTCCCACTGGATGCGTTTGTGAGGCGAATTTAGTGGCAAATTCCGGACAGCGGGAATTGCAAGGACTCACAAGCGCCCAGGAATTCGTATGCAATCGCACGTGATAATGAGTTGTCTCTGTAAAGACAGCCATATGACCATACAAGCAATTGGTTGTGTCCTTCCAGCGAAGGAAATCCAAACTGTCCAGACCAGTAGATCAGACGCTTTACTGGAAATTGGGAATCGACCATGGGGAGGTGCAATATTTATCTTTATCTAAAAAGTAACCACGTCTGCATGGTGTGAAATACGATCCGCCTGAAACACGGAGTGTTTTATTTTGAAAAGAAGCCGGATGTTTTATTTTGTGTCTGTGCCCGACTTCCTTTCCAGCACGGGTTAATCTGTGCTGTATTTTTATGGCACGCTAAATAGAACCCTGGCGATCGGAGACGAAGCCCACTGAACCACGAGGGGCCGGAAAGGAGCCTGTGGAAATTGACAGATTAACTTGAATGGAAATGATCAGCTGCGATGTTTCGGATGCAGTGGAAATTTGGTACTAGTTTGAGTTTATCATGTCAAATAAAAATGTCATTTACTGTTTGTGACACTTTGAGATTTTAAAGGTATTTCTCAGTTTTTCTTAAAGATTTAAACATATTTTTTCCAGGCGAGCTGTTGATGCTCTAGATTCGTGTTTTCAGTATTAATATCATCAAACAGTGAGAACTTCCAATGAAAAAATCTGAACTTTTGATTCAACTGTTTGTAAAGAGAGACGGAAGCATATTACAAAATCTATAGGTAAGATTCCAGGAGGAGGGGTGTACAGACTAAACAAGGCTGCGTGACTCCATGGGGGGTGACGCCCAGGATTGTGGCTCTGCACATGTACAGACATGCACGGGTCAAAACAAGGTGGATCAGAAGTGGCAGAGTTTGAGATAATGATACAAGCAACATGAAACTACTGTAAAACAGCCAAGAAATACAGTAATGTACTGTAAAAATGACGAGGACAGGCTTTGAGGAACATAAACATATATATTTATTTTTAGTTATTTATGTACAACAGACAAAAAAAAATAAAAAACAGGAAGAAATCCCCAACCACCACCACCGCCAGAAAACAACAACAGCTGATTCCTCCTGTTTGTAAATACCATTCAGATCCGCAGAGTGAAAAAGGAAAAACAGAGTTTTTCATCAAAAGTACAGAATATTAAGACAAAGACGAGCCGATCAACATAAAGAGACGAACAACATCTGACACTTCTGTGAGAAAAATCCATGAAATTCTCCAACAGATCTTCACAAAACCACAATCTCTTTTTTTACTGCAGTTTGCTGTCAGCTCCCCCTATTGTTCATAAGATGACACTGCAGCTCCAAACCCCCATACTCATGATTAAAGTTAAAAACCACTAAAGCAGAGGAAAACGAGCAAACTGAGAGAAAACGATCAAAAATGCCAAATGAAAAAAATCACAATTTTAAACTTTTTGTTTGTTTTTTTACACTTAAAATAAGAGCTTTTTAAAATCATACTCCACACTTTAACTTTTGTACTTGTATTTTAAAACTGACCTTTTATAACTTATCTCATTATTTTTACCTGTTTTTCACTTCCTCCTCATTTACATTTTTAATACTCTGTTTTAACAGCTTTTTAAAAGTGCTTTATAGATTAGCCATTTTTAATATTTTATATTTTCTGGATTTCATCATTCACTTTAACGCTTTCCTTTTAAAAGTTTGCATTACATTTTATCTTTGCATTTCCAAATTCTGCTATCACAAATATATTTTCCCACTAAACTATGAACAACCATCCAAAATCAAAAGTTCATTTAAGAATAAAAAGTTCTACCTTTAAAAACATGACAGAGAGTGTCTGAATTTACACAGATGTTGAATGCGTGCACAGTAGTTGTTTATATCACTGAACTAAAACCGGATATTTTTGCACAATATGAGCAGATCCTTAATAAGACAGCATGCAAACAGGAGCAAGGCAGCGAGTAAAGGTGGAAACTGGTTATAAAAAGGTGAATTTCAATGTTTGATATTTAAGACCGTGTTACTTTGTAGAAATCTTCTGCAGATCTGAAGTTTCATTTTTCTGCTCATTCACTGATTTGCTGGTCCTGTAAAAAAAGAGAGATTAAGAAAATGAACAAACAGATTTATTTTCCTCCGTCCTGAATCAGAGGTCATATTTTCAGTGTTTTGGGTTCATGTCAGTTTGACTCACAGCAATAAAGTCTGTTGACACGAAGGATGTCGTTTCTGCTCATGGCGCTCGCCCTTCCTAACACTATGTTGGGGTTTCCCCTCGCCACTATGGTTGGCTGACCATTTCTTGAGAAGGCGTACCTGAGAGACGACACAAACAACACTTAGTGAACAATCAGGACAAAAGGGACATCTTTACTTCTACGGAGGAGGGTTCTGATTCGTGCAAAAAAACACAAAGTAGATGGTTTTCTCAGTTTAGTCTTTGGGATTTGTAGTTTTTGTTTCCAACATGAGGACAAACTGAAGGATGTGTTGGAATAAGACTGACACACTCAGAAACACTCACTTGCTGTAGTGCATGACTGATTGGTAGTCGTATGGAGTTCCCAAGTTGTTAGTGGCCACTCGTGCAAAGTTATGTTCTTTTCCTGCAGGGAACAGAAAAAAAAGTTGAACTATTTTCAGTCAATATTTTAACACCCGGTTATGAAAGACAAATAATAAATTAACCTGCAGAACCTTTGAAATTAACCAAGAACCCTTTGAGACCGGACCTTTGGAGTACTCAGTCCTATCACTCCTGATCATGAGTCACTTTTTAGAGGTCAGAGAATTATCCTTCTAGATTCTCCTCCTTTAGTTCAAAGTTGGATTAAAAAAATGTAGAAAGCGTTTTCTCTCCTTCGATGTTAGTGTGGGTGAAGATTCTGGATATTCAGTCCAACTATGATCGTTGGTCCAAGACTGATGAGTCTCTACCCCAAAGAGCTCATATTTGAGATGCAGAAACACCAGAAGCTGGATTTGTCCTCGGGGCTGATAAATATTGTATTTAACTTTTTTTCTTAAAGTTTAAAATAATTAAAACAAACTTTTAAGAAACAAACAAAAAAACATTTTAAATGTATTTTTCATAGTGAAGTTCAGATCTGATCCTCTTTAAAAGTCTGTCTTTAGATCAGGTTTATCTCATTTATCTATCCTCTTCTTTGTGTTTATTTTTAAGTTTATTTTTGTATTTTTATTTATTTGTTTATTCATGAAGACTCTTTTCGATGTTTACACTTAATCATTTACATCTGATTGAGCTGCATCCACTTTGGCTGTACTTTTAAAAAGGCATTAAACATATATTGTCTTTTCCTCAATCCAGTTATTTTCTAGAGAAACCAGGACAGGGATCTGGATTACTGAATCCTGAATAGAGGAAAAGAGGATCTCTGGATTTAGATTGAGAGATGCCAGAGGATAAGTCACTGTATCAACACAGAGTCATCGCCTGGTCGATCACCGGTTTCCATGACAACAATCGAAACCATGAACAGAGCTGAGAAACAAAGCGGTTTGGGGTTTTTGGAGGATACCTGGCTGAATGTTGTGGGCCAGGATTTGGACGAAACTGTCTCTGTCTGAGCGGACTTGTTCGTGGTGGAAACCCAGAGCGTGGAGGATCTCGTGCTGCACGGTGCTCAGAGACAAACAACCGACTCTCCTCAGGGAGATCCTCTGAGCCCCGCCCTGACGGCCCAGGTAAGAGTAACACCTGAAACACACACAGGTGGTCTGTTATCATCACACTTTAAACACATCATGCACAAACAAAAAGTGTGTGTTTTTTTGTGTGTGTTTGTGTTCCTACCCGTTTCCAGAGAAGAAGAAGAGGTAATCCCGGTCTGAAGGGCGTCTCCAGAAAAAGCGGATGCAGGTGCTTTTGTGGAAGCTCACTATCCCTTGAATGATGGCGTTTCGTTCCTGAGTTGCTGCACAGAAAAAGAAACAGAAGTTTTCACCCTAAAAGTCGAACAGCCGCTCAGATTTTCAGCTCTCCTGATCCTTCTCTCTCACTTCAGACCCTCGCCTTTTAATCCTGATGTGAAACTGTGTCTGTCGTTTCCCTTTAATTCATTAAATTCAAATCACACAAAAAGGAAGTCGAGCAGAAACGAGAATAAAGTTGAATATCGTAAATTAAAGCTCAAATGTAATTCTTCATAACTGAGAATAATTATTCAGATTTAAATGTAGGAAATGAAAGTTTGGAACCGTTCGATGATTCAACACTTTGACCTGCTCTTCTTGATTTTGCTGTATCAGGTTATTACCGTGTTGTCGCCTCTTTTTAGCTCGTCTCTGCAAAGTTTGTGTTTACTTGAATTCTACATTTGGGATGAAAGTTGTAAAAAATCAGAATATCAGGAATCAAAGTCCAAAATTAATCAATGAAGTTTTATTAGCTCTCAGACTTTTGTAGTTAAAGTCAGGATAAGGTGACCGACAGTTTGATTATATTTGAACATTAATTTAAGTTTAATACTAAGGAATAAAGACATTAATTTAATCTAAAACTGCTCAAAGTTGGTCAAAAGCTTCTTGTTCTTTCCCACATTTCCAGCCCTATTAAACAGCCTAGTCTCAAAAGAAATAAAGAGGTTTAATGTTGGAAAAGGATCAGTCAAAACTTGGGAAAATATTTCTTTAAAAATTTGTTTTTAGTTTTTTTTTTTATAAGGAATAAAATTTAAACAATTAAAATCTCAGTTTATATTTGTCAGGTCTGTGTATCCTACTCCAGAGTTCGACTATGTTGGTGAAAATGTGAATGTGTAGAATCAAAACTTTATTATTTGTAATGTAAGTTTCTACATCGGCATGAATTAAGCCTAAGAGTGACATCTAGTGGATAAGACCTGCTTTACACCTTTTTAACTCCTGGTTTGGCTCCTTAAAGAGGAAAAGTCTAAATCTCTTATCAGAAGAAGGTTTAAGAAAAGAAGTGAAAGTTGAATTTTTGGAATAAATGAAGAATCATCATTTAAAGTTCATTAAATACTCTTGATTCAAGTTTATATGTGAGGATAAAGTTTGAATACATTTGTGTGAAGTTAAAGAAAAGTTTAAATAGATTAAAAAATGGTTTGTAAATATCAAATTGAGAATAAATGTTCAGGTCCTGGATTATATTATTGTTATATTAATGCTCATTATGAGTTTTCGGTCTCATGTGTGTTTGACCTCATTCTGCACAGACGCTGTTGCTTTAAGAAGAGTGTGAGTCAGACAGGTATCTGATACAGGTGAGCACGTGTGATGAAGAGATCATTAACTGACCCGTATCAGAACCATCAGAACCAGAACACTTTCTTTATCTTAACTTCAGATAATCCCGTTTTTATTCTACACATATGTATCAGCAGAGGATATGACGAGTTTGTGCACGAGGTCAGACTCTCAGGGGTCAAAGGTCACTCAGACTTACTGTACGAGGACGAGATAACGATGGGTATGTAGACGGTTCTTCCAGTTTTGGGCCACATGCAGCCGTACGCCGTACAGGGGACCGCATTCCTCCTCAAATTGGGCAAAATGTCTCCGTGAACCAGTTTGGGATCTGCAGAAGAAGAACGAAAAACAACAACGTGACATTTTTCAAACAAGGGCGTCTAGTTTTATACGTGCTGGTGTTTAAAGTCGAAGAGATCTAAAGCTGACTTACTGCCGGTGTTTACGTTTTCAATGACTTCAGAGACATCTGGAGAAGCAAACAGAGGAAACCGGGTCTCAGGAACCAGAACCAGCTGATTTACTGATTAGAAAAACTTTCATTGAAAAACACGAGGAGGTTTCCACAGAAACACTCACCTCCCAGGAGGTCATCAACGAATTCCCCCTCCAGTTGGTTATCGAATTCACCCAGAAACTCATCGTCGAGTTTGTCATCGAACTGGTTATCGACCTCATCTTTGAGCTCTTCTTGAACCTCATCACCAAGTTCTTCTTGAACCTCACCACCGAGTTCTTCTTGAACCTCACCACCGAGTTCTTCTTTAACTTCATCTCCGAGTTGGTTATCAAGTTCTTCTTGAACTTCATCACCAAGTTTGTCATCGAACTGGTTATCGACCTCATCTTTGAGTTCTTCCTGAACCTCATCACTGAGTTCTTCTTGAACCTCACCACCGAGTTCTTCTTGAACTTCATCTCCGAGTTGGTTATCAAGTTCTTCTTTAACCTCATCTTGAACTTCATCACCAAGTTTGTCATCGAGCTGGTCATCGACCTCATCTTTGAGTTCTTCTTGAACCTCACCACCGAGTTCTTCTTGAACCTCACCACCGACTTCTTCTTTTACCTCATCACCGAGTTCTTCTTTAACTTCATCACCGAGTTCTTCTTTAACTTCATCTCCGAGTTGGTTATCAAGTTCTTCTTTAACCTCATCACCGAGTTCTTCTTGAACCTCATCACCGAGTTCTTCTTGAACCTCATCACCGAGTTCTTCTTGAACTTCATCACCGAGTTCTTCTTTAACCTCATCACCGAGTTCTTCTTGAACCTCATCTCCGAGTTCTTCTTTAACTTCATCTCCGAGTTGGTTATCAAGTTCTTCTTTAACCTCATCTTGAACCTCATCACCAAGTTTGTCATCGAGCTGGTTATCGACCTCATCTTTGAATTCTTCTTGAACCTCACCACCGACTTCTTCTTTTACCTCATCACCGAGTTGGTTTTCCAGTACTTCATTGAGTTCAGGTTTGTCATTGACTTCCTCTTTGAGTGCAACACTGAGTTCATCATTCGCCCGCTGCAGATAGACACATACCAGCGTATTAAATATTATTTCACTCTAACCTCACAGAATTTTCTGCCTCTCTCCAGAATGATGCAGATATTTTTATTCAGAATTGAAGAGTAAGTGAGATTGTAGAGTTTCCCCTTTTTAATTGTATTTAATCTCTAAAAAACCCACTAAAAAAAATGCAGAATCTGTGAGCAACATTTGGACAAATATGATGATCGGTGATGTTTGAAATAGAGTTAAAAGAGTCAGACTTACAGACGGGGCGGCGCTCAGAGAGACGAGGAGGAGGAGGAGGATGAAGACTGGAGTCATGCTGAAGGTCTTCTCTGGTCAAACGTGAGTCTCTGGAGAGTTTCTGTGGACACTGCAGGCTGATGCTGGATGCTGCAGGTGTTCAGCTCCTCGCTCTTTATAGACGGCGGCTCTCAGGGCGTGTCTGAACCTTCACCAACATCGCTCAGACATCAGTCAGACACTTTGTTTATGTCTTTACTGCAGGAAAACAAAGCCGGGATAGTTTCACGGCATCCTCTGATAATTTTTATGGCTAACAGGGTCGTTTAATCATTAAGAGAACTTTTGTTTCTTCATAAACTCGAGTGCATCAATAAAAATTAAAAAACCCTCATATTTTAATTTTAGACCAATCTGTGATGTTTAATGTGATGATGTATTTTAAAGACAGCAGAGGAGGACGGGGTCAGATAGAGTGACACGTTTCTTCATAAACTTCTCTAATAAATGCAGTTTAATCAAATAAACATAACAGTTTAAGTTGATTTTAACTTTTTATCACTGCTGATCAAGTTCATCTTCACAGGTCAACATAAAACCAAGTCCAGGGTTTAAAAAGCTTCAATCATTGACCTTTCCTAAAGTAAAAGCTTTACAATGAGAAAGATGTAAAGCTTAAAAACAACATAAAATATAAACTTAGATGAAGATTTGACTCTGACCCAGATTAACAGATTAATCTGCCTGTAATTAAGGAAGTGGACCAGATGTAAAGAAGGTGAAGAAACTCGTTTAAGTCTTTTATCAGAGAGCTTCACCCGGTTTTATTTGACCTGGAATGAAATGATTTATGTTCAAATACGTCAGTGGTTTTTATAACAGGAGCAGGCTGATCCCTTTAAATCAATATTTAAGCTTTTTTCTCTTTCGTTTCTTGTAAAGCACTTTGTAACAGAGATTTAAAAATAAAAGGTTTTTATCACGATGAGGATTTTATTCTTGAGTAAACACTGACGACCCCGTTCCTTAGAAATTACAGTCCTGAAGTATTTACAGTGTGGAGTCACGTTTTTAAGAGGTCAAGTGTTTGACTGTAATAGGCTGATGGTTAATGAGTAGCTCCTTATCAAGCCAGCAGAGATGGAAGAATGGGCTCCTGATTAGTTTTACCAGAAATGAGTTGGAGGAAATAACTTGATCTAAGTTCGACTTTAACTCCTTCATACACTGATAAATAATCAGGGCAAAAAACGAGAGCATTAGTGGGGAAAGTGGGACACTTCAAATCTGATCAGACAGGTCTGGAAACACGGATCTTTGTCCTAATGTTCCTGAAATAAGCAGATGTTTTTATCCGGGTCGAGCTGGAGCAGCACCTCTCTCTGGTTTAGACCTCCTGCAGTTAAAGCCGACACACTTTCCTCTGAATGTTCAGTTTGTCCCGTTTATTTTGAGGACCTCACTGAGGTTGAGGTCCGATGCCAATAGTTCATCATTTTCAGAGTTCCAGCAGATTCCTTTGGTCACAGGAAGTTCTGACAGAAGTCCAGAGAGTGTTTGGGGTCGTTGTCATCATGGGTAATAAATCCAGACCCAGTAAGACGACTCCCACATGGTCTCCCCACAATGTTGTTGTACTTTCTTCTTCAGGAAACCTTCAATTTTCACGAAGGCTGAAATGACACCCCACATCATGACACTTCCACCTACGTGTTCGCCTGTTGACGGGACACACCCTGTTTTTATATCGTTTCCTCTCCTCCTCCGTCAAACATGCTCTCTTCGTCTGTTTCCTAACTCTTCAAACTTGGACTCGTCAGTCCTCAACACTTCACACTGATCTTCCTTTGTCCATTTCAGGCGTTTCAGTCGATTTCTTTTCTTTCAGTAATGGTTTCTTTGCCTTCTTCTCCGAGTTGGTGAATGTTCTCAAAGACACGGTTGCACTGTTCGTCACTGTGGTGTTAATCTCATCACGTTGTTCTCGTGACGTCCTTTTTCTGAGGATTTTGAAATGCTTCACTTGTTTGTCTAAAAGTTTCTTTTTTCCACCTCTCCTCTCTCGGTTCTGGTGTGATTCGATGGCATCATGGCGGTCTGAAGTGAACTTCACTCTGTTTGGACCCAAGTCCTTGGCTATGCAGCTGTAACTCAGTACTTTTCTGTTCGGAAAATGACTTAAATCTGGTTTACAGAGCTTAACGACGACTCTGTAGATATGGGTACTTAAAGGCCGATCTGAAACCTCTTAAACATGCCCATCGTTCTTGTTCTTTTGGCTTCCTCTGAAGTAAAGGAGGAAAACAGAGCCAGAAAAACCTGCTCATGTGGACCCACATTGTTTTTTTTTAATAAACATTTTATTCCCAACCTTCACCTGTAAAAATGAACAAAACGACCCAGAGGAGCGTCAACAAGCCGTCAGCTTCACGGATACATTAAACACAATACAGGTTGTAAAATGAGCTTTTATCTTCTCACAGTGATTAACAGCACAGGAGTTATCAGGAAAGTGTTTCGTTGGGTTTCTTTGGCTCTCAAACCTGCCATAAGGAAGTTCAGATTAGTTAGAAAATGAGTTTCCAGTGACGGTGGTAACTCTGTTAACTGCTGTCAAACTGGAAATTCAAGTTTTATTGGAGGTCGACGTGATCAAATGAACGAGTCTCTTTGTATTACAGCGGTTCTCACTTCATTTTCACCGGCTTTGATTCTCCGTTCAGATTACGGTTCAGGTACACAGACCCCGCAGAGTTCATTTGTTGGTGCGGTGGCGTCCAGGATCGTGGCTCTTCACGTGTCTGCATGTGTGCTGATGACTAAAATAAAGTATTCCAACCAAAAAACCAAGCAGAGTTTGGAAAGTGGTTTATTAATGCAGTGAAGATTATCAATGTGAAGCTGCCAAGAAAAACCGTGTCACTGTGTGTAACGTGTGGCGAGATGTTGATTCCAAAATGACCTTCTGCCCTCCTCACAGGGGGCGCCAAAGCCAACAGAAGCAGAAACGTTAGACAAAAAAAGACACTCTGGTTATTTATTTCTTCTCCAATCAGGGATGTAAAACAGATAAAACAGAAACGCCACCTTCACCACCACCACCACCACCACCACCCGCAGAGACACAGCAGACCCCCAGTCCTGAACGTAGATCCGTAAAAGGTGGAGGATCACTTCATCATCAAACACACTTCCCTCCGTCTACATGATACAATCTCAGTCTCTCCTTGTCGTGTTGTTATTTGTGTTTACAGTAACTGCAGCATCATCTCCTCCTGTCAGCGCCCCCTGCTGTTCATTACATGACACTGCAGCTTCAAACCCCCCCTACAGCTGTTTCAGTCGTGCCTCTTTAATGCTTTAAAATAGATTTTTAATAAATTTTTCTTTTTATAATGATACGAAAGTATATGACCATGATATTTTATCTTTTTCTCGGCTTTTCTGTCGTTCTCTTTGACTCTTTATTCAGGTTTTTCAAAGTATGACATGTATTTGTCAAGGACGTTTTCAGCAAACACACAAACAGACGGTGGACAGACATCCATGAAAGTGTTTACAGCAGGTTCTTCTTTGCAGCCCCGCGTCCTTCAACAGGTTTTCACAAAGTACCAAGAGTGTCATTCTCTCTGATATTCATCAATCAGCTGTTTCTATAAAGAGAGAGAGAGAGAGAGAGGCAGGGATTATTAGAGTTAAATAAAAATGACTGATAAATACAGTTTTAACCTCTTTTGTTCCTTCCGCTCAGTACTCAGTGAGTTGATGGTATTTGAGGTGTTTTAGATTCTAACTCACAGCATTTGTAAAGCCGGTTGACGCGTTCAATGTCATATTTGCTCATCTGATCGGCCCATCCTAACAGCGTGTTCGGATTCTTTGTGGCCACCACGGTCGGCTCTCCGTTTTTGGAGAAGGCGTACCTCAAAGAGGACAAGAACAAACTCAAACACAGCAGCTCCTGATGAAGAACTAAAGCACTTTAATAAAACTTCTAATCGTGTTCAAATGTGTTAGGTATATGAAATAATAAATAATTTACATATTTCTTATTCAACCACATGTTGAATTGTTAGACAGGTTTCTTAAAATGGGCTGAAATGTAAATAGAGGTCCCTCTGAAAGTCATAGAAATGATACCTAATGAGAATAAGTTCTCTATAAATCTTCATTTCTGGATAAATGAGGGAGTTACTGAGTGTTATGAAACTCAGAATTTAAGTCACTGTTGTTTTTTTAACCCTGAAGATTAGGTAAATGTTATTAGTTGAGGATTTTATATAAATCTTTGGCACATTTTCGTTTCTACAAAGGAGTTTTGATTTATCGAAGGTGCAAACACAAAGTGAACATTTCCTCAGTGAAGTTACTCTCTGGGATTTTAAGTGTTTTTTTCCACCATGAAGAAACAGAAACAGAAAAAAGGAAAAGTTTGACGCGAACATGAACACTTACTTGTTGTAGTGCATGACTGATCGGTAGTCGTACGGAGTTCCCAAGTTGTTAGTCGGCACTTTGTCAAAGTTAATTTCATATCCTGCACAGAACAGAAAATACGGCTGAAATATTTACCTCCTTATTTCTGAAGTTATTTCAACAGATAATTTTCCTGCAAAAGATGTAAATGAAGGTTTTACAGTGTCTTGAACCAAGAAGCCTTTATAAGACTCTTAGTCCTTAAATAAACCCAGAAGAACACAGTTCGATATTTAAGGTTAAGCCCTACGAAGCCAAAAAGTTCCTATAAACAAGATACTTCCCAAAGACTCAACACTCTAAATTTTAACCATATGTACTCGTGTTTAATGCTTCTGACAGTCAAGGACTTTAGTGAAGACTTTTCTTGACTTTTCTTCAAACATCTTGTTATCCCTGACTTTTCATTTAGCGCCACCTCCTGGTCAAAATGACCTCTTCTCTAGCAAAGCATGAGCACAAATATTCAGGTGGACTTCAGTGTCATCAGTAGTTCAAAATCTCAGTCTGTCCAAAAATTGGATTCCTTCAGTATTCTGTGTCGTTTGGGGTGGAGGGCTGATGGACATAACTCGGTCATAGTGAGCTCTGGGAAAGCTAAGTATGAACTCGTAATCGTTGTGATAGGTCCATCCTTGCAGATCTTGATCGTCTGTGTTTGTCTAACGATCCTTTTCTGCAGTCAGATATTATAAACTCATCAGTCTATAACTTATGGAACCAGAGCTGTGAGAAGACTTTTCATGAGAACTGACCTGGAATGATATTTTCAGTGAGAATGGAGACGTATTTGTCCCTGTCGGACCGGACGTGTTCGTGGTGAAAGCCCAGAGCGTGGAGGACCTCGTGCTGCACTATGGGTAAATACAAACACCCTCTTGTGCTCAAGGAGACGGCCTGTCCATACGGCTGACGGCCCAGGCTCGACCAACACCTGAGACAGAGAGAGAGAGGGACTGTGACGGTGTCTCTAAATAACTCCAGTGCGTTGAAGGCGTGCCCTGCTGTCTCCAACTCTTCTTTCTTTTACTCTTCCTGCTTCCTCCAGCTCTCTGTAGAGGCTGAACCCTTTGATAGAAAACTAGCAGGATGGAGCCTAAAAAGGGGGTCATGTCAGTACATCTAAAGAAGGTCTCAGAACTTCATCATCTCCTAACATCGAGCTTTTGGACAAAACGTCATATGGAGTCGATTTTATAATATTTCACTACATTTTAGAAGGAGCCCAAAAAGGTCACTTATTGACCGCAACATGTTTTTTCACGTGTGTGTGTGTGTGTGTGTGTGTGTGTGTGTGTGTTTGCCTACCCTGTTCCAGGGTAGAAGTAGAGGAAACTTCTATGCCTCCGGTTCCTCCACACAAAGCGGATGCAGGTGGTTTCATGGAAGGTCACGAGGCTTCTGATGATGGTGAGGGCCTCTTCATACGCTGCAACATCAGAGACAGGCAGCTGAGGAGGTTATATAAGAATTTTCCATCTCTTTTTGCACCGACGGTGGACATGACACACATCTTCAAACTGAGACCAAACACAGTTGGCAGATCACTTTGGAAAGGTCAGCGGTCTCTGAATCTTACTGTAGTCGGGGGAGATGATGACAGGAACTATCACGTAGTTTCCACTTTTAGGCCACATGCATCCTTTAGCTGTGCAGGGGTCTGCGTTTCTGAGGTAGTTTGGCCTAATGTCCCCATGCTTCAGTCTTCTCCCTTAAAAAAATACACAGAAATGTGGATCTTTAAACCAGAAAACTTGAGATGGTCATATTAGGTGGACATGTACCATTATGTTCAGAGCATTACAAATACGATTCTTATTTTTAAGTTGTTTTATGTTTTTTAACCTCTAAGATCTGAGAAAACAGTAAAAAACACTCTTTAAAAGATTCCTAAATTTGTGACTTACGTATGCGGTTATTAGCTTTTGCAATAATTTCAGAGACATCGCGGACGAAGCCTGCAAAGAAACCAAGAATGTCGACAATTCAAAACATGAACCAGCAATGCCACTTCAAAATTACTAACAATTAAAAAGATGTAAATGATGGAAGGACAACAACAAAAAGTGATATGTCCATCCCTGTATTTAGGAAATGTTTCATGATTTTACTCACCTGCTTTCTCATTGATTCCACGTTTGCCTCTCTCTTTGGTTGAACCTTTTGCTTTGTCAGAGAGGACTCCTTTGGTTTTCCAGTAAGATGCAACTTTGGATTTCCAATAAGGTTTAACTTTAGATTTCCAATAAGGTTTAACTTTGGATTTCCAATAAGGTTTAACTTTGGATTTCCAATAAGGTTTAACTTTGGATTTCCAATAAGGTTTAACTTTAGATTTCCAATAAGGACGACGTTTACCCTTCCAAATTTTGCCCTTTTTCTTAGAGGGTGGAATTTTATCTTTTTTTCCACCTGCTCCAGTTTCATCTTTCTCATCATTTGTACCGTTGTCCTTCTCAATGGAATCTTCCTTGTCTTTCTCATCAGATACACCTTTGTCTTTCTCATCGGGGACAACTTTGTCTTTCTCATCTGGGACAACTTTGTCTTTCTCATCTGGGACAACTTTGTCTTTCATATCCTTAATAACTTTGTCTTTAGGTACAACTTTGTCTTTTTCATCAGGGACAACTTTGTCTTTCATATCCTTAATAACTTTGTCTTTAGGTAGAACTTTGTCTTTCTTATCTGGGACAACTTTGTCTTTCTCATCTGGAAAAATTTTGTCTTTCTCATCTGGAAAAATTTTGTCTTTCTCATCTGGGACAACTTTGTCTTTCTCATCTGGGACAATTTTGTCTTTCTCATCTGGGACAACTTTGTCTTTCTCATCTGGAAAAATTTTGTCTTTCTCATCTGGAAAAATTTTGTCTTTCTCATCTGGGACAACTTTGTCTTTCTCATCTGGGACAATTTTGTCTTTCTCATCTGGGACAACTTTGTCTTTCTCATCTGGGACAATTTTGTCTTTCTCATCTGGAAAAATGTTGTCTTTCATATCCTTTATAACCTTGTCCTTTTCACTGGGATCCCCCTTGCCTTTGTCTTTAGGTACAACTTTGTCTTTCTCATCTGGGACAATTTTGTCTTTCTCATCTGGGACAACTTTGTCTTTCTCATCAGGTACAACTTTGTCTTTCTCATCTGGGAAAATTTTGTCTTTCTCATCTGGGACAATTTTGTCTTTCTCATCTGGGACAACTTTGTCCTTCTTATCTGGAAAAATTTTGTCTTTCTCATCTGGGACAATTTTGTCTTTCTCATCTGGGATAACTTTGTCTTTCTCATCTGGAAAAATTTTGTCTTTCTCATCTGGAAAAACTTTGTCTTTCTCATCTGGGACAATTTTGTCTTTCTCATCTGGAAAAATTTTGTCTTTCTCATCTGGAAAAACTTTGTCTTTCTCATCTGGGACAACTTTGTCTTTCTCATCTGGAAAAATTTTGTCTTTCTCATCTGGGAAAATTTTGTCTTTCATATCCTTAATAACTTTGTCTTTAGGTACAACTTTGCCTTTCTTATCAGGTACAATTTTGTCTTTCTCATCTGGGACAATTTTGTCTTTCTCATCTGGGACAACTTTGTCTTTCTCATCAGGTACAACTTTGTCTTTCTCATCTGGGAAAATTTTGTCTTTCTCATCTGGGACAATTTTGTCTTTCTCATCTGGGACAACTTTGTCTTTCTCATCTGGAAAAATTTTGTCTTTCTCATCTGGGACAACTTTGTCTTTCTCATCTGGAAAAATTTTGTCTTTCTCATCTGGGACAATTTGGTCTTTCTCATCTGGGACAATTTTGTCTTTCTCATCTGGGACAACTTTGTCTTTCTCATCTGGGACAATTTTGTCTTTCTCATCTGGGACAACTTTGTCTTTCTCATCTGGGAAAATTTTGTCTTTCTCATCTGGGAAAATTTTGTCTTTCTCATCTGGGACAACTTTGTCTTTCTCATCTGGGAAAACTTTGTCTTTCTCATCTGGGACAATTTTGTCTTTCTCATCAGGGACAACTTTGTCTTTCTCATCTGGATCAATTTTTTCTTTCATATCCTTAATCACTTTGTCTTTAGGTACAACTTTGTCTTTCTCATCTGGAAAAATTTTGTCTTTCTCATCTGGGATAATTTTGTCTTTCATGTCCTTAATAACTTTGTCTTTAGGTACAACTTTGTCTTTTTCATCAGGTACTACTTTGTCTTTCTCATCTGGGACAATTTTGTCTTTCATATCCTTAATAACTTTGTCTTTAGGTACAACTTTGTCTTTCTCATCAGGGACAACTTTGTCTTTCTCATCTGGGAAAATTTTGTCTTTCTCATCTGGGAAAATTTTGTCTTTCTCATCTGGGACAACTTTGTCTTTCTCATCTGGGAAAACTTTGTCTTTCTCATCTGGGACAATTTTGTCTTTCTCATCAGGGACAACTTTGTCTTTCTCATCTGGGACAATTTTTTCTTTCATATCCTTAATCACTTTGTCTTTAGGTACAACTTTGTCTTTCTCATCTGGAAAAATTTTGTCTTTCTCATCTGGGATAATTTTGTCTTTCATGTCCTTAATAACTTTGTCTTTAGGTACAACTTTGTCTTTTTTATCAGGTACTACTTTGTCTTTCTCATCTGGGACAATTTTGTCTTTCATATCCTTAATAACTTTGTCTTTAGGTACAACTTTGTCTTTCTTATCTGGGACAACTTTGTCTTTCAAATCCTTAATAACTTTGTCCTTTTCATTTGGATCCCCCTTGTCTTTCTCATGAGGTAGACCTTTGTCTTTCTCATCTGGATTTTCCTTGCCTTTTTCAATGGCTGTACCTTTGTCTTTTTCATCTGGGAAAATTTTGTCTTTAATATCTATAACAACTTTGTCCTTTCCACTGGGATCCCCCTTGTCTTTCTCATGAGGTACACCTTTGTCTTTCTCATCTGGGACAACTTTGTCTTTCTTATCCGGGACAACTTTGTCTTTAATATCTATAACAACTTTGTCCTTTCCACTGAGATCCCCCTTGCCTGTTTCTTTTTTGATTTTCTCATAAAACGCCTCTTTATCCTTTTCATCAGTTTCTCCCTTTTTTATAAAAAGTGCTTCAAACTCACTTTTGTCAAAAGCTGATTCTTCATCTTTGTCATCAGTTGAACTTTTGGATTTTTCCCAGAATTCTCCTTTTGTTTTTTCATACAGGGCCTTTTTCTCATAAAGCGCACCTTTATCTTTCATATATGCTGCTTTTTTGTCTCTGTCATAATCTTCTTCTTTGTCCTTCTCATAAGGTGCGCCTTTATCTTTATCACTGGATGCACTACCATATTTTTCATAACGTGCGTCCTTGAATCTCTCATAAAATGCACCTTTGTCTTCCTCATATGGAGGATCTTGATCTTTGTCATAATCTTCTTTGTCTTTCTCATAAGGTTCACCGTTATCGTGGTTTTCATAAGGTCCCCTGACTCTTTCATAGTCTGCACCTCTGAATCTTCCATTTGGTGAACCATTATCTTTGTCTTTATTGCTCACATAAGGTGCACCCTGTAAGACAAACAAACACAATACACTATTGAAATGATATTTTTCCTCATTTCAACATTTTCTGTGGTTTAGTCTGGGCTAAGACTAAAGTGTCCTCGACATAAACTCATTCATGAAATAACGTTTTTAGAAGGTTTATCTCTGCCGCTTTGTCTGCTGGAGTGGAAACATAATAAAAGTCAAACTTACCAAGGAAGCTGTACTCATTGAGAGTATGAGAAAGAGAAGGCAGACTGGAGCCATGTTCCTAGTCCTCTGCAGCTGAACCTGGTCAAAAACAGAAGATATGAAGTCCTTGGCTGATAAAGAATAAGCCGCCTGTGAAGACTCACCTTAAATTTATTTCTAATCTGTTCAGGAAAGCCTCGTTGTGGTTTAAAAATGTCTTTCTAGGCCAAGATCAGCAGCAGCAGCAGCACATTCAGCAAAGTGACAGACAGACAGAACATTACAAAGAGAAGAAGAAGAAGAAGAAGAAGAAGAAGAAGAAGAAGAAGAAGAAGAAGAAGAAGAAGAGTGGGTTTACCTGTCGGAGCTGCAGTCGGAGGGAAGATGCTGCAGGTGCTCAGCGCCTCTCTTTTTATGGGCTGCTCACGGGGTGTGTCCGATCTCTTATGTCATGCGCTGTCATCCACAAAAGTACTCGGTTTGCGTGAGATTAACGTGGCGTGTTGTTTTGATCCTGTTCAGAAATCTCTTTATATTGAAGTTGTGGAGGAATCTGCACATCCATACTTGAGCAGATCCAGTTTAATCAGAAAACAGAGTGTCTAAGAAGGGCAGCAGTTTTTATGTGTAGGAGTGTTTGTTATTATTTGATATGATAAAAGTTTTATAAGTAAGTCAACACTCAGTCTTTGGGAACCAATATGGAGAGATTAAAAAAAGAGTCAATCCTGGAGAAAAGCAGTCGAACCGCTTGTGCAGGTTCATGTAATCGCTGTTTCTCCTGATCTGTTGAGTTTAACTTCACAAGCTGATCCACATTCCTGCTCCTCTGAGGCTGTCCTGTTATTATACCTGTGTTATTACACCTATAGATCATCTGTCATCTTTAATCACAGCTTCCTTCCAACAAAATCACAACTTCACTCTTAAAATATATTCACAAAATATGACAACTACATCCTAATGTGACCCAAACCCTTTATGATGCAGAAGAATTACAGAAAAGAGATTCAGACACATTTGACAAGTTAAATAACACAGACTTTCCTCGTTTTCTACAAATACCAGAGGAGAAAACTCTTTTTTTCAATCAAACTCTCAAAGCAAAGCTGTGTTTCGTTTAGAAAAGGAAATAAAATTAGCTTTAGGCCTCACTTCTAAAGTAAAGACTTGTGTATTTCTCTTCGTTAAAGTACCACAGAGTAACGCTGCCAACGTTATTCAGAGAAAGTTCATCTGCTCCAGCTCTTTCTCATCTGCTTCAGTTTCATGTTCGAGTTCTTAAAGCTGGAAATTATAAAAATCTGAAACCTGCTGGTGACATTTAAGCTGCTGAGGTATGTGTTCAGAGAAAATGTCAGTGTTTAGGTTGTGCGTTCTGTCTCTGTCAAATTAAACAGACTAGTTTTTCTGGATGACAGAGTCTGCGCTCTTCTCAGGTGTTCAGAGTCAGTTATCAGAACTCTTTTCAGGACCAATTTAACCGATAAGAAACTGGACTTTTCCACATTGTTCTGATGTTCAGGAATCGAGAACTCTTGATTTTCCTGACTGTAAGTCGTCATCATGGAGACACACAGGTCTTCGCAGTCTTCTGGGTTTGTCTTTCAGATCATCGTTTTACTCTGCAGCCTTAAATGAAAAGGTTCTTGAAGTGACGTCTGTTCTGAGGTCGGAGAGGTGGAGGACAAAAGTTACAGACCAAGAGGGATCTAAGGCCCGAACTACAGGTATATAGATATTTATTTATCAGGATATTTTTGTACTCCCGTCTAAATAAATGTTTCTGCCCACACGTGTTATTTCTCAAAAATATCTGCGTCCACACGTAGCCTTCAAACTCACTCCTATCTGGTGCCGCTTAAAAAAATTCAGGAACAAAGCTACCTGATTGGCAGATGAATCGTAACAGCGTGATGCGTCATGCATTGTTTGCGGAAGCTACGCTAGTGCGTCGGGTCCATGTGACGGACCATGTGACCAATAAAAGTATTGGCCGCCGCAGACGTCTCTGTGAGCTGGCTGACTAGTGGATGTAATTGTATAAAACAAGGTTCACTTGCAAGGCTGAAATTAGCCCCAAAACGGCGAAACAAACTTAAAGAATACCCTGTCTGTCCGCCATCGTTGTTGTTGTTGTTTTTCTTCTTAATTCGCATGCGCGAGCTGCGATTTGACGTCATCGATCCGTAAAAGTCCGACCACACGAATCCACTAAGGATACGGGATACGGATATTTTTTTATTTCTCCGCTTGTTTTTCCGGATTCAGATTTATCCGGTTTGAGTGCTCCAAACTCCCGTTTTGGTGTGGTAGGGATGACTAATCGGACATAAATATGTGCGGTTTGAAATATATCCGCATTCGTGTAGTTCGGCCCTAACTTATGAGCTGAATCCTAAAAGCTCACTATAATGGGGTAAAACTAAACCATGGCTGCAAAACAATAAAACTTAACTCCTGGTAAATCATGAAAATATTCCTAAAACAAAAGAGAAGGCTGTGGAAGAAAAGACCAACAAAAAAAAAACACAGAGAAACTGTAGAGATGGGGAGCAGCTTCTGCAGACAGGATCTTCGGCTGTTTCTGCCTCAAACTTCTAATTGGAGCTCAGAGGAGAGTTTATACCTAACAGAGAGTGTCAATGCAATCCTCATTACTGCTCTGCAAAAGTTTATGAATATCTAAAAAAAAATTCCATCAGTTTGTGCATGTCAGTGTGGAAGAAAAATAATTCATAGATATGGACTGTTGAGCAGCTGTGTTGGAGGAGCAGCAGAAGTCAAAGACGCTCAGCTCCTCCAGTGAAAAACATGATCTCATATTTCTTATATGAGATAAATCAGCGCTAAAGCGGGTTTCCCCCTTTCGCTGAAACTTGCAGAGCAATGAATCGACATGATGAAGTGACTCGTCTCACAGGTGACTCTGCTGGAGCACAAACAGAGTCTGCAGGTCTGAAGTATTTCAAACAGGATGTTCAGCATCATCACTGTCACTGCTGAAGACTTCCACTGACAGCAAAGCGCTGAGGGCACAAAAGCTGAACCAAGAGTTTAAATTGACATTTAAAAAACTTTTCATGATGGAGACGTAATGACTGAAATGTTCTGAGAGAGGCTCGGGAATGCTGTGGGACCGCATCTGGTTCATGTGTGCAGATCTGAGAACATACAGGTGACATCTAGGTGCTGTGGTGTTCAAGGTCGTGTAGATAAACCGAGGCGTCACACACATAACATCCAGAATATCTGAATACACCGAGGGAGGGTTTTAGATTTCATATTTAACTCCAAACGTTTGATCAAACAGCGAGTGCTGAGATTGATCGAGAACATAAGAACTAACACTGGAGAGGACACGGCTGCAGATGTGACAGAAATGTAGATTTTTATATTATCAGAATTATACCGTGTGTTTTAATGTTGGACTATGGACCTTTTTGTGAATGTAGTGAATGTTTTTCTGCAGCCTCCCTCTTCCTGTTGGTTTCTTCTCCTTCATATCTGAGTTGCCCCCCCCTCACTTCTCCCTTAATTTATCTATATTAAGTGTACTTTTATTTTTCCTGGTGTGTTTATTAAACAGTTTTTAGTTTCTTTCCTCTAATGTAATGTCCTGAGTGTTGTTTTTGTTGTGTTTTTTCCACTTGTGCAAACTTCTGTTCGTTTAGTGAAGCAGTCTTGTGTTTCTGTCTGTGTAGGAGTGGAGGCAGGCTGCACGGCTGTGAACTTATTAAGGTTTCCTTTCATTCTGCTTCACAAAATAAACACTGATAAAAATCCTGCTGGTCTCATCATAAATTACAGCACAGAGTGCCGACGGTTACACAGACACAGCTCCTTTAGAGCGTGTGCAGCTGAAAGTTGGACCTCTGATAGATCTTTGACTTTATTTAGGAGGCAGACGTCTGTTTTTTTTTTTAAACAAACCTCAGCTGTGTGATATTTTAACCTGCTTATTATGATTCCTTTAGGTTTTTATTTAAAGTTTTTACTTATTTGTTCTTATGGCAAATACCGGGTCCTCAGTTCTGGTCTGTTCTAGTCTCATACAGACTAGAACTCTTTTGAATCCTTTTTGAATCCTGCAATTTTGAACAGAGTCGCTCCATAAACACAAGTGCAGTTAGATCTCTCTTATGTTCAGTCCAAAGTTGACCCTCCTTTAGATCTCAGCTGTTATCAAGTGATCTGACCGACACAAATCTTTCCTCCTAAAGCTGTTTTCACAAACTTTAAACCCTCATAGTTTCATATTATCTGCATATTTGGCTAATATTCAGTTTTATCTTCAATAAATCAACAAATAGTTGTATAATTTTTATTCTTGACTTAATCATCTGAAATAAAATCATATTTACATACAGAGTCTCAGTAGAGCAGCGTTGTGGGATTTTGTGAGAATGAGCAGCTGATGGTGACCATCAGAAACCTCCTGCATGAGCTCATGTTAATCAATATTTAATCAATATTTATTCTTGAAGTTTGGGTGAGTATGAAGAGCGAAGAGAGGATAAAAAAACAAAGCATCAGAAACAGGACAGCGTGTTCCCTTCACTTGAACGTGTCGATCAGAGAGATCCTCTAAACATAGCTCTGTGAAAAACCTCTGAGGTTCATCTTCAGTGATGATTCTGGCTCAGCAGGTTAGAAGTGATCATCTGTCTACAGAGACAAATATGTATGTACACATGTTTTTATGGTTCAGTACATCCTCCATCCTTATAATTAAAATATCCAGTGTCAAATATGTGCTTCTGCTCTGTGTGTAATTATGTGTAGGCGTGTGAGAAAGGTTAGCTCTGAGTCTGCTCCTCTGTTTGGGACCCTCTTTTACAACTTCATGACTTTCATCAAAGCAAAAAAACTATTTTTTTTACACGCTTGTTTTTGTTAAGAAGGTCACAAACTAAAAAAATCTTGATTTCTAACTCAGATCAAAGACAATAATCCAAAATGTGGCCTCAGTTTCTGGATTATTAATGCGTCAATTATTTGAAACCATAGACTGTATCTAGAATAGACGCCGTCTGCCTCCTTTCTGGGTGAAGCCACTCTGAGAACAGCACCCTCTGGTGACAGGCTGCAGTATAGGTCATAAACCCTGCCTCCTTATGTAGCTGTGGACAAACTTTATAAATGAATGACACAGAATATAAATGTTTCTGATGCTGGTGTCTGCAGTTCTGGAAGTTGTGAACCTGAATGAAAACTGCTAAATTACAGAAGATCTTACAAATGTTCAGCTTATTAAAAGAGACGCTCTAAAGTGTTGCTGTATTTTTTGGGGGGCTGCTGCTGCTGCTGCTGCTGCTGCTGCTTCTTCTTCTACGTCTAACCCTGTTTTTATTCCAGACAGACATCTGCATAAAAAAACCACCATCACCACGACTATGAACCCAAACACAGAAGGTCAAAGGTCCAAAAACTGGGTACTTGTTCTTGGACTAGTTCAGAATTTAAATAGAGCAACAGCACCACCTAGAGCTGATGGACTGTCCCTGCAGATCCCAGGAGGTCTGACAGTGAAACGACTGTTTACTGCACGAGTTATTGAGTATTTTAGCTTCGGTTAAAAAAGAAAACATAAAATGAATTTTAACAATTTTACCTTTTATTTATCTATTAAAGTGCAGACAATAGTCCAGGTACTAATGTGTCATCTAATTCTACCTCATTTTTTTGTGTTTAAAGTTATTTTTGAACCAGTTCATAAATCAAATTTAAACAGCCAATTATCACAAAAATAACCAGGCTGAAAGGTTATTTCTCTTTATCCTACATAATAGATAATATTAAAAGTGTGTCCAGACACAAACGCCATTTCCAAATGTAAACACGGAATAAAATGTGACTAGCAGCAGGAAAGCAGGTATATAGTTGGTGTTGAGGAGTTTTTGTGTTAAACTGGATTGTTTTTTTCATTTACATGTAAATATATTTTCAGTTACTTTTTCTCTTTTTTCTTCTTTTTATCATTTCCTCCCTTTTTCTTTTTTTCTCATTTTTTCCTTTCTCTCTTTTTTTTCTCATTTTCTCTTTTTTCTCTTTTCTCTCTCTCTCTCTCTCTTTTTTTTTTTTTTTTTTTTTTACCTTTCTCTACATTTTTACTTCCTGTTTTTTCACTGATACACACATAGAAACAGGTTTTTTATTTAAGGTTTATTTATAGTTCACAGTTTACAGGATTGATAAGTTACCTCGAGAGGAAGAGTACTAATCGATTCTGGACACACGCGCATGAGCACATGACTGATCAGATGACGGTCACGTGTTCCGGTCAGCTGACTGGTCGGTCGGTCGTTGTCGGTTCTCCTCCTGCGGCACAGACGGATCTGACAGGCGGACAGGATGCCTCTCCCGGAGCTGTACTTCAACGTTGATAACGGGTACCTGGAGGGTCTGGTTCGGGGCTTTAAAGCCGGAATTCTGTCCCAGGCGGATTACCTGAACCTGGTCCAGTGTGAGACCCTGGAAGGTGAGTCCGAACCGGGTCATGCTAACGGCTAATGCTGTTTGACAGAGGCTAACGGGAGTAAACTCGGAAACACCGACGATTATTCTGATTATTAACGCGATTTATCATCCTGTGTGTTTTACTACTATCGCCGAATTCAAGAAATCAGGATTTATATGACGAAGGAGTCCGAAAATCTGATGGTTAATCGATTTTCGCTCGTTAAGATCGACTCTTTCGTGATGAGCTGAGCTAGCTTGTTTAGCTAGCTCAGATTAGCATACAGGGTTTTTTCATCGATTAATCAATCAGGGAATTTTTAGAGGAAGTGAAATAATGTTAACCCTAAAAAAAACCCTCTTTAGTCACACATTTGATGTTTTAACTGTTAGTGAATCTTCACAGTTTTCACGGATGTAGTTTTATTAGAGTTATAAACACAGAAACTGTCAGTGTAAGTCTTTATTTTAGGTTATAATGACTCAGAGTTTAGAGCTGTAAAAACACTCTCATGTGTTATATAACTGTACTATCTGACTGTCTATAACTCTGAATGGTTTATAATATATGAGCTGTATATCTGTTGGTGTTATATTTTGTAAATGTTTAATATGAAACTCTCAGGTTACCGTAATACCTGGATAACACGTCCTACAGGAACAATATTTACCGTACTGTTTGGGAAATAAGGTAAATTTGTACATTTGGAAATAACTCCTACTAAACATGAAGACAGGGTATGAGGTGGGAAAGTGTTGATAGAGATATTTCATATAGAAATCAGGTCTGTGTGGTTTTAAAAAGCTAATATGTTTTTATAGATTAGATTTTTCTTTATTCATCCCTAAGAGGGGAAATTTAGTCGTTAACAGCAGCAGTACACACAACATATACATTCATAAAGGGTACAAAAACAAGATAAAGACCGACGGTAAAAAAAAGAAAGAGCAGTGTCATCGAAAAAGAGTATTAAAGATAATAATAAGAAATATAAAAGAGAAAGAAAGATCAGTGCCAACAAAAACAGGTGTGGATGTGACGATGATATTGATATTGCACACGATTAATAAATAGTTAGGGGTGTAGTATTACTCTTTTATTGTTGTTGGAGATGTTGGTCTGGTTATAGAGTCTGAGAGCAGCGGGGAGGAAGGACCTGTGATGTCTCTCTGTGATCCATCGCAGGTGACGGCACCGGTCGCTGAAGGAGCTTTCTAACGCTCTTACAGACTCATGTAGAAGGTGGGAGACATTGTCCAGGATTAATGACAGCTTTGCCACCATCCTTCTGTCACCCACTGCCTCCACGGGGTCGAGACTGCAGCCCAGTCTCTTCTTCTCCGCTGCTTATTCTGAATATATGAAAAACTAAAATATGATATTCGTCTCTTTATATCATTTGTTTATTTCCCTCTAACTAAACAGAACTCGTCTCTTATTTTTGCCACACTTTGCTCCTCCCTTTACCTGCAGACCTGACTGTAGACCTGTATGAAATACAAGAAGGACTTTGTCCATCACTAAATTATTGTTTTTGGTTCCCCTGATTTTCCTGACAGTGTACTTAGATTCTGGGATTCGTCTTCCTTTGCTCCTCCGGTCTGAGCTTCGATCAGCAGATTGACTCTGTGGTCAGATGAGCTTTTTTCAGTTACACCTTTTAACCAAAGTTAGGCTCCTCCTCAGCAGGAAGGATCTTGAAATGACCATCTGTGAGTGCAGCTCCGCCTAATGATTGACGACCCTCTGAGGTCATGAACCAGAGCCTGTAGTTGACATGTATTTCCATAATAAACACCAAAGTCGTCGATCTTTCCTTTCTTGAACTTACTTTAGTTTTAGTTTGCGATAGATTTTACGAATAATAATAATACTAATGAGGAAATCCAGACCCGATGTAAACACGGTTAAAAACTATCGTGCTCTCAAAGACCCACAGCTGGTCTCACATGACATGTCTCCTCCAATAGGAGAGCTGCAGTAGTAATCAGCTTCAATTAGACTTTAAAGTAAAACTAAACAACTGTTCAGTCTCTCTGAATTCTAATCAGGATAAAAAACACAAATTATTAATTATCTGTCATATTATCAGTAATGCACGAATGGTTCTAACACCTTCATGCTTTTATCAGTTCCAGGTTAGATTATTGTAATTTCTTATACGTTGGTATCAAGCAATCATCTCTCTCTCGCCGCTGCAGCACGCCTTTTAACCAGCGCCCCCGTCACAGTCACATCACTCCCATTCTTCTCTCCCTACTTTGGTTCCTGATTAAATTCAGGATCATTCATCATTCAGGTGTCCTCCATTTCTGCTCTGTGTGTAGTGGGTAGAGTGTGTAGTGTGGTCTGCAGGCGCGCTACGATGGTTTCTGTTCCTCTCAGGTTGAAACACAGACACACTTCTGCCTGTGAGAACTGTCGTTGGATAACGCTGCAGGCCAACGATGGTGTCAGAACTGTTTTAGTTTCATCCCTGTATATGAACACGTATAACAACTCTTTACAGGGTTCTTGAATCTGTTTAAAGCATCAACCCTGACATCAGAAACAGAGACAGACTCAAACACAGGGATCTGGTCCTTCTGTGGGGGATTTCAGAGTTGGTCATCGAGTCTTCAGTCAGCTGAATCTTTCTGTGTTTATGCTCCTCCTCCTCACAGACCTGAAGCTCCACCTGCAGAGCACAGACTATGGCAGCTTCCTGGCCAACGAGGCGTCTCCTCTCACCGTGTCCGTTATCGACGACAAGCTGAAGGAGAAGATGGTGGTCGAGTTCCGACACATGAGGAACCAATCGTACGAGCCGCTCGCCAGCTTCATGGACTTCATCACGTAAGCAAACGACCAACATCGATGTGACTAAAACAACAGTCAGAGATGTCAAAGTCCTCAGCTGTAAATCCAGACCAACATGCACAGAAATAAAAAACACTGCATCAGTCTGCAAAAAAAGTTTGTTTGAAAGTTCAGCAAAATACCATGAGAGCGAAAAAAGCTGAAAAAAAAAACTAATATTCACAGTTCAGGAAACAATGAGATCATTAAAATGAAATCAATCAATCAATAAATACTTGAAACAAAGATTATTAGGCTGTGATGAGATTAGATTATAAATACGGGTCAATTTCAAGTATCGGCTGATCATTTTTTAAACATTAAACCGAGAAAGTCAGATTTTAAAATACATCTAAAATGTTACACAACGGTAAAAATAGCTAAAGTTACACAAAACAAACTTTAAGGCTGGAATTATTGATGATGTTTTATTAGGGATTAATCTGCTGAGGACTTTGAACACTCAGGAACAGAAAAAAAAAGAGCTGATTGTAATTTCCGAGAGCATAAAGAGACACTCCGATTTCTCCCATCAGTGTTTTTCAGTCCAAAGACTCCTCATCCTCATCCACCCTCATAAAAACATGAAGTTGTTCTCTTTAAAAAAAAAACAAATCTGTTGTTTTTCTCTCTGGAGTAAAATCCTGAACTTCCGTCAGATATTTCCGATCATCTGTACGTGAAAAAACAAAAAAGGTTGGAGGTGAAAAATCCGCTCACAGAGTCATCCCTCCCTCTGACCCTCAGGTACAGCTACATGATCGATAACGTCATCCTGCTCATCACGGGGACCCTCCACCAGCGCGCCATCTCCGAGCTGGTGCCCAAGTGTCACCCGCTGGGCAGCTTCGAGCAGATGGAGGCGGTCAACATCGCCCAGACCCCCGCTGAGCTCTACAACGCCATCCTGGTGGACACGCCTCTGGGTTTGTACCTCCTGTATTCACTGAACAGAAGATGGCGCCAGAGCTCAGAGTAACGTTTCTTCTTCTTCTTCCTCTTCTTCTTTCAGCTGCTTTCTTCCAGGATTGTATATCTGAGCAGGACTTGGACGAGATGAACATCGAGATCATCCGTAACACACTTTATAAGGTGGAGTATCTGTGAACCAAAAACAAGAAAGAAAATCCACAGAAAACACATTTTAATAACAGAGAGAAATGAAGAAACTCTGAATGATAAAAACACTCAAACTCTGAGATCTCATCTTTACACTGTCGGCATTTTTCAGGCGTACCTGGAAGCTTTCTACAAGTTCTGCTCCAACCTGGGAGGAACCACAGCAGACACCATGTGTCCGATTCTGGAGGTCAGTCTTTATTTTTCTTTTTTAATTAAAGTTTTTATTGAACTTTTTAAGGGACGGTACCTGGTGGCAAACTTGGTACTTTTCTCCATACAGGAACAGGTAGTTATAAAAGGTTAACTGTGACAGACTTAAAACATTTTTATCTCTCTAGAAAGGCAGAAAATGCGAAAAAGTGAGAACACAATAATATCAACGAAGCATGTGTCATACCTGTACACACACTAACAACATAAAGACAAGAAAACCAGAGTCCCCAAACCTACGGGGGCCGTTATTCCCCTTCATGTAGTCCCAGGACGAGGTGAGGAGACAAACAAACATGATCGTTGGACACAAGACAAGTTTGGGAAAGATGAGCCTGTAAACCAGCATCAGAGCCAAAACCCTAAATCTGGTTTATGACACTGACTGTAACAGATATGAGCTCGAAGTTTGATGAAAGAGTTTATCAACTCAGTGAACCCTTTAAGACCCGCGAAGACCTGAACCCTGTCTGAGACACTCCTCTGATCCGGAGGTTTTCTCAAGTGTTGAGGTTTATCAAAAAGCTGATATCTCAGCCTCTGGAGCAGATAGAAACAACATTCAAAAAAGGATTTGAGAGCTTATCCACGTGGCTTTCAAGATAACTCTCTTTTATTTTTCTGAACCTTCATCACAGTTTTGAAAACCTTGAACAAACAAACTCAAATGAAATAAAGCGGCTGAATAAATAAAAGTAAAGACTCTGGAGAATAACAAACTTTCTGTAAAACAAGTGTCAGTCATGATAAAGTGTTGATTCAACACAAATGTAAATATAAAAAATCAAGTGTTAAAGGGTAAACTGCTGCCCTAGTATAGTGACAGTACAAAAGCAGAAACTAAAAACTAATAAATAAATAAATAATTGTCTGACAGTGTGTTCATTTCATGTAACACTCACAGAAATCGCCGATAGTGTGAGACAAAGACCTCAATATGAAGAGGTTGTTCACACTGCTGGATGTTTCTCCTCTGAAGCTGCTCTCTGCCTCCGTCGTTGTTTACTTTCCTCACGTAGCAGGTAGCGAGATCCGAGCATGAATCTGACCGCTGTGTTAAGCTTTATTAGCCGATCAGAGGCAGACAGGAGTGAGGATTTGATTCGCCACGACTCCAGAAATGATTGAAAAACTACAGAATGTTATGAAATGACGTATCCGCGCTCCTGGCTTGGTCGGTCGTAGTGCGTTCTTGCTGTCCCAGTTTAAAGGGGTTAATGTGAGTCAGGGTCTGAAGTGAGTCTCAGCTCAGTGTTTCACCTGAACCTCGTCTCTCTCTCTCTCTCTTCCTGCTGCAGTTTGAAGCCGACAGGAGAGCCTTCATCATCACCATCAACTCCTTCGGCACAGAGCTGTCGAAGGAAGACCGCGCCAAGCTGTTCCCTCACTGCGGAAAGCTTTACCCAGAAGGCCTTGCTCAGCTGGCCAGGGCAGACGATTACGAGCAGGTCAAAGCGGTCGCCGACTTCTACCCCGTGAGTCTCAGTTTCAGCAGGAGTCCGAGTCTGCTCGAAGTTTCTGGAAAAGATTCAGTTTGGAAAATAAATCAGTCATTCAGAGAAACGAGGATTTTTAGTGCTGATTCAGCTCTGAAGACGTCCTCTAACGCCCCCTGCTGGCTGTAAGAAGAAACAGTTCATTTTCACTCATGTCACTCCTTCGCTTCATTTCTCTGTCCTCAGGAGTACAAGCTGCTGTTTGAGGGCGCCGGCAGTAACCCAGGAGACAAGACTCTGGAGGACCGGTTCTTCGAGCACGAGGTGAGTCACACCGATCACCAGGGTCCAGTTCCTGGATCCTCGTGACTCTGAGAACCAGGAGGATTATTTAGATCCCGGTTAAAATCTAATGAACTTTGAACTCAGCAGTTTGTTCAGATTAAAGCTGCTTTGTGGAGATTTTGAGGTTTGTGAAATAAACTGAAATTCAGACTGAGAATCATGAGATTCAGGAGTAAACAAGATAAACACAGACGAGGGTTTTTTTCACAGAAGGAGACGAAACTGACGCTGACTGAAAGTTACTCACAGGAGCTTTAAAGTTTACCTTCATGTGTGAATAGATCAAACTAAGAAAATCAAAATCATCGACTTTAGAGGGTCTGCTCTTCAGAAAATGTGGTAACCATGGAGACAGAAGAGAGAGAGAGTAAACGTAAAGTGAAAACCCTGAGTATAAAGATGTTATGAAGGTGAGTTTATGGTCGTTTTGTAAATGAGTCTCCTTCGTCTTCCTCCTCTTCTCACTCTCAGGTGAAGCTGAACAAACTGGCCTTCCTCAACCAGTTCCACTTCAGCGTTTTCTACGCCTACGTCAAGCTGAAGGAGCAGGAGTGCAGGAACATCGTGTGGATCGCAGAGTGCATCGCTCAGCGGCACCGCGCAAAGATCGACAACTACATTCCTATCTTCTAAACCTCCTCTTCCTCTCTCTCTTCCTCTCTCTTTTCCATTTCCTCGAGTCTTATGTCTTAAAGAATTTCCCCTCTGGATGTTAAAGAGTCTAAAGATGGTGTGATGCTAAATTCCCGTCATTCTTCACTGGTAGGTGTAAATTAGCTCCAGACACTCGAGTTCCTCATTAAACACGATCGTTAAACTGGAGCCTCTAAATGGTGAGCGTGTTCAGAGAGAGACGGCCGGTCCAGGTCTGAGGACGTATTTGACTTTCAAAGATTTACCTCAGACTGATGAAACTCACTGATGTGTGTGTGTGTGTGTATTTGAGCGCCCAGACGACCTGACACACACACACACACACAAGAATCAAATTAACGGTCAGCCCGACTGTTGAAGATTCAGACGTTAGTGAACACCATCCTCCCTGACGCTCGTGTAAATGTCCTGCTGAGATCATTCCTGGCGTCTGTTCTGGACTCATCGTCCAGATTCAGTAAAATAAATCGATCATCTGAACGCCGTAAAACTCAGACAGGAAACTCAGCGTAGAAACTCTCTCTAACTCGTCATTTTGTTTCTGTTTTTCGTGCTCGTTTTTGTCGGCATGTCTGGTCATCGCTGTGTTTAACCCCGCCCCCTCCCTCCCTCCACCTTTACTAGATGGTTGTTAGATTTGGACAGAAGTTTCCGGTCCCTCTGGTCCCTCTGGTCCCTCTGGTCCCTGTGTGAAGTCTAAATGAACGTTCTGGAATGAGTCTGAATCTGCGTTAGTGACAGAGTTGATGTTTAAAGTATATAAAGATATTTAAAGATGAGTATATATGATTATGTTATTGTTTGTTTTTTTCATGCTGTAAAAATGAATCGTTGCTGTTTGGATCTGTGTGTAAAATGTGTTCTGTAAATGTGACTCAATAAAACAGACTGAACTGCACTGACTCTGGTCTGAACGAACGCTCTGTAATTTACCTGATGATGATCCGACCTCGTCTCGATGTCCGGTGAGATGACGGTTCATGGATGTAAACTCTGTGTTTGAGTGAAAGACAAACGTTGAGACAGTATCATGTGTTTATTTATGGGACGGGGATGACCGATCTGTTTACTGCAGGTGAGTTTAAATGATTTCCACTACAGAGACATGCCTGTTTGAAATATTGATCAGTGATCAGACTGAATCATCTTTTCCAGGTTTCTTCAGATTCTCTGAATCTTGACGTTTACTGAGGATGAAGGAATCCAGTTCAGGTAACTTAACGTGTTTTAAATTAATGTGATTGGTTTTGAGTTTTTCCTCTCTGGTGTTTTAATATTATTGTTTCTTAATCTCACAGACTGTTTCAGGGTTTATTACAAAAGTATCTACTATAAACACGTCTTCTTATGGAAGTCAATCTGTGCCATCTGATCTTGAATTTCTAAAGCTGAAATTTTTTTGCATCAAAATCAGACTTTGACGTTAAAAAACCATCAAATTTCAAGCAACATTTTTATTTCTGACAAATTTTAGTGAAAATGCGACTTAAAAAAAAAAGTGTCAAATAATCGATTGGATTCAATCTTCCACTGGAGTCGGTGCCACATGACCAATCTAGCATTAATTGATTGGCTGGACGATGGATCATGGGGCCAGGAATCGATTGCTTCTCCCTGGTTACCCAGATGTTGAGTCGGTCTCTTTTACACTGAATTATTTGGCACAAAATGTTTTTGTATGTTAAATTTTTTTACAGTTTTTTTGTTGTCAAATTTTTACTAAAAAATATTTTTGAGAGACAGATTTTTTTTTCACACTGAATTTATTTCATCATTGTGAAAAAAAGTTCGTGTCAGAAATAAAAATGTGAGCTTGAAATTTGATGGTTTTAAAATTCAAAGTCTGATTTTGATTAAAAAAAAATTCAGCTTTAGAAATTCAAGATCAGATGGCACAGATTGACTTCCATATCTGCTCCTTGTCTCTGTAGATCTGAGTTTATCAGCTTTGATAATAATTCTGCTGGAGCTCTCAGTTTCTCAGACTCGTCTCCTCCCTGTGAAGACTCGTTCAGCACAGGCTGGACTCTCTTCAGGTCTAATTAAGTCCAATCAGGAGGTCCAGCTCCAGCTGTGGAATCGGCTGCACTTTAATATCCGAGAGCTTGAGAATACTGAGCAGAACCAAACCGATCAAACACACTAACAGAGAGATGACTCTACAGCTGAAGACCAAAGCCTGGCTCTCAGACCTGCACTGCTCTGTGGGGCTGACAGACTGGGACATGGACAAGGAGCTGAAACTGGCAACCACCTCAGACCAGTTTTACCACGGTGACGGTTTTTTTTCCTCTTTCAGTCATTCTCTTAATTTGATGCAACTATAAAAATTAGATCTGCGATGATTTTTCACCGACAGATGAGAAACTGAGCGATCAGTACGTGGTCCAGAGACCTTCAGCGAGATCCTCCAGGAGGAAAGATGAGTTCACCTGGTACGACAAAACTTCAGGTGAGCCGAGAGAAGAAGGGAACAGACCCGCTGTTCAGGACCTGTCGTTCCACCTCTAAAGTCCACGATGTTCCTCCGTCCTTCAGACACGTTTGTGAAGCCGAACCCGTGGCTGTGGGTCAACCCTAACATCGTCTGTCCGGTCCGTTATGGAGCCGACTCAGAGGACATGCAGACTGTCTGTGAACCTGCAGAGAAGATCCAAACCTCTGGACCAGACCCTGCAGAGACCCGGCATCAGCTCCCCTCAGAGAATCACGTCTTCACCTCCCATGATGCTCCTCTGCAGGAGGAGCTGCTGCAGTCTATGACCTCCACTGAATACATGGTACAGTGTTCACTACATACACACACAGCTGTTTTTATTAAATCTGAGTTTGTTCTCCTCGTGCTCACACATGTAAACGCAGACAGGCTAACAGCTCATATAAGACGAGGATTCCTATAATCAATAATCAAACACAGACGTCTCTGAACACAGGGGGGGCTTTTAAAAATCATTTACAGTCTTCAGGGTCTCCTTAGTTTCATGGAGAGACATTTTTCTTCAGTGGGTGAGAAGACGTCTCTGCGGGCAGATGATTGAAGATGAAATCTGAAGGTCTGAAGTTGACGGTGTTTCTTCATTGGGCTCCGGCTCAGAGAAATCGTCGGGATCATTTCGATGATTTCATCTTTAGTTTGGTGTTTTAAGTAAAATCAGTTTGAGTTTCCGATGCTGTGATTTCCACTCCAGAGTCACGTCCGTTTTTACTGCTGAGGCCTAAAGATTAAAGTCGTCCAGTATCAGGAGCGGATCAGCCTCTGTGCAGATTTTATGAATCTTTGAATTAATATTAATATGATGTTATATTCTCAGATGGTAGGTCGTGTGAGTGGAAGAAAAAAACCTCAAACAAGATGTGAATTCTCAAAAATACAGAGAACATTTATTAGGCCACATCAGAATAAGACAAAAATGTCAATTAATAAAATAATTTGCAGAATGATTTCCTGCAGAAGAGGAAAAAATGAAACATAAGTCCAACAAACTGTTTCTCCTCCTTTTACTCTGTTACCTGCAGCTTCAATCACAGCCTCACAGAATCCAGGTGTGTCCACTCTCACCTGCAGAGATAATAACAGATCTGAAAACAGAATTCTCTGAAAAACCACACCCCCCTGTACATTCAGAACCAAAGACCGCAAATATCCTTTTAGAGTGAAATGTAAACATCATCACATTTAAAATAGGCTTCAAACCAATACTGCTTGGATGCTAGAGGACTGTGCACCTTCCTTTAACCTTAACAATAATTGGTTAGAATATGAATCACATCGTTTTATCTCAGACACGTCGTCTTTTTCACGTACGTTGACATGTTTCGGCGGGAACTTCTGCCTTCCTCAGAAGTGCCACTTGGTGGTCGATGTGACACGACATATCATCTGATGTTACAGAGGTGTGACCCTCCTGTCAATTTTTCCACCGAAACATGTCAAAGTACGTGAAAAAGACGACATTAAACATCTGAAGACATAAAGAACATCATTCAACAATAAAATCACTTCATTTTTCAGAGTTTTTTTCTTAAATGTTCTGAAATAAAAATAGGCATCAAATTTAAAGATGATCAAATATTGTCGTAAAGATAAATATGGTTCAACTCTTGATGTTTTTGTAATGTTCTTGGATTAAATAAAGGCTTTAAATTCAGTTTTCTCCACCCGTCCAGCTGTTTGTCATATTTACAGGTTTCTTTGTGGAGACGCTGAGGCCGTGTCAACAGTTTGTTTCAGGGTTCATCATGTTTTACCGTAAAGCTTCACACAGGATCTTTTTTAACATTTTAAAAGTGTTTGTGAAGATAATCTGATGTCCTCTGACCTTCTCTGACCTTCAGATCAACACTGAGGTCGTGTCCTGTCAACCCACCAAGAACAGACGGAAAGGAAGGACGACCAAGGCGAGGGTGAGAACACGAGGCTCAGCTCCAACCCTGTAGGAAGAAATGAACTCTGAAATGAAGCTGACGAACATTTTTATATCCGAATAAATCACTGAACTTCACTCTGAATTAAACTGCACCATTAAATTATTTTGCATTTCAGAACAGTTTTTTAAGTCTCTGTGAAAAATGTAAAATTTTCTTTCCAATCCTTTAAATTTGAAAATCAAATGAATGAAACAAAAAAGATCTTCACTTTTCCATTTGTTAATCAAATCGATGCTGCGCCGGTCCAACAGCAGAGTAATCTGAAACCACGACTTAGAGGCAGGAGACGGCTCCTTCAAAATAAAGTGTTCTTACAGATTAGACTGACAAATCCGTAAAGTTCAGTTCGACCCCAATCGATATCTGATGATTTCAAATCAACAGTTTTAGTAACGTTTCCTTAAAGCTGCAGTAAGGAACTTTTAGTTAGTCACTTTTGGCGCCCCCTGTGTCTGTGTTTTGTTCATTTAAAGAAGAAAATGATAAAAAGCTGCTGTTTTTTTAGGCTGCTGCCGATCATCCGCCCGACACCTTTCCTCTCACGGCGGCTTCAGTCGTTAAAAATGACGACAGAGAATCCGTCGGCCTGGATCCTTCCGGTCATAAAGAAGCATCAGTATCAGTCAGTACGTTTACAGTCACAGTTTAATCAGACTGAGCTCATAATTTGTTTTTTCCTCTGAATCAGACTTCTCTCCTTGTCCTCGTTTACATGCAGCTGAGAAAACTGAATTATTGATGTGAACGTGTCCTCCTCCCCAACACTAGGGGGCGATCCGGGTCTTTTCAGCGGCGCTGTTTCTGGACCTTTTTAAAGACGCCTCGCTCCTCGTTTTGCGACCGTCCACATACTTTGAAATGTCCATTTCTGCCAGGATGGGAAGCATAATGACGCTCTCCTCGTCGCTCTGAAATCGGACGTTCTTTCGTGCTTCAGCGATGTTCCAGTGGATTCTGAGTTGAAAGTTCTTTAAATGATAGCGCCACTTCTTCTCTGGTGCTTTTGTTTAGGGGTTACAGGGGCGTGGCGCACATGTATTGTCCGATCACACTCCGACTACGCTGGTTACATGGTAGAGAAAATCGAATTCTAATCGCATTCTGTGGGTGAAACGGACTGAGTGAAAAACTCCTTATAGTGCCTTTAATATCCGATGGTTTTGAGGACATAAACAGAAGAAAAAAAAACGAACATGCTGCTTATTTTCAAGTTTCCTGTGATTAGGAAAAACGCCGATCATGTGACTCCTCATCGTGTGGATCCATCAGCACAGACTTCCTCCCCGGTCTGAGTCCCCTCACAGGAGCTCTGAATCCGTGTCTTCTCACTTCCAGGACAGTAAGACCCTGAAACCAGGATGCTGGCCCCGCCCTCCTGTGAACTACTGCATCCTCATCGCGTTGGCGCTGAAGAGCAGCCACACCGGGAGCCTCAAAGTCCAGCAGATCTACAGCTTCTGCAGGTCAGAGTTCAAACTTCATCTCCTCTTAGAGACCCACAATCGCAGGTCTCTGGAGTCCACCACCTCTCTAAGTCGAACTCGTCCTCTGTTGTTTTCTCGTATTTCTCCTCCGTCTTTCCCAGAGAGCACTTCCCCTTCTTCCAGACGGCTCCTGACGGCTGGAAGAACACCATCAGACACAACCTGTGCTTCAATAACAGCTTCCGCAAAACCTGCAACCAGCTGTGCCGGGACGGGAAGAGGAAGTCCTGCTTCTGGCACCTGACTCTGGACGGCCACCGGCGGCTGAGGGAAGAGATCCGCATGCTGACCGGAGACACTCTGAAGCAGCTGGAGATGAGCATGTCCCACCCAGGTGAACGTCTCAAAGTCCTGCTGCTAACAGAGAGTCTCAGTCTCAGTATCTGTGTGGATATCTTTTATTGTCGTCCCTGATAACACTCGTGAAATCAGGATTTCTCTGATAAAAACAAATCCCTGCTGAACCCCGATGGTCTGCTAGAGTCTCTAAAATCTACGTCATGGTCTAGATGTCTTCACAGAAACCACAGAAATGATTTTGTATCAGTCTAGACGGCGCTGCTCTGGATTCAGGATCTGAAATGTGACGTTTTAAAATGAATCTTTATTCTGATGACGCTCTTTCTTCTGTTTCAGATTTAATTCAGAGTTTATTCACGTCGTGATTGAGGAGTCAAATATGCATAATAAAACATCATATGCAGTTTTTCTGTTGTTCTTCATGTTACATATGAATTTCTTTAATTTTGACATTTGAGGACTGATGTGATTTTATATAACTATGATGCCATCAGACAGAGAACTTTGAATACAGTTAAAATCTATCATTATATTTGTGTTAGATCCTGATCATAATTAAGGCAGTCCTCCAAGTGCAGTTTCTCCCTCCATCAGAAGGTGTCTTGACTATTTTTAAAGTTAGTGAGTGAAAACTGAGCGCTGAAAGCTGCAGTTCCCTGAGTGTCCACTTGAGGCTGTGTGCAGAAGAATAACAAACCACATACACACTCAGCCAAAAACGTGCGTTTTTACGCTGACAGGCTGGTTTACGGTAAACCAGTCCTCACAGGAGCTTCAGTCCAGTTTCCTGAGCTGTGGGTACAGACCACAGACTGAGGGTCTGGTCTTGAACCCAGGCTGTCCTGAGGTGACTCTGGACTGGACTCTGCGGGTTGATTTGCCTGCTGTCTGCCGACGCTGCTGCAAAATAAACTGTCTCCTCGTTTTTAATGTCGGCAGGGAAATCTTCGTCGGATTTGCCGACATTCAAATCCTCTGAGAGTTGATTTAAGCGTCTCCTAGTCAAATGAAGCGGCTGATCGCTGTGACTGAGAGGACTGAGACCATCAGCTGAATGTTGGAGGTTTATAGAGACCATTGATGAGAACTTCAGACCGGTAAGAGTCCACGAGAGGACTGAACAGGATCCTGGATCAGACTGACGGAGCTGAGGCCAGGTGAATAACTTCCGTTAAATGTTTCTCTCTTTTTCTTAATTCTGGGCTTTTATTTCACTTTTGGGTTCATCCTTTTTTTTCTTTTCCTGCTCCGACCGGTTCCTGTTGCTTTTGTCTATTTCTTTAATCATTTCCCGCCTTAAATGTTTTATTGCTGTTTTATCTCCTACAGCTTCTTTTAGATAATTTTACATCTGCTGTCCTTTTAGTCTCAGTTCATGAGGATTTAAACTCCTTTAAGTTACTCGGGATTATTATTTTTTTACGCCGATTACCGGCGCCCCTCAGTCTTCGCCCGCTGAGCGCTCTTTAACCATGAAATTGTTGAGGCACAGCAGGTTTCAGTGTGATGTTTTCTATCCAACAGACTTCTGACTGTGATGATGATGAAGATCAGCCTCCTCCTCCTCCTCTTCAGCAGCACTGTGTCCGTACAGGGATCAGTGTTGTCAAGAATCTACAATTACATCAATGTTTATTACACCTGGGAGGAAGCTCAAGCTTACTGCAGACGGTGAGGTCCACTTTTCATTCACACTGTCGTCAGCGTAGAGTTTGATGTTACAGCTGCACAGAACCAGGATGAAACAGAGAGAGCGGGTCTGCCTCACAGGTCAGGCAGGAAACGGGTCAGCATACAGAAAACAGAGAGGGGTCCGGCTGCAGACCTCCACTGACAGGACCCACCTTCACTGAGAGGACCCGAGGTGACGCTTTTTACTCACACGCTCCAGTTTGTCTGAAGTGGTCCTCCTGTTTTGTCTTTGTTAGACACATAAATACACAAAAAATCATATTAACATTAAATACATAAAAAAAACAAGAAGAAAAAATTAGATTCACAGGAGACCAAAAATACGTACTTCCTGGTCGAATCGCTTTTATTTTGAAAGGCTTCGAATCAACTTCTGACGTAAAAGAAAACATACTCCCGGTATATCTGCTTTTATTTTGAAAGCTTTTAAATCAACTTCCGGTCCTCACAGTGGAGGTCTGCAGCCAGACTGTCTTGGAAAAACGGTCAAATGTACAAAAAACAGTCAGGCATAAAAAAAAACGGAAAGTACAGAAAAACAAGAAGAAGAAGAAAAAAAAGGTCAAGTGTACAGAAAAACGGACTGATTTTAGTGAGTTTGATGACCGGGTCAGAGGATCTCTTAAACTCATGTTGGGTGGTCCTGGTCTGCAGCGTCAGTATCTGAAGTGGTCCACAGATGGAACAGGGGTGATCCGGTGGTCTAGGCTCAGAGTAGTACCTGTGTGTTCTGATCCAACAGACGAGCTCCTGTAAGAGGTTAATGCTGGTTCTGATAGAGAGTGGATCACAGCTGACTGTACGACCACAGACCGGGTCAGGGTCAGGGACACGTGAGCATCAGAACTGGACCACAGAGCGATGGAAGAAGGCGGCCGGGTCCATGAATAAAACAGTTTTTGTTCCTCCTGACAGTCACAGCTACTACACCGACCTGGCCCTCTTCTACACCGAGTCGGACCGAGACCAGGAGCTCTTCTACTACTACAATGTCTGGGTCGGCCTGGAGAAGATCAACAATGATTGGACCTGGACTCAGGGAGGAAAACTCAACAGCCTTGAGCTCGGACCCAATGAGACGCACAGCTTTCAAACCTGTGCTTACTATGACCACCTCCGTAAAAGGTAAAGGGGGCGGACCTACTTCATGGTTTTATACTTTAAAATGCTTTAAGTGTTTTTAGGCGTTCAGTGTTTCACGTGAAATCAAACTAAACTGTATTTTTCCCCGACAGGATGTACGGCAGCAGCTGTGAAACACGTTACTTCTTCATCTGCTACGATAACAGCGGTAACAATTACAGGTTTATATCACGGGCCATGTCACAGCCGGACGCCGCACAGTACTGCAGAACACATCACAAAGGCCTCGCCCCTTTCCCGAACGTCTTGGATATGAGGTCAAGGATCCACAACGAGAACTTTCCTGCCTGGATCGGTCTGCACAGCGACGGTAAAAAAGAGTTTCTAAATGACGTCACCCGTTTTCTTAAGCTAACGTTAAATCTGCAGAGTCCTCTCAATACGATTATTTAATAAAAGCCAATATCTTCAACTTTTTAAAACCCAGTAGCTCTAAAAAGAGAATTTTATGTCTTAAGTTTTGCTGTTTGCTCTGCAGGAGATGATTGGGTGTGGAGCGCAGGGTTGTCAGACTACAGAGGCTGGGGATTAAATGGGCCTGGAGACGGCGGCGGCTGCGTCACCCTCCTGTCTGAATCAAAGCAAATGGTTACCCGAGACTGCTCCGAAAGACTTCCATTCCTCTGCTACAGGGACAACCTGATCCTGGTGAAGGAGAACAAGACCTGGGAGGAGGCTCTGGACCACTGCCGGTCCATAACCTCTGAGAGGTGGGAGCTGATCAGCGTGCAGCCCGGATCAGAACACGAGGTCGTGATCGCTTCGATCATGGGTGCCGACACTGAGGAGGTGAGTTTGAGGAAGGCTGAGGTGAGATAAACAAGACGATTGACGACGTGATCGATTTTTGACGCTGTGAGCGGTGTTAGCTAAGCGGCGAGAGAAACGGCCGTTTTTACACTTTCCCCGTGAAATCTTTACAACGACTAAATTTAGACGGTAGAGACAGATCTGTGTCAAAATCACTCAGTTCGTTTACAGTCTCAGTTTAATCAGACTAAGATCATAATTCGTCTTTTTCTCTGAATCAGACTTCTCTCCTCGTCCTCGTTTACATGCAGCTGAGAAAATAGTATTATTGACGTGAATGTGTCCTCCTCCCCAACACTAGGGGGCGATATGGGTCTTTTCAGCTGCGCTTTTTCCGACCTCATACAACCATCAATAACAACTGATTTCTGCTGATGAGACGAACGCTACTCCTCTTCTCTGGTGTTTTTGTTACGGGGTTACAGAGGCGTGGCACACGCACACATATATTGTCCGATCAAACTCCGACTACGCTGGTTACATGGTCAAGAAAATCGAATTCCAATCTCATTATCAGAGTGTCTTAATCGGAGTTCTTAAACTCTGATTATAGTCGGACTAAAGTGTTTACATGAACTTCAGCTGTCCGGTCTTAATCGGAATAAGGCGATAATTCAGTTTGTGACTGTTGAAACACGGAGGGGAGGGGATTTTCCGGACGCCGGAGCATGGCGGATAAATTCAGCACAGATTAACCCGTGCTGGAAAGGAAGTCGGGCACAGACACAAAATAAAACATCCGGCTTCTTTTCAAAATAAAACACTCCGTGTTTCAGGAGGATCGTATTTCACACCATGCAAACAGGCGGAGACGAACAAGAGAAAGGTTTTTAGACGTCATTTCACCCCGATGACACCATGGATGAGGAGATGCTGATTCTAGAAGTCTAGAAGTAGATTTCCTCCTCTGGAAGGACACAATCTACTGCTTATATGTCTATGTGTCTGTCTTTAGAGAGACAACTCGTTATCGTGCGATTGAACGTGATTCAGCGGGTTCTTGTGAGTTCTCGTGACTTCTGTCGTCCGCCACGAAATTCGCCTCACAAACAGATCTGGTAGGAATTGGTGGACAGGGAAATTGTCGTCATTCTGGATCGGAGTCGTTCAGGATGTGGTGGAAATTCAGGGTTACTCAGCATTTGTACGTATCAAACTTCTCTCTCTCTCTCTCTCTCGCTCTCTCTCTCTCTGTGAAACTCGCTGCATGTGTTCGTAGGCGTCATTGTTTCCCCGTGAGCACCAGCTCTGCTCATAAACTTCCTGCTAAGATGACATCATGGTCCTAAAAGTAGACGTTGAATCGCACAAACATAAAACCGCACAGAGGGGCGGTAAACGAGCGTGTTTGCAGGTCTCCTGGAGTTTCTTCTTCGTCCTGAAGGTAAAAGTCAGGTGATTGTTTTTCCAGCTGGTGCAGCGTCTCCTTAAAGCCTGGTTTCTTCTCTTCAGGTGTGGTCGGGTCTCCGCTTCATGGAGGGTTTCTGGTGGTGGGTGGACGGGGCCGTCATGTTGTACTCTGACCTGCCCGGCTGTCCCCGTGATTGGCGGCACTGTGGAGCTCTGTCCAAGAACGACACGGTCAGCCTGAAGCCCAGAGACTGTCTGGAGAAGAAGAACTTCCTCTGCTACAGATACTAGCGGGCAGTCAGGTGATGTTTCACCTTCAGAGAGCTTCACGGTCCGTCCAGGTGGAAGAGGAAACTGTGGCTCAAAAATCCATCCTCCCAACTGGCCAATGATGGCGAAGTCTCCTCGAGGTTTTTTCTTCTCCCATCGGCTTGTTTTGGATCTGAAGACCAGATCCCAGAGCAGATTCTCTTTCTATAATTGATCATTCTTGTATTCTGAGTCCATCTTCACATCAGAGAACCCAAAAACGTTTTTCTCCTGCTTCCTTTCTCTTCGAGTCGATCTATTCATGGATCTGTTTTTTCTCCTCATCTCTGTCCAATAAACGGGGAAATGAACCTTCTCTCTTTGACTTCTGTTCACTGTCAGATTTAACCTCACAGATTTTTGCAGGAGCCCCATTTGTCAACACAGCTGTCAATCATCTTGTTAACTTAACAGACTCTGGTGTTTAAAACAACATCAGAAGTGTCTGTACTGACAGAGTTCATGTTTCAGACTCATCCAGCTGACCTGTGTTCTAGTTTTTTTATGTTCACTAACGCTGCGTTTGAGTTTCCTCGGAGGTCAGAAGACGGAGCTGAAAATGACGTCACACCCGAGTTCCCAACGTTTCATTCAACAAGTCAGAAAAAAGCAAAATCAGAGGCGGAAACAAGACGGCGACATTTACGGAAGTTATTTTAGCGCTTGCGTTGTCCAAATATAAAGCAACTTCTGGACAAATGCGCGGTCCTTCTGCAACATCTTGTTTCCGCCTCTGATTTTGCTTTTTTCCGACTTGGTGACTGAAACAATGGAAACGTCATTCCCAGCTCTGACATCTGAGGAAACTCGAACGCAGCATTAAAGGTGGAGTCGGCAGGAATCTGTTAAAGAAGCATCTTTTTATTTTATTGTGTATTTACAAAAAATCTTCTAATATCAGTCAATAGTTATTAGTTATTGATGACATTTGGTAATATAACGATATCTCTGTGTTCTCTTCTGTCTGTGTCGTCAACATTTGAACATTTTTGAGCGGTCCGCTCTTTCTGACTGTAAACAAAGCCGTTCTCCACCTCCTCTAACCTGATTGGTTGTGAGGCAGACTGCCGACACAAGCAAGAAAACAGTCAACCATAATCAGTCAACAAGAAAACAGACAACACCAAAAGAGTCAACAAGAAAACAGTCAACCATAAACAGTCAAAACCAAAACAGTCAACAAGAAAACAGACAACACCAAAACAGTCAACCATAAACAGTCAAAACCAAAACAGTCAACAAGAAAACAGTCAAAACCAAAACAGTCAACAAGAAAACAGTCAACAAGAAAACAGTCAAAACCAAAACAGTCAACAAGAAAACAGTCAACAAGAAAACAGTCAGCAAAAACAGTCAACAAGAAAACAGTCAGCAAGAAAATAGTCAACCATAAACAGTCAACACCAAAACAGTCAACAAGAAAACAGTCAGCAAGAAAACAGTCAACAAGAAAACAGTCAAAACCAAAACAGTCAACAAGAAAACAGTCAAAACCAAAACAGTCAACAAGAAAACAGTCAACAAGAAAACAGTCAACAAGAAAACAGTCAGCAAAAAACAGTCAACAAGAAAACAGTCAGCAAGAAAATAGTCAACCATAAACAGTCAACACCAAAACAGTCAACAAGAAAACAGTCAGCAAGAAAACAGTCAACAAGAAAACAGTCAACCATAAACAGTCAACAAGTAAACAGTCAACAAGATAACAGTGAGCAAGAAAACAGTCAGCAAGAAAACAGTCAACACCAAACCGGTCAACAAGAAAACAGTCAACAAGAAAATGCTGCTCCCCCGTGTCGTTCAGGAGCCCAAACAAAGTTAGCGTGCTACAATATCGGACAGTAGAAACCAACCAGAAAGTTCGGAAAATTGTCTGAATCCTCCTTTGGCCACGACTGCCGACACAAGCAAGAAAACAAAGTAAATACCGGAGACTCTGGAGGAATAACGGGCGCTTAAAACGGAGGTAGACCGGACAAGAGCTAAAAAGCCGGGTCAACATAAACGATGGGGGACGCTTGGGGATCTTGGTGACCCTGTAACCTTTCTGCTGGACAGGTAAACCGCTTTAACAAAGTAAGACAAGTGTCTGTAACAGAAGTGTTTCTTGTCAAACGGACCTGCTGTAGCGTGTTGTAGCGCCATCGCTAAACTGTCCTCCCTCGGGTCCTGGACTATGTCACTTTATCCTCGTTGTAGAAGTCCTGCAAACATTGTGTTTGCTGGTAGTCTGTTGGCATCTACAGTAGCACCAATGCTTTTGACTTTCACCTTGACTGGGCCCCATTTGTAATGATCTGAAGTATTTATCTGCATTATATCTGAATTTAACTGGAACGATACGAGCGAGCAGGAGCGTCTGTTTGTGGGCGGGGCTTGAGAGAGAGACAGAGAGAGAGAGAGAGAAAGAGAGAGAGAGAGACAGAGAGAGAGAGAGAGAGAGACAGAGAGAGAGAGAGAGAGAGAGAGTTTCTCTGTGTTGTCTCTTTAACTCTGTGGCTCTAAAACAGTTGAAGTGTGTTTCTGCTCGATGAGGTTTCTATGAGGTGAATAAATGTTGGTTCAGTTGATCTTCAGGACGGCTGCAGCTTTAAGAACTTCTGCTTGTTGGAGTTTGAGAGTCTAAAGTTCACAGAGACGCTCCTCCTCCTGGATTGTAGACAAACTGGATCCCCCTCCCTCGTCTCTCACAGCTCACTCCACTCTGCACTCTCACTTCCTTGTTCCCTCCCCTTCCTTCCTCCCTCCCCTTCAGATCTACAGTCTTGGTTGGGTGTAACCTCCGTGTGCTGAGGTCATATCCTGCTGACTCACTCATGTTGTTGAGATCAGAGCTCAGACTAGTTTCACTTCTCAGGAAATAAAACTCAGTCAGTCGTCGTCGACAGCGAGTGTTGAAATGGCGCAGAAAGGAGTTCATCTGGACCGTGAGTCTTTCTCTTGTTCCATCTGTTTGGATCTTCTGAAGGATCCGGTGACTGTCACCTGTGGACACAGCTTCTGCATGAGCTGTATTCAATCCTACTGGGATACTGAGGATGAGAAGAAGATCTACAGCTGTCCTCAGTGTAGAGAGACCTTCATACCGAGGCCTGTCCTGAAGAAAAACACCATGTTAGCAGGTTTAGTGGAGGAAGTGAAGAAGAGCGGACTCCAAGCTGCTCCTGATGGTTCCTCTGAGGCTGGACCTGAAGATGTGGCCTGTGACGTCTGCAGTGGGAGAAAACTGAAAGCTGTCAAGTCCTGTCTTCAATGTCTGGTTTCTTACTGTCAGATTCACCTCCAGCCTCATTTTGAAGTTACTCCATTAAAGAAACACAAGCTGGTGGAGCCCTCCAAGAAGCTCCAGGAGAACATCTGCTCTCGTCATGATGAGGTGATGAAGATCTTCTGCCGCACTGATCAGAAGTCCATCTGTTCTCTCTGCTCTGTGGACCAACACAAAGGTCACGACACAGTCTCAGCTGCAGCAGAAAGGACTGAGAGGCAGAAAGATCTGGAGGAGAGTCGAGGAAACATCCAGCAGAGAATCCAGGACAGAGAAGAAGATGTGAAGCTGCTCCAACAGGAGGTGGAGGCTATCAACGGCTCTGCTGATAAAGCTGTGGAGCACAGCCAGGAGATCTTCCGCCAGCTGATCCGTCTGATGGAGAAACGCCGCTCTGAGGTGGAGCAGCAGGTCAGATCCCAGCAGGAACGTGAAGTTAGTCGAGTCAAAGACCTTCAGGAGAAACTGGAGCAGGAGATCACTGAGCTGAAGAGGAAAGACGCTGATCTGCAGAAGCTCTCACTCACAGAGGACCACAACCAGTTTCTGCACAGCTACCCCTCACTGTCAGAACCGGGTCAACCTGCAGACTCATCCAGAATCAACATCCGTCCTCTGAGATACTTTGAGGAGGTGACAGCAGCTGTGTCAGAGCTCAGAGAGAAACTCCAGGATCTTCTGACAGAGACGTGGACAAACGTCTCACAGGCCGTGACTGAAGTGGATGTTTTACTGTCAGAACCACCAGAACCAGCAGAACCCAAGACCAGAGCTGGTTTCTTAAGATATTCACAAAGAATCACACTGGATCCAAACACAGTAAACAGAGAGCTGTTATTATCTGATGGAAACAGAAGAGCAACAAGGACAGAAGAAGAACAGTCTTATCCTGATCATCCAGACAGATTCACTGATTATAATTTTCAGGTCCTGAGTAGAGAGAGTCTGACTGGACGTTGTTACTGGGAGGTGGACTGGAGAGGGGGCGGGGTTGATGTAGCAGTCGCATACAAGACTATCAGGAGAGACGGAGACTCAAAGGATTGTATATTTGGATTCAATGACAAATCTTGGATGTTAGTCTGTTCTAAAGACAGTTATAGATTTGTTCACAACAAAGTCTTCACTGATGTCTCAGGTCCTCCGTCCTCCAGAGTAGGAGTGTACCTGGATCACAGAGCAGGTATTCTGTCCTTCTACAGCGTCTCTGAAACCATGACTCTCCTCCACAGAGTCCAGACCACATTCACTGAACCTCTACATGCTGGACTGTGGTTAGGCTGGTCTGATGGAGACTCTGCTGAGTTTATAGAAGTGAACTGAAGAGAATTTTGAGTCCATCAGACCAAAATCATGGACTGAGATCCTTGAACTCTTGAAATGTTCTGGTTTGTAAATGTTTGTGGATCAGTCTCACCAAAAACTCTGGGTTTAGTTCTTCATTTCAGCTTTTTGATTCTTTTCTAAAGATGCTGATTTGGTCGCAGCTTTAAGGACAGTGATTGTGGAGAACTTTGATTGTTTGTATTTCTCATGTTGAAAAATCTTCATCCAGTTTGATATCAACAACATCAAGATGATGGTTTGTTCAAATCACCTTCAGTTGGTGCAGATGTTGAAGGTCTGAGACTTTAGAAAAAAGTGAGGTCAAAATCACAGAAAAAGGACGACCTTATTTCCTGTCCCAAATCCAAGCGTCTAAAGTCTTTCCAGTCGTCCCCAAAAACTCTTCAGATGATCTGTTTCTTTCTCTGTTTGCTGAATATTTGTGTTCATGTGATCGATGGATATTTCTGTCTGCTTCTGTTGGATCAGTGTGTTTGTAAAGACATCTAGAATCAGACTTTGGACAGATCTACATGTTGTTATGAGCTTTTCAATCACTCTAATAATAATAATCACATTTATTAGTCCGACTGTTTGGATGTTTCTGACTCAGCTCAGATTGTGGTCAAGTCTCTGATTGTGGGTAAAAAAATCATAAAAATCCTCAAACTGAGTCACTGAAATCACCTCGTCTGTTTGTCTTTATTGTGTCTGTTTCTGCTGGATGTCATGTTACCGCTCCGTCTGGGTCATGGATCCATGTGGTCTTACATGTCCCAGATGTGAGTCCTGCAGCTGGATCAGGTTTTCTGTAGAGGACAAAGACAGGAGGCAGGTTGTGTGTCTTTTTGATTTGATGTAACCAGACTAGTCCTGTTGAGATCATCAATCTCTTTTTCAGGGGGGGTCCTGACCAAGAATGGCAGCAAAAAACAAACACACTCAGACTCACACAGATCCACATCAGCAACAAGAACTCAGAGTTCATATGAGAGAGTCCAGCTGATCTCTAGTCTGAGGAAAGAAGTCTGGTCCACAAGAAGAAAACCGACTTAAAGGTGAAGTAGACAGGAATCTGTTAAAGAAGCATCTTTATGTTTTGTGGTTTTTATACAAAAATCTTCTAATATCAGTCAATAGTTATTAGTTATTGATTATTTGGTAATATATCGATATCTCTGTGTTCTCTTCTGTCTGTGTCGTCAACATTTGAACATTTTTGAGCGGTCCGCTCTTTCTGACTGTAAACAAAGCCGTTCTCCACCTCCTCTAACCTGATTGGTTGTGAGGCAGACTGCCGACACAAGCAAGAAAACAGTCAACCATAATCAGTCAACAAGAAAACAGACAACACCAAAACAGTCAGCAAAAAACAGTCAACACCAAAACAGTCAAAACCAAAACAGTCAACAAGAAAACAGTCAAAACCAAAACAGTCAACAAGAAAACAGTCAGCAAAAACAGTCAACAAGAAAACAGTCAACAAGAATACAGTCAACAAGAAAACAGTCAGCAAAAACAGTCAACAAGAAAACAGTCAACACCAAAAGAGTCAACAAGAAAACAGTCAGCCATAAACAGTCAAAACCAAAACAGTCAACAAGAAAACAGTCAGCAAAAACAGTCAACAAGAAAACAGTCAACAAGAAAACAGTCAACCATAATCAGTCAACAAGTAAACAGTCAACAAGAAAACAGTCAGCAAAAACAGTCAACAAGAAAACAGTCAACAAGAATACAGTCAACAAGAAAACAGTCAGCAAAAACAGTCAACAAGAAAACAGTCAACAAGAAAACAGTCAACCATAATCAGTCAACAAGTAAACAGTCAACAAGAAAACAGTCAGCAAAAACAGTCAACAAGAAAACAGTCAACAAGAAAACAGTCAGCAAAAACAGTCAACAAGAAAACAGTCAACCATAATCAGTCAACAAGAAAACAGTCAGCAAGAAAATAGTCAACCATAAACAGTCAACAAGTAAACAGTCAACAAGATAACAGTGAGCAAGAAAACAGTCAGCAAGAAAACAGTCAACAAGAAAATGCTGCTCCCCCGTGTCGTTCAGGAGCCCAAACAAAGTTAGCGTGCTACAATATCGGACAGTAGAAACCAACCAGAAAGTTCGGAAAATTGTCTGAATCCTCCTTTGGCCACGACTGCCGACACAAGCAAGAAAACAAAGTAAATACCGGAGACTCTGGAGGAATAACGGGCGCTTAAAACGGAGGTAGACCGGACAAGAGCTAAAAAGCCGGGTCAACATAAACGATGGGGGACGCTTGGGGATCTTGGTGACCCTGTAACCTTTCTGCTGGACAGGTAAACCGCTTTAACAAAGTAAGACAAGTGTCTGTAACAGAAGTGTTTCTTGTCAAACGGACCTGCTGTAGCGTGTTGTAGCGCCATCGCTAAACTGTCCTCCCTCGGGTCCTGGACTATGTCACTTTATCCTCGTTGTAGAAGTCCTGCAAACATTGTGTTTGCTGGTAGTCTGTTGGCATCTACAGTAGCACCAATGCTTTTGACTTTCACCTTGACTGGGCCCCATTTGTAATGATCTGAAGTATTTATCTGCATTATATCTGAATTTAACTGGAACGATACGAGCGAGCAGGAGCGTCTGTTTGTGGGCGGGGTTTGAGGGGAGAGGAGGAGCTGAGGGGAAAACTGGTTGGGAGGGGTAGAGTTTACATTCAAGATTTCTGCTAAAAACTGGAACTAACTCAGATCCTGACTACCCCACCTTTAGGTCACACTGCTGCATTAAAACTATATTTGGTCAGGAACGAAGGAGAGAGGAGGTCAGGTGGGCTCACAGGTGATTGAACAGGTAAAGGGTTTGAGGAGTAAAACTGGTTCCCTGAACCTGTTTGACTGACTTCATGAGGAGATGAGCTTTATGACTTTACAGCAGTCAGCCAGCAGGGGGAGCTCCAGGGGGTTTGGTCCATTTTTGTAAACAGAGAAACTGCTTTTATTACGATACATCTGTGACGATCAAACAGAGTTTTTAACAAATGAATCCTCTTTTTTTAAGCTTTTGAAACGGTTTGTGTTTATTTCTGAGTTTGTTAAAACGTTCTCTCAGTTTTGGTCACAGTGAGGAGAGTCTGTCCCTGAGCTGGCAGCTGTATGTTTCTGATCCTTTCACCTCAATACAAGGAGCTTCATTCAGCTGTGGGGGTGAACTCAAACTGAGGTCATGGAGTGGGAGTGGGGAGGGACCGGTCTGACAAAGTCCCAAAGACTTGAAAATCATTGATACTGCTTCTTTCTTTGCCTCGCTGTGGTTTCAGATGTTTCTCTTTATTCTTACGTTTCTAGAAAGTTTAAAATCTCTTCTTTTCTTTCCTGCTCGTTTAGTTAAAGTAATTTTAACGTCAGATATTCAGAAGTGCTGCGGCCCAGATGTTTGTATCAGAGGAGAGAAAACTTAAACTTTTTGACCCTGTTTACTGTCAGAGGAGATGATGGAGACGTAAACATGGAAACGGTCGTTTTAAACACACTCATGAGTCGGTGTGAACGCCGTCTCTGCAGGGAGAGAAACACGGACATGAAACTGATTCCTGTCAGAGATCAGAGGGTCGCTCTGCTGAGAAACACTCCATGTGTAAATCACTGAAGTCAGCTGGAAATCTGAGAGTCGCTGCTGGCAGACGCATCGACATGTACTCTGACACACACACACACACACACACACACTCAGCAGGCGTGCTCGACATAACAGAGGAGTCAGGATCTGCAGGATTACTGTTGGACCATCAGGTGTGTGTGGAAACTACGATGATCAAACATGAAGAAAGTGAGAGGAGCTCAAAGTCGTCTTTAAAGCTGACTGACGGTGTTTGTGGGGGGCGAGGCTGGACTTCATCAGCTGAGATCCTCCTGTAGTTTTAATGAAGCTGGACTTCATCAGCTGTGATCCTCCTGTGGTTTTAATGAAGCTGGACTTCATCAGCTGTGATCCTTCTGTGGTTTTAATGAAGCTGGCAGCTCCTCACACTGAGATGTTTCACTGATGTGTCATGAGTTTGTTATGAGCGAAGGATGGAGCGTTTCCAGGACTCTGATAGACTCGGTCTGTGTGGAGAGAGAGAGAGAGAGAGAGAGAGAGAGAGTGTGTGTGTGTGTGTGTGTGTGTGTGTGTGTGTGTGTGTATTTTTGTACTGATAGAGGAATGTCCTTAACTTCCTTTAAAAGTGATCAATAATGTCTAAAAACAACATAAATGTGTTTCTTCTCCTATAAACTGCAAAACTGAACTATTACAGAAAACACAAAAAACTTTCTTTAAGTCATAAAAGTTCTCCAATCAACCAGAGGGGGGCGCTCATTACAAATCTTTGAATATAAATCCAGTGATGATTATTGATCAGTTTTAGGTTATTAAATCTCCTGTTTGTTATTAATAAAAACAGACTGAAATCAACATTTTTATGATAAACAAAACAATCAACAACAAAACAATGACCTAAAGTTACTTACAGGAGCTTTAAATGTTGATATTAGTCGATTAAAACTGAATTTTTTAACAGTTTTATTTATAAACACGACCCCTTAGATGAGGAAATAAAACTGATCTAATCATGGATGAGCTGATATAAGAATATATCTATAAATATTTCTGATTTAGACTTCCTGACAAAGTGATTTCTCTACATGTCAGTGTTGCTCCTCATCATTGATTATTGATTATTGATTATTGAAGTCTCTGTGTCATAAAGTCTTAACAGACAATTTTGACTTCAGTGTTTTAGAAACAAAGTCAGTGCAGATTAGAGAAAAGCCGGTCAGAGACAGTAAATACTCGGTGTCACGATATTCTGTCTGGTGATATATCAGATCGTCTCATTGACCGAGTATCAATTCTTCAAATTAATCACTAATTTGACGTTAAATTTATGATAATGAAAAAATAAAATCAACTGTTTGTCCAGTGAGGTCGGCAGAGGAGATAGAGCAGGAGAAAGTTATAAAAAAATATATATGTATTTATAAGGTTAGCAGGATGTTCTTCATGAAAATAAAATACAGAGTAAATAAGACGAACATAAAGAAAGACAAATGATGAATTAGATAAACTGTTGAAAAATGTATAAATCACAATATATGGTACCACAATCCTCACTGTATTACAAAATGTTAAAAATCACGATAATATCGTATCTCGATCATAACTAGTCAATACGCCCTCTAGTGACTCTTGTGTTGCACTGCGTTCTTCAGGAAACCGAACAGCTTTTATTAAGATTATTTGGTGTCATTGTGAAGTTTTTACTCCTACAAAAAGACCTTTAAAGTAGCTTTAAAAACAGCTTCTCTGGGTTTGGAAATTAAATCCGTCCTCTTTGGTGATCTCTCAGTTTCCGTCCAGATGCTCGGCTCTTCCCTCTCCTTTCGTTGAGATCTTCTTTTCCACTCTCCTCCTGTCAGAAGTCAAACGCACCACTTCATCCATCAAGAGTTAAACTGAAACACAAACACACGCCTCAGTGTTTCCTTTAGAAGGTTCGCCCAGCCTGGACTCTCCTGGATTAGTTCTTGAATTCGGATTCTTGACGTCACTTTCTTTGGACCGGTTGCCTCATCGGTCTGGATCGGAGCTGCAGCGGCTGCTTTTCTGCACGTGACGCTGTCTTTACGAGACAGCTGGCAGCGTTTACACCGGTCAGAGAGACTGATGAGGTGTGGAGGCTGAGAGCGGAGAACAGAGCGCCGACCCGCAGGCCCAAACCGAAGACAGGACTTTTCAAACTGTATGTTGAACTCATTAAAGAGCCTGTCGATCCTCCACAATCAGGAGGAACCTGCTGGTTTATACGAAGAGAAAGGAAACAGGAAAGATTTCAGATGGACCGTGAAATTTCTGAGACTCCAGGGAAACAAAATCCAATCAGCCTGTTGAGTGAAATATGGACCAACTCAAAGACTGAAATAAATCCAGGAGGTGAAGAAGAGACAAATAAATCAGTGAGATTCAAACAGCTGATTCATCACTCCGAACGGTTTCCCTGCTGCTGCACCGAGCCAATCACAGCCCTTCGTTTAGCGACACTTGAGTTAACGGCTAAGATAACCACCGGAAGGTCTGTCAGCGTGGTAAACTAGCTAGGTGACGTGTTTTCATTATAACAGGACCAGCTGGTTCGTCCCATTGGTCCATAAAATCACTTTGTTTACATCAGACTCCTGATCAGGTCATCACACACCGGCGACAAGAAAACGCCAAATATTCAGCTTCTGTCCTTTACTTCACGCTCCTGGTGCTGCGCGAACATAATTCACATATTATAACAGACATCAGAGGCGCCCCGGGACATCCTTCACCATCACTCAGACCCAGAGGCTGGACAAGTGCCCTGGAGTTGCGCCCGTGTTCACCGTGGTTCTCATAGGTGGCGCTCACGAGCACAGATGCATGAACATAAGAACATTATTATATGACTCCATTAACCACCTCCTCCATTTACAGTATTTAATTATTATTGTCAATTATTAAGTCAATCATCTGTCATTGTTTGTTATATATTTACCAGTTTAACTGTTTTTTTTAACCCAAACTGTAAATAATAAAATCTGTGTTTCAATAAATTAAGTAGAAATGACGTAAATGTAAACAAACCTCCCCGCCATGATGAAACGAGCTGGTTGTGATGTGACATCATGAGGCATTTTGATTGGTCAGAGGTTAAGCAGTTCGGCTGTGAATGTTCGCAAAGTTCGTTTTTTCGCTCCGCAGAAGTTCGTAGCCGGTGTGGAAGTTTGCTTTGACTTTACGAGATTCAGAAAATAACAAATTTATTCACTTCACTTTGCTTTTTTGTTGATACCACCAGGGGGAGCTAATGTAAGGTTTTTTTTTTATACATATTCTTCTGTTTTAGATTTTGGTCGGATTCTTGTGTGAACACAGACTCAGAATCTGTCCGTGTGTGAATGAAGGTGAAACTCTGGACCGCTCATGTAAGTTAAAGTGCTGACTCGGTCCGTCTGTTAGACGACTCAGGACTCAGACCTCTGAGTCTGAAATAACACAGAGCTGATAGAAACACGTCAGTCTCCGAGTTCAATAACCTCTGATCCAACGCTGTGAAAAACCTCATCGATGATTATTCCTTTTGACTGAACTGTGAGGAGGTTCTGGTGTGTCGTCTGGTTCTGCAGACGTTCCTCCCTGAGTACTGAGTTCTGTTTCTGTATTTTTTAGGCCAAGAAGAAGAAGAAGAAGATCTGGAACATGTCGAGGAGAAGCTCAAACTTCAGCGCTCCACGGTGAAGCTCCCCGAACTGTTGGTAAGGTCACTGTGAACACGGTCAGCCAGACTTTTGGGTTTAAGACGGCCGGTTCTGGTCGGTTCTGGTCGGTTCTGATCAGGCTGCAGAAATGTTTGAGTTAGTTTATCACCTGTAGTGAGCCCACACAGTCAGTCCAGATTTATACGACCTGCGGTGAGCTGGACCGGACTCAGACACGGGGGACTAAAGACTCGACTTGGACTGGAGAACCGGTTTCTGCAGGTCTGGGTCTTAAATCTTGTTTTACTGCCGACCTCAAACGCCGTTTTTACAATCTCTGAGTTTCATCATCGTTATTGATTCTGCCCAGAACATGTTTGAACTATGAGGTAAACATGATAATCAATAAGTGATCAGAACCTGCAGCAGAACCTGCAGCAGAACCTGCAGAACCTGCAGAGTCGACAGTTTGGATCTTTGTCGCTCTTCAGGCCGAGGAGGAATATCAGAGGAAGTGTTGAAGTTGGAGGCTCTGTCATACACACACACACACACACACACACACACACACACACTGAGAGCTGAGGGGGTGTTACCGTGGCAACAGTTTGTGGAGTGTTTGTGAGTGTTTCAAGCTCCCGCAGGATTTGGAGGGGTGGGCGAGCCATAAACTTGTGTGTGTGTGTGTGTGTGTGTGTGTGTGTGTGTGTGTGTGTGTGTGTGTGTGTGTGTGTGTGTGTGTGTGTGTGTGTGTGTGTGTGTGTGTGTGTGTGTGTTGTGTGTTGGCCGGGGATGCCTGGGTGACCTAATGCACATCTGTGAGCGTTCGACTGATGGAGTTCTGACAGAGAAAAGTTCCCCGTCTGTTCCGAGCTGAGATCTCTCGTCTTCTCGTCTAAACAAACACGAACGTCTCTCACCTCTCACGGGTTCTTATGTGTCTCTGGATCCGGGTCCTGACAGAGCGGATCAGGTCAGGGCCTCCAGCAGCTGCTCCTGTTCTGAGCTGTTATATCTTATTCATAACCCGCTGAACAGAAACCAGATCCATCTCTTTGTGTTCGCTGCTTTGTCATTTAGATGTGTGTTAACGAGACCCTGAGATCCAGACCCTGAGATCCAGACCCTGAGATCCATGTGGAGAACAGATGGACCTGGACCTTTCCCTTTTACTCTATGGTTGAACATCAGCTAAAGTAAACTCAAAGGTGGTTCATATTGTGGTAAAATTCCTGGTCATGACGACACTTTTGTTTTATATCCAGGACCTTTAAAAAAGGGGAAATACTGTACGTCTATTGGCGTACGAAGATGGCGTCGATCACCCGGGGGATACGCTGTTTGAGCCGAGCGTCATCACAGCGACTCTCGGCGACTGCGCGGCCGAATGCGCGCATCGTTACTGCGCAGCTCTGGTTTCAGGAAATGAGGAAAAATCCCGGAAATACCGAGAACTTTTCGGCTTCGAATCCGTAAACAGGCGGGAGGCGGAGCCACGGTGTCCAGAGTAAATACAGTCTATGGTTCTGCCCCGCCCTCAGGTTTTAGTATCATCCATGAATCTTCATTATTCTCCATTCTGAGTTTTTAAACCAAATAATAATCAGTCGTATTGATCATATTGATCACTGTCTCCTGGGAATTAATGATCGTGGAAAAACCTTCAAAGTTCATCAGCCTCAGTGAAGAACGCAGTAAATAATAGAGGCTCTTAAATATCTGTCTGAAAGGATTTGTAAGTCGTTCAATTAGATCGAGGAAAAAGACGAGAATCAGGTTTAAGGCGGAGAGAGTTTAATTTTTAAAAAGAAGTTAATGAAGGAAGAAAAGACGAAGAAAAGACGAAGAAAAGACGAAGAAAAGACGAAGAAAAGACGAAGAAAAGATGAAGAAAAGACGACTGATGAGAGAACGAGAAACAGAGAGTCACACACACACACACACACACACAATACACGCACACACACACACACACACACACAATACACATGCATATAATATTATCAACAATCCTCTGTTATGATATCATCTTACTCTGCCTCTGAGGAGTCACATGACCTCTGTCAGGGCGAGGAGGGGGGGTCAGAGAGCGTCAATGAAAACCACATGGAGGGAGGAGAGGGCGAGCGAGAGAGAGAGAGGGAGGGAGAGAGAGAGAGAGAGAGAGAGAGAGAGAGGGAGAGAGAGAGAGAGAGAGAGAGTGGAGAGAGGGAGAGGGAGAGAGAGAGAGAGAGAGAGGGAGGGAGAGAGAGGGAGAGAGCGAGAGAGAGAGAGAGAGGGAGGGAGGGAGAGAGAGAGGGAGGGAGAGAGAGGGAGGAGAGGGCGAGAGAGAGAGAGGGAGAGGGAGAGAGAGAGAGAGAGGGAGAGAGAGAGAGAGGAAGGGAGGGAGGGAGAGAGAGGGAGAGAGAGAGAGAGGAAGGGAGGGAGGGAGAGAGAGCGAGAGAGAGAGAGAGAGAGGGAGGGAGGGAGGGAGAGAGCGAGAGAGAGAGAGAGGGAGGGAGGGAGAGAGAGAGAGAGAGAGAGGGAGGGAGGGAGAGAGAGAGAGAGAGAGAGAGAGAGGGAGAGAGAGAGAGAGAGAGGCCAACATGAGCCGCAGAAACAAACACAAGCAGAACCTCTGAGCCTCGAGACGGAGACCAGGACCAGGACCAGGAGTTAGGAGACAACCAGAACCAGGACTAGAGAGCAGGAGCAGCCAGGTCCACCATGTCAGAGTCCATGAGGAGGAAAAGCTCCAGCAGACAGCTCCTGCAGAACCTCATCAGGTGAGAGACGCAGCCGCCGTTTCATCACGGGTCGGTTTGTTTGAGTTCTGACCTGCGGGGTCACAGATCAGGTCTGAGGTCGGAGACTAAGTCCTGATCCTGCAGAGCCGTCCTGTTTGTTTTAAGACCTGATGACCTTTAGTGATGGAGAACTGAACCCCTCAGCTGACTGATCAGAATAATGTTAATGACCTTCAGGTTAATCTATATTTTTATCAATAATCTAAATGTGGTTAAAATCAGACAGAGAGGAAATCCTTAAAGCTCTGATACAGTCAGACTTCAAACTTCGTTAAAACAGGTGTAAGAAAACACAAAAACGAGTGGTTTAAGTTCACGCAGTTATTCCCTCAGACTTCTTTAACGTGTTAACATGTAGAAACAGGTCGATTCAGGAGACACCACAGAAGAAGAGCGGGGTATTTCAGAGCGAGGAGGAGTTCAGTTTGAACGTTAGAAATGAGAAAAAGTTCATTTCTTTAATCTCAGAGAGGTGAGACTTTAGTGCAGACAGATCAACACAAATCACACAAAAAAAACTTCAATCAGGCGGAAAAAAAACAACATTTAGTGAATAAAATAACTTGGAAATAATTTATCTGAGAAACACGACTGTTTAACGAACACTGTTCATCGTCGTTTTTACTACACTTCTCTCTCTCTTTCTCTTTGCCCTTTTTTAACCTGTTCAATTAAGGACTAATATCTTATTTTCATAATAATTGCAGAATTATTTTGTTATCTTCTGTTTTGTTTTAGACTTTTTTCCTTTAACTTGTGAATCTTTGCTCTTCTTCTCTGTTCCTCTGTGAAACTCGTCGAGCTGCGTTCATGCAAACGTCTAAAAGCTGCTTCATGAGAATAATATCAGATGTTTCTCACCTGGAGAGCTTCTCGAACATCAATAATACAGAGGTCTTATTACCTGTTACATCCTGAAAACTTCACAGTTTCATGCCAAGAGAGGATTTATATTTACGCATGGACTGAAGAAATGTAGCTGGATCACAGACGGTGGAGAGGATGTGGTAACGTCTGAGCTGTCAGTCATATTTACAGTCTGAGTGAAACAAGATCATCCGAACGTGAATCTGAAGTCTGTAAACCTCTGATGGAGCTGAAACAGAGTCACTCAGAGGTGAAGAGGAAACCAAACTTTCCCCAGAACATGACCATGAGGGACACCAACAAAGACTCTGAGACACCAGACCAGATTAACGTTTACATACAGAGGTTATTCTGCAGAGTCCAAACATGTTCAGACGTCTCCAAGGATTAGCCAACATCTCTGAACATCCTAAGTGTGGATCTGTTTGAGTCATTCGGGCCTTAAATCGACATTTTAGTCGTGTTTCAGTCATAAAGAGTCATTAATGGTGTTGAACTCGTCTTTAAACCGTGTGTCTCTCTTAACTCTCTTAACAAACTGCGTAACACCTGGATACTGACCAATGCCACGCTGCTGTCCCCGCTTATCTGTGAAGGTTCTACAGAGAAGGATCCTCACTCCAGGTCAAACCTTCTTCTTCTTCTTCGATATCATGATTGTTTATTTCTTTGAAGACCTTTTCGTCCAGGACTCAGCCCTAAAGTCCCTAAACCTGCAGGTTTGCTGGACAAACTTCCTGTTTGATGCTCTCAGCTGCTTCTTCACCTTCAGTCATTTAAATCATGAAGAAAAGAGGGTCGGGTTAGATCTGGTTTCTGAGTAAACTGAGTTTTTAACGATAATTTAACTAAAAATCAGACTGAGTTTGGTTCATGAGCCGACATCAGGAAAAGTTTTTAAAGAGAAAATGAGGAGGAACCTCAGAGGCAGAGAGAGAAGAACACAATGAACTGGACTGAATGAAGTCGCCCCCTGCTGGCCATCATTAAACCAGCCTTCTCTAAGCTGTGTCACTCAGTACGTTTACATGACACTTGAGAAAACCGAATTATCGCCTTACTCCGATTAAGACCGGACAACTGAACACCTGGTCTGACACCTTAGTCCGACTATAATCAGAGTTTAAGAACTCTGATTAAGACACACAGATAATGAGATTAGAATTTGATTTTCTCTACCATGTAACCAGCGTAGTCGGAGTATGACGCCACGCCCCCGTAACCCCGGACCAAAACCCCCAGAGTAGAGGAGTAGCGTTGGTCTCATCTTTAGAAAAAGTAGCGCGTCCATCATGTCGGACAAAAACAACGCCGTACGATGCTCCATCTTCTTGTTTCTCCAAAATGCCCAGCAGCAGTTGTAGACACTTCTGACGTCTGACACCGACCTGCTGTTGTTGTTGACGGTTGTAACAGACCCATATCGCCCCCTAGTGTTGGGGAGGAGGACACGTTCATGTCAATAATGTGCATGTAAACGTACGGACTGAATTTGTATGAATGGATGAGTTTTTCGGTGGAGTCGCCCCCTGCTGGCCGTTGTAAAACCAGCCTCTCTGAGCCGTGTCTCTGTGGTGCTCTGCAGGATCTTTCTGAGGTCCCAGTTTGAGGTTCTGATGGACGTGTGATAAACAGCAGCGGATGAGGCTCATCTCCGCTCTTGTTTTCAGTCATGGCGTCCGTCCTCAGAGCGCCGCTCTTCGTTGTCAGTGAGGTTCTTGTTTCTTCTCGGATCGCTGGAACATTTCTGCGTGACCTCACCGAATATGACACCGAGCTCCGGGTTCAATGGCGTCTTTTATGGCCGTAACTTCCTTAACGACCATGACCTCATCTGGCTGAGTCCTGAACCCCCTCCTGATCTCACACACACACACACACACACACGCACACACACACACACACAGGCCTCCATTGCCTCATTGTGTAAATGGTGGAAAAAGTGATGTGTGTATCAGGCTGACTTCCTCCATCAGTTTCTCTGTTCTCGTCTGCGCCCCACGGCGCGGCGGTAAATCTCTGAATCTGGAGTCACCTGTCCTACAGAGACCGTCGCTGCAGTCGCCATGGTGATTAATGTACATCAGCTTTACTCTGGGATTTCCTACACTTCCCATAATGCCGTTTGGAGGGCTTAATTGATCACAGCTGTGAGTTTTAGGTGCAGTTTGTCATCACCGAGATATTTACGGCGCCCTTAACCCTCCGTTCCTGTTCATTTGAAGCTCCGCCGACTTTGTCCCCAAAACGGACGTGCAGAGAAGTGATCATAAAATAATCCTTTTTTAACAGTTTTTCTTACTTTACTTTAACTTTAGAGGGTTTCTGAAGGTTCAGTTTAGGATAATTGGAAGATCGGACTTTAGTTAAAATGTTAATGAGACTTTTGATCTGAACTCTTCCAACAACATTTTAGCGGGAAACTGTCGATTAGTGCAAACATGACTGACACATTTAGAGTTTCACTGAATGAGTTCTCCTAATTATCTAAAGACTGAAATAAACAGATTTCAGTGGTTAGATAATCGATAAAAGATGATATTTCACTGAATTAGTGCAAAAGCAACAAATCAGATGTTGTTACTGTCTCATTATCTTAACTTTTAACAGATTCGTTTCAGTCTAGGTATAAAAAAAGGACTTTCTTAGAGACTGAAAGAGGAACTTCAACAGTTTCAGATTTAAGGTCCTAAATGAATAAAAATCAAACTCTGACATCCTTTTGGGAAATCGTGGACGTATGTTTCAAAGAGCGACCGCCCAGCAGCGATTAACCCAGCAGTCTTCTCAGCGTCGACGGTCTGGAGATGCTCAAGAGCTCCTGGGTAGTTTCCTCATCACTGAAGGATCCTTGATGCTGATGTTCTAAACAGGATCAGGATCTTCATTTGTCAAGAGGAAGATTTCAAACCGCTCATATCTTTGCCTCTCTCTTCTTCAGTTTGGTTGTTGTCTGTGTTTTTAACATCCCTCTCTCGTCTCTGTTTCTCGCTCTCATAATATTTTTTAAAGTATCCTGATTATTCTTAGTCAACACTGTTGGATAAAACAAACATGATTTTTCATATTAAACAACATGAGGAGGTTAACCTTAGACAGGAGGATCTTCTGTCTGACACGTTCACCAGATTTGATCGTTGCTGTCGAGGAGATTGGACTAAAAAAAACTGAGTATTTGAAGTCAAATCTGCACGGGGCCTCCATATTTTTGAGATTTGTTACACATCGGCTTCGGCCTGTTTGATAACCAGAAAAACTCATCAGAGGAGCTTTAAAGAAATGTGAACCCCCGGCCTGGTCCAGATCCCCGGTCTGGTCCTGAGAGGAGTTCCCGTTCTGTCTTCTTGTTGCGTTTCAGGCAGAAATGATCAAATCCAGACGACCGTCGGTCAGATCCCCAGATGACCCAAAACTAAAACCCAGCAGCCTTAACAGCCTCATATATCTCACATCTAACTGATCTAAGACTCGCTCAGGCCAACATGATCTCATGTCGGTCACATAATCAGACCGCAGCCTGTTGGACTCGCCGCGCTCATGGAACGGCGTCCTCAACGACAGGCGAGGTCGACCCGGCGTCCACATCAGCCTTTATAACCGAGTTTCCTTTGATTCGCTCGTCCGAACCTTTGATGGTTCGACATGTCGGGAACAGGAATCACGATCAGTTAAAGGGACAGTCCGCATGTTTTATGTGTTTCTTAATGGAAACCAACAAGCTCAAGGTTTTGTTCTGTTTTTCACTCCGAGCTGCAGCTGCAGAGACGAGACTGAATCCACGATCTGCAGATTTTATTCTCAAGTTTATCATGTGAGGCTCCGAGTGTTCAGGGTAAAGTTATGTTGTTTAAGACTTGAATGTCGAGGTTAAAGTGCTGTTATTGTTTAAATGAAGTTCAGAGTTTTGGAGGAAGTAAACTTTGATTGTTTTTTTTATCTAATTAAGTTTGATGATCGTGTTTGAAAAGCTCGTGAGACGTTTTTTTCTGGTCCAGTCTGGTATTTTTAGTAACGGCACCGCTCTCTCTGTGATCTCCGACTTTGGTCAAAATAAATCATCACGACCAAACCTCCAGAATCGAACCCGAGCCGTAAACTCTAATTATCGTTTCAAACCAATGACATCAGCTGGAGGAGAAACTGTTTGTACCCAATAACAGGTGCTCTCCGGAGATTTACGTCCAATCCCACGGCTGACTGAAACTTTCCAAACGCCGCCTTTACTCCAGACTCTCTGCAGACCTCCATGAGGAGATGGAGCTCCGGCCAGGCTGGATTAAGGTCTCCCTCCCTCCCTCCCCTCCCTCTTTCTTTGTCTCCCTGCAGAGAGTTAAATTAAGTGAAAGAGCTCAGCAGCTGGCTCCAGCTCTGCCAGATGTGCTTGGACAATAAAAAGACTTATTGTTATCAGGCCCCGCCCACTGGAAGCTCAGACTGATGGGACAAAAGACCTGAATGAGTTTTCTGTGAGACTGCAGAGCTCATGTTTTCCACATCATGTTAAGATTCAATTACTGTACCTGAAAAAAACAAAAACAGACGTCAGCTTTTCCATGGATCCTCTCAGCTGTTCCTGCAAACAAGAAACAAAGAGGAAACGTGACTCAGAGTGTGATCTAGATCTGCATTTCTACGCCTGAGTTTCAGGCCCTTCGTCTGTAACTTCAAACATTTTCATTTCCTACTATTTAAGACAGTAACGAGGTTAAAACTTTGTCTTGTTTACCACCTTCTGCTGGATGTTGCCTGTCTGTACCTGTTACATAAAGCGACCATAAAGAGGGTGTATTCTCCGATTTTACTTTTTTTTGACTCTGTAACTGAAACGCCGTGAACTCGGGTGTGACGTCATTTTCAGCTCGAACTTCTGACCTCCGAGGAAACTCGAACGCAGAGATGACTGGAGCTTTAAATTCCCAAACGTCAGTGTCCGCGACAGTTAATAGATAAACGTCATATTCTTTGCACACTTGTTTACGTCAGGCAGCGGACGGCACGAGATATTTTTTTTCATAGGATGGAAAGGGAAGGTCCCGCCCCCTTCGCCACTGATTGGCTATGAAACGTCATCACACACTCAAGCCGAGTGCGGGCTGTCGGCTCTGTACGTCGAACAGAACATTAAAGAACATTATCGCAATTCTGAATCTCTTAACCCTACAGACGATGACGTTTCACAGCCATAAGGGATAACCAATCGGAACCCAGCACTTCTAGCCAATCAGAGGCAAAGGAGGGCGGGACCTTCTGGAGTTTTAAATTCCCAAACGCCGTCGTCCACGACAAGTAATGGATAAACATGATATACTCTGCGCTCTTGTTTACGTCAGACAGCGGACGGGACATATTTATACAGAATATATATTTTTGTGAAGAGCGAAGGAGAAGGAGCGCTTCGTCGTCTGAAAATAATCTTTCCTCCACCTTTCTTGTGTCTATTCACACGGACAAACTACAGAGCGCCATGTTTCATGTTTGGGGAAATGACGAAGCTTTCTCTGATTGGATAGAATGATCTAACTTTTTGGCAAATATGACCAGCTCCAGATCTGTCATGCTAATAACTGCGGTCAATCGCACATTTATGCGGTTTTACTTGAAATCAATGATGTGTGTACGTGACTGTTTTTTAAATGAAGGAGTTGGATATTCGTTTATTAAAATACTGACTACGTGTGAACGAGGCCTCAGTCTCTGAACTCTGGAGGTTTCAGCTGGTGTGTGAAAACAGCTCTGACTTCACCCTCAGGATGAATCTTTATCATCCAACATCGTTTTAAACCCTTTAATGCTGTTGTGTCTAAAAAGGAACAAATCCACACAAATTCCAACATCTGCTGGAAAAACTGAGAGCAGAGGAGTGGAGGTTGTTGTAGCTGCAGATTTCTGAAATGACGTGTTTGATAATCACATATGTGTGTAATATAAGCGTATCAACGTCCAGCCGTGTAGACACATGGAGAGGGGAACTATGATGTTTGACAATGTCAGTGTTCAGTGGAGAGTGTGTTTGTTAAGGTGTAGAAATGCGCTGAAACCCAGTCTGTGTCCATGATGGTTTCAGGGTGACGGCCCAGAGGAGTCAGGAGGATGCTGAGGAGGTGGAGCGTGAGCGAAGAAGGAGAGCCAGAGAGAGGCAGCGAGGAGAGGAGGGTCCGTCCTGGCCGGAGCCCCCCCAACATCATGAGCTCCCACACGACACAGAGTGAGTATGAGGAAGGACGCTTACACCGCCAATCCAAGAAGAAGAAGAAGAAGAAGAGCTGTGTCTCTGTTCATCTGTGAATTCTTCTGATAGTGTAACAGCTGATAACAGCTGACCTGGACTCACCCCCGCTGACAGGCTCCGGTTTTATCTCCTCAGCTCACTAGTTAAGGTTTTATATTTCCTTTGTTTAAGTGAGACATTCCTGCTCACAGCCAAGAAATAGTCCACACCACATCACACCTTATAAAACCACAACGTGTCCTTTTAACACGTCGGTTTATGAAGTCATTTAACAAACAAGAGACCACGAGTCGGCACACGAGGGTGAGGAGTTTCCACGTGTCTTTGGTTTTATTTAAACCAACTTTAATTACATCTCAGTTCCTTTAGCAGTCCAGGTTCATGTTTACATCTGTGTTTCTCTTCACACGCTTCAGTTTTCGCCTGTTTGTGTCACAGAAAATGGTTTTAGACGTGAGTTTGAGTCCATGCAGTGATTTCCACTGCAGAGTCGAGTCTGTTTTCATCTTTATACGCTCACTGAGGACCCGGAGATCTACCTGGAAATCTACAAATTTCCTGCTCAGGAACTTTATCCGACGGTCTCTGAGCTGTTTCCTCTCCTCACAGAGTGGGACTTTTTCCACCTTCGTGTCACTAACCTAGGGATGGGAATTGATAAGATTTTATCGATATCGAAGCCATTATCGATTCTACTTATTGAACAGATTCTTTAACAGGTCCCTCATCTTTGATTTAAAAAAAATAGATTATAGGTTTTCACCGTTAACTCCAAATCTTATTGAGTCTTGGATATCAGAAAAAGATGAACGCACCTTCAGTGAGAGTCTAAAAATAATCACACATCATTTACTTCAGTCAGTGTTGAGTCAAACACATAATACATTGTTAAGTCTGGTATGTTAACACGGGACATACGTACCTTCATGCTGCGCTGAGACGGAGCAGCAGCAGCTGATGACCGGTGGAGAACATCGAATACATGTGACTCCTTAGATTTGATTCTGTGCCCCGTTGACAAATGTTGAAGCGTGTTTCTGCTGTTTCCATCTTTCTATGTTATCACTGCTTAACAAATTTTCATGCTATCGTCTTTCTTAGTAAAATTAAGTCACACTTTCGATCAGTTCTCCTGACTTTTGTACCGTACGCCATGTTTTTTTCCTCAAAGTCTCTGTTCCCGTTCTTGTAGACTGGCTCTCGCAAAACCATTTTCCAACGCACCTGGTATAAAGGAATCATTAAGGGGACTAGTAAGATAAAATGTAAACGATGTCGATGGATGGAACCATCTGAAG